ACTCTCTCTCCCTCTCTCTCTGTCTCTCTCCCTCTCTCACTCTCTCTCTCTCTCTTTCTCTCTCTCTCTCTCTCTCTCTCTCTCTCTCTCCCTCTCTCTCATCATTTCCTCTCTCTTTCTCTTTTTGTGTTTTCCATTCTTTTGCTCTGTCACATTATTTTCCTGTTCTCTCTCTCTCACTCTCTCACTCTCTCTCTCTTCTCTTTTTTGTGCTTCTCATTCTCTCTCTGTCCCCCTTCTCTCATCCTTTTGTTTTCCTCTTCTTTCTCTCTCTCTCTCTCTCTCTCTCGCTCTCTCTCACATCATCAGTCTTTCCATATGTGTCTCTCCACTGTCTTTCCCCAAATGTTTCTATCCTCTCTCTGTCTCTTTCTCTTTTTGTGTTGCCTGTTTTATCTCTGTCACCCTCCTCTTTTGTTTTCCTCTCTCTTTCTCTGTCTCTCTCTCCCCAATTCCATCTCTTGTCCTCTTCTGATTCATTTTGCTTAATATGTATTTATGTGTATGTCTCTGTACTGCCTTTCCCAAAATGTTCTCATCTCTCTCTCTCTCTCTCTCTCTCTTTCTCTCGCTCTCCCTCCCTTTCTCTTACCTTTTCTCCCTTTCTCCCCCTTTGCTCCTTCACTCTCTTTCTCTCCCTCACCCTTGTTCCTTCTCTCTCTTTTTTGTTTTTACCCTTTTCTCCCTCACTTTTTCTTTCTCTTTTTTGTCTTCCCCTTCACCCTCTCTCTGTCTCTGTTTCTCTCTGGTTGGCAGAGATGTCCTTTCAATAATGCTGTAATGGTGTGTGTGTGTGTGTGAGAGAGAGAGAGAGGGAGAGAGAGAGACTTTACTAAATTGCTGTTTAATACTGGATGATGATGTGTAATTCAGTCACACAGTAATGTAAAACTATGAAAAGAGAGGAAGTCATTCTGCTTTTCCTGTTTACTAGAAAGAGAGAGAGAGAGAGAGAGAGAGAGGGAGAGGGGTCAGTACATCGGCATCCAATCAATGTTTATCCGTGCACTGTTTTCATATGAAAACATTTTACCACTGTGATGGCCAGTTCCAGTTTTAAAGGGCCACCAAACAGCAGTTCACTGTTTTCACCGACCTACAGCGCCTGACTGAACTACTGACCTCAGTGACCTCTCCATGCTCTGCCCACAGTAGCATTTCTTCATATCTGCTGTCGTCAGAGCAGCTTTACAGAGCAGTGGGAAAAACACAGATCCATTCAAACGAATTTCTGTCAAGTGTGAAAAATGTACATGTACGTTCAGAGTGTGTTATCAATTTCAAATGATATTTGATCATTTAAAATGATTTAAATGCAAATTAATTGTCACACAATCAAATGTCAAAAATAGTTTCCAACTTTCCTGGTGCAGCGCAGTAGTGCTGAGAGACCACCACGTCCAGTCAAAACAGCCAATAAGCACAACTCATTCTTTTATCGGGAGTGTTTCTGAGGAGATCAGATAAAAGGTAAACCACCTGGGGGTAAAATTAACAATATTTATTGAATAGAATATTTTATATTAATCTTGAAGAAACCTGAGTATTAACATTAACACAAATACTGACAAACCTAAGCACAGCACCTGAAAAATTATAGATAATTCAGTTACTAATATTACCAGCTACATCAGGCTCTTTTAAACTGGCTACCCCAGATTTCCTTTTATACATTTTCAAATATAAAATGCTGTTTATACTCTGGCTTGGCTGAATATGTAATGATTATTATTTACTGAGAGATGTGCATCTATATTGCACAGCATGCCCAGGTAATCAACATTTTAAATTCAGTGCATTGGGTTCACTTTTGGCTAAATTCAGGTTGTTTAGGTGTTCTTCTGTCACAGCTCAGTGGTGATGACAGTTTGGGAATTTAGTGTAGTGTCATCTTGGCTGGAACTAACTGTTGTATAAATAGTTGTATTTTACCTTCACTAACTAGAACATCAGCTTTTATGTGTTAAACATTATGGTTATTTGCTGCCATTAAACTTGGAGAGGAGAGAACACAAGTTTACCTGATGGCTGTTCCTGCAATTCACTCTCATGGTGTATTTTTTTTCATGACCTCTCATCGAAAGTGTAAATAATAAGCAGTTTTGACATGAGGTGGGAGGCGGGGCCTTTGCGTAATTACGGGGCCCTATGCAACATTCATAGTGAGCGTATAGGGCCGACCAGCTTTGCCCCCATCAGATAAACAGCACTTAAAGCTTTCATCTCTGAGAGAGAGGAGAAAATCAAGCTGCTTCAGATCTGAAAACATCCACAGGTGTTTCTGTCCATCCTTCCACTGTGAGAAGACGACTCAGCGCTGTGGGTCTGAAAGGATGTGTAGCTGAACCTCACTGAGAAAAGGAGATGGACACATCAAACAAAGAAGCTGCTGGTGTTCTCAGAACAATGGATCACATGAGTTGTGAGAAACAGAAAAAGAAACCAACTTCTAAGACTGAACTTTGGAGGTGTGGCTGCCGATCTCTTTGAGAAAATGAAAGTGAGTCTCCTGGAAAGAATGGAAGCTGGAATAGAGGTGAAGAGTGACTCACTGAACATGACATTAGATTTCCTGTTTAGTATGTGTTTCCTGCTTCTTTCTTGATGCTGAAAGATGAACTTGTACTTAATGGCTGTTTTGGCATAAAATTAAATAAACGAAGGGTGGTCTCTGGCTTTAGCACGGTCATGTATGTTGACAGTATTTTGTATGATGTGTTACAGTTTCTCATTAAGTTGAACGAATCACTCCAGCACAGGGTTAACCTGACCTTAAGCTGGACATTCTGGATGTAGGACACAGGCGTTGGATGTTGAGTCGCTCTGTTTGAAGTCAGGCTGACAGCTGTGTCTGGTGTGGGCTGCCCTGCTGGTGTGTCACTGTAACTGTACGCTCATGTCAGCAATCCCCAAATACCTGACGCTTACGCAGGTGGTCCTCTCCTTGACCCTTTAACCAGCACACAACTAAAAGCAGGACATTCAACACCGTCCAGACGAGCTTTCATAATACCCACAGAACCTTTATAGCATCCATTGTAATCTTAAGTGAGGTCGTTCATTCGAGCCCAGACTCTGATTGGTTTGGAAAAGCACATGCTTGATAGGCTAAGAACGTATTTCCTGGGGCTGTGATTGGTTGTAAGTGGCTTTAACGTGTAGTGGAAAGCAACTGTCGGACATTTCCAGAAGGATCAGAATAGAGTATGTGAAGGTTATGAGAAAAGGGGCCCTCAAAATGTCCAGTCGGGATCTTTCAAAGACATAAATCCAGTCTGGATCAGAGGTCAGCGTTCACAGATTTAACTTGCATTAAGCACAGGACGCTGCAAGGTGGAGACAATGAACAGCGCAGAGTGTTCTAGTATGTTCTTTTCAGTTATGACCCTCTAGCATGGCTGTACTTAGCTAGGAGGACACCCAGGTCTGGACCTGGTTGTTGCAGAAGGTTTTCTTCAACCTTCAACAATAATGCTAACATCCGCTAGCGTCCCTATTGTAGTAGTTTGTTAGCGCTAAGCTACCGGTAAGTTGCATAAATACTTTCTGACAAAAAAGTCAGGAATTCTAAATTTCCTTTCTACCTTAAAAGATGCAGCACTTACATTCTGCTGCACAGCACAGTGTAAGCACAGTGTAACTACTGCAGCATTTAAGGTGGAATGGAAAAGTCATTGGCACAAGAATGTAACTGCTGCACCGTTTAAGGTGAGACAGAAAATTCAGGAAGGCAGTTCTAAATCAAACACAGACATTTGAAGCTTCTAAAAGACAATTCATAATTATTTGAAGCTTGTGTCCGACATACTAGCATATATTGTACCTTGTAGCAGTTTCACCGTGACTCTTTCACTAATGAGCTCTGGTGCAGAGCTGTCATCGCTGTTTCTAACAACCCGCTGATTAAGCTGCCACTCATATTCACAGTCAGTGATGTATCTAGGACTTACAGAGCGATGTTTTTTTTCTCCCAAAATTGGTCCTGCCAATCAAAATGACAGTGTTTTCATAATTATGCATTTGTTAATCTAATGCATTAGGCCTTCTCTTCAGCTCCTGAAGTCCTAACCAACAGGAGAGCTCACTTAGCTACACCTACCTAGATAAACAGTTCCTGACTGGCCAGTTTTCCACCCAGCCTTTCTGTTTTGGTTCCATCCAAAACTTAATGAGACAAGAATTTAAATACAAGCAGAGTTTAAATACAGTATACAATACATGATTCTACTGAATAAAAATTATTAACTAAATATTACAGAGATGCAGAAATCATTGGGCCTTTTCTGCAGGCCTAGAAGGCCCTGAGGGTTCCCCTCTGGAAAAATGGAGTATCAAATCAGCAGTGATGTGACTGATTATCCATTGACTTCAGAGCAGCTGCAGTTTGCCCATAATTAATGCCCAGCATGTTCAGCTCTACACAAGGTGATACGTTAAAGCCAAGTTTATAACATCACCTATTCAGACACGAATGCCACTGCTATCATAATAAGAGTCTTGTATAATTATACTGATTAATATAGGCCGTTTGACTTATTTAAACAATAAAATAGATCATTAAATGCTGTTTATTGTTATTAATCAGAAATCAAATCTAACCCAGTCCAAACCAAAGTGAAGCTATCAATTCATTTGTATTTTATGTACAGTATTTTCAGCTGAAATCGGTAAATAGTCCTCCAAACCAGCAAATCTAGGATTCCAATCACGTCTTGGCTGATTATATTTAGAATAAAGGTGAAATAAATGTGAGTCATCAGGTTATTACAACTTCCCAGTAACTACTGCACCAACCCCACCAATTTAACATCACATATTCTCCCTTTAGCTTAGTTCCATTGTTTAAAAATTATTGTTCAGCTTATTTCATCTCTTAGCTGTTAGATTGTGTTTGATCTTACCTGCGTGGTACTCACAGTATCTCAGTCTTCTCCTCACCTGTGTACAAAGGCTCACCTGAAATTTCTCCATCTCTCCCTTATCTCTGTGTATGTGTGTAGAGTCAGACCATGAACTACGTGGGGCAGCTGGCGGGGCAGGTGTTCGTGCAGGTGAAGGAGCTGTATCGGGGACTGAACCCAGCCACGCTCTCAGGCTGTATCGACATAATCGTGGTGCGGCAGCCGGACGGCTCTCTGCAATGCTCCCCTTTCCACGTCCGATTCGGCAAGATGGGCGTGCTGCGCTCCCGGGAGAAAGTGGTGAGTCCTGCTGCTGGAAACAACAGCTCTTACTGTAGTGGACTGCCAGATGGGCGGGACTGTAGCAGTTTTGCCTACTGTATTTAATTAGCCTTAATACTGTTACTTCCATGGACATGGGAAGTTGGGGGTGCTGAGGGCACTGCAGCACCCCTAAATTTCAAGACTGCAACTGCTAAAACAATGATAAAAATACAGAGATTCGAGTGTAGCAAATATTCCTGTGTGCTTGTTTTGGAGATTTATTTTTCCTATTTTTATTTACACCGATCAGGCATAACATTATGACCCCCATGGACCCTCACAGAGCAGGTACTATTTGGGTGGTTGGTGGACTATTCTGAGTCCAGCAGCGACACTGAGGTGTTTAAAAACTCCAGCAGCACTGCTGTGTCTGATCCACTCAGACCAGCACAACACACACTAACACACCACCACCACGTCAGTGTTACTGCAGTGCTGAGAATGATCCACCACCCAAATAGGTGGTGGACCCTGCTCTGTGAGGGTCCATGGGGGTCCTGACCACTGAAGAACAGGGTAAAAGGGGGCTATCAAAGTATGCAGAGAAACAGATGGACTACAGTCTGTAACTGTAGAACTACAAAGGTCACCTATATAGTAAGTGGAGCTGATAAAATGGACAATGAGCATAGAAACAAGGAGGTGGTCAGAATGTTCTGCCTGATTGGTGTATGTTTTTGTTAAAGTTAACGCGTCGCCAAAACACATGCAGGTTGAAGGTCAAAGAAAGAAAGTGATAATGAGATAGATGCCAGTTCTGTACCCTAAAGCAGCTGAACACTGTTTTTAATTTGTTAAAAAAATCATCTAACGTATTAATAACATTTTATCAGCTGTTCATCTCCTGCTTAGAGTTATGTGTACATGTTTTAGTCATTAACTTCCTCAAATTATTCAGAAGGATTCTGAAGAGACTTTTTCAGAGTAGAATAGTGTTGAATGCTGAAATATGTTTCTAGAGTAGAATAAGTTTCTAGAAATATTCTGAAATCAACAGAATGGTTCCAGATAAAGTGTAGGCACAGTATTTGGTTATTAAGGCTCATCGTTTAGTTATTTTTTCCAAATGTTTATTCAGTTCTATTAGGAATTATTCAGTAGCTGCTATGGAACTAATACGCAAGTTCTGTAGTGCCCACTTACAAACCTGTGGAGCTTAAAGTGTTGATATCAGTGCAGAATGAAGTATGTGTATCCTGTCTTGTCCAGGTGGACATAGAGGTGAATGGAGAGCCTGTAAATTTGCACATGAAGCTGGGAGAGAATGGAGAGGCCTTCTTCGTCACGCAGACGGAGAACGATCAGGTACACATTAACACACATCAGCACGCAGATAGAGTTTATGTGTCGTCCTCAGAGGAAATCAACTCAGCGCCTGTAATAACCAGCCAATAATGAGTCATCATTCGCATCAGTCCAACACACAAAGGCTGTGACAGCAACACACACCATTGCAACACAGCCACAACAGTGATCTTATCTATTAGACGAGAAATGGTTACAAAAGAGACATTGTTTTACAATAGTTCTACAGTAGCAGGGTACTGTAAGGCAAAATAGTCTGCAGTGAAAACTTATTTGTTCAGATTTATCACTATTTTACCATCATCAACATTCCATATAAAAGCTCAGAAGATGTGTAGGTTCACTGGTGGTTTTGGACAGTAAGTAAAATGGCTATATTTGTATGGTAGACATCAAAATGATGTATTGTACTCATGTCACTGACTGGATTATGTGGCCAATTTGAAAAAAATCTATAAAACTTTGCTTAAAAAGTGAGTATTCTGGATGCCTGGATGTTAACAGAATGTAACACCCTTAATTTTTGTTCTGTTCAATTACTATCGCAGGTTTGGGGTTCTCAAAAGGCATCTTAGCTTTTTAAAGATAAATAAACAAGTCGGTTTTACAGTATGGAGACAGTTGTGGCCCTGAGTCTGCAATAGTCCTTCACCCAAAATTATTAATGTACTGCGGAGATGTGTTCTATTCTTAGCCATGGGGTAGAGAAGCAGGAGGCCACTGCTGACCACATTGCCACGTCCCAGCCTTAACCTGAATCTGTTTTGAACCCAAAACAGGTCTAAGATCAGAACTGAAAATATACACTGATCAGGCATAACATTATGACCACCTCCTTGTTTCTGCGCTCATTGTCCATTTTATCAGCTCCACTTACTATATAGGTGCACTTTGTAGTTCTACAGTTACAGACTGTAGTCCGTCTGTTTCTCTGATACTTTGTTAGCCCCCCTTTTACCCTGTTCTTCAGTGGTCAGGACCCTCATGGACCCTCACAGAGCAGGTACTATTTGGGTGGTGGGTCATTCTCAGCACTGCAGTAACACTGATGTGGTGGTGGTGTGTTAGTGTGTGTTGCGCTGGTCTGAGTGGATCAGACACTCAGCCAACAGCGTCCTGTGGGCAGCGTTCTGTGACCACTGATGAAGGATTTGAGGATGACCAACACAAACTGTGCAGCAGCAGATGAGCTACAGTCTCTGACTTTACATCTACAAGATAGACGGACAAGGTAGGAGTGTCTAATAAAGTGGACAGTGAGTGGACACAGTTTTTAAAAATTCCAGCAGCACCGCTGTGTCTGATCCGCTCGTACCAGCACAACACACACTGACACACCACCACCACATCAGTGTTACTGCAGTGCTGAGAATGATCCATCACCCAAATAGTACCTGCTCTGTGAGGGTCCATGGGGTCCTGACCACTGAAGAACAGGTCATAATGTTATGCCTGATCTGTGTATTTTAAATGCATTGCTTCTAAAGCCTTTAAAGCTTTTCAAATGTACACAGTCTACCCCCCGAAGGTAGAGGCTACAATATGCACAGAGTCTGTAGTTTGCTTATTCTGGTTTTGTACTAGAGCCGTGAGACTAATGTAACTAATTTAACAGTATGTTTTGCTGAATGTCCCTAGATCCTGAGACCAGTGGTTCTCAAACGGGTCTTCAGGGCCCCTGCACAGTCCACAGTTTTGTTTCAACCCAACTCAGAGTTCACTGACATAGAGCAAAATGGGAGCAGAGCATTGTAGGAAGTGTTAAAGTTTTAACACTCACGTGATGGTGGTCAGTTCCCTAAATCTCGGAGGAACCAGCGTCAGCAGGACAGAAAAACATCCTCTTGTGGCTTTTATCAGATCAGCTGTCATACTGTAATTTCCCCATCTTAGTGCTTCCCCTAGATAATAAATAAATAAACAGTACATTTAATTATTCATTAATTATTCTCTCAATTGTGATATCCACTTCACGTGATGCCCAAATAGTCAAATAAAATTGAACTTAATATAACTTAATTAAGCAATAAACCATGAGAGGCTGTGATTTTAGGCACAACATGAAATAGGCTACTTATTGCTTTTATAAAACGGTAGATAAAATGCATATCTGGTGCTAATGAAAGACTGGAAATCACATAGAGACGTTAATGGAAATTAGCATTGTGGTCATGGGGGTAATTTAGTATAATAAAGCTACTTATAAGATAAAGATTTTTGCATGAAACTGTGTCATTATATGAAAAAATGTTTAAAAAAAATCCTGAAATGACTACAAAATACATTGTTGCATGAGTTTTTGTCCTTTTTTTTGGTTGCTTAGCAAAAACATACTATAAATGAACTACATTTCTTAGTGGAATAATCGTTTATGTCGACTATTACTAATAACTTAAATTATTTATTAAAAAAGGGTTCATTTTGTTATATTTTATATTGTCCACTGTTTTATAAAATCAATAAACTGTATTGGCTCAGCCAATCAGATTATAGGAACAGGAATCATCTGCTTAATAATCTTAGTTTATGCTGGTAAATCCTATTAATTAACTGGAAAGGTATTAATCTGGTTAGATCTAGTTTTGAGTGCTTGGTCTTCACTGAGCTGGTTCAAATGTCTGAGGCTGCATCTGAAACTGAGAGTTTATAGGCTGCACGGCGAGACAGGATGTGTGTGTGTCATGGTAAAATGTGCATATATATATGTGTGTGTGTGTGTATGTGTGTGTGTGTGTGTGTTTGGTCTCTGCTCAGGTGAGTAACAGTGATGGCTTTGTTTAAACTGAACTCAGAATAAATCTCCCCCAAGTTCCATTTAAACCCAGCTTTCTCTATGAATAGATCTCTCTTTCTCCAGCTCTCTCTCTCTCTTTCTTTCTCTTGCTCCCTCTTTCTCTCTCTCTCTTTTTCTCTGTGCTGCATTTGTAAATGCACCCTGGATGCCCTTTACACCACCACTGTGTTGCAACACTAACAGCTTGGCCTGTTTTCACAATAAGTATGTTTACATGCATTTAATAATCTGATAGCTGCAGAAAATTAGATTTTGTCAGTAATTCATTCAAAGCGTTTACATGCTCTTGGGTAATCAGATAAAGGGAAAACTCTGGGTCAACAAGAGTCAGGCAGTAATTGGATTTCAGCTTTGTAGCCCAACAGACGTGATTTTTAAAGCATCAAGTCATTTGACCAGAAAATACGAACATGCATCACCAAAAATTGAAGAATATTTGAATTCTTCATTTCGTCACGCATGCATTTCATGATTTTAGCGTCACTCCAAAAGTGTTTTGTTGGCGCTGTGTTAAACGCTGCTTGCTGTGTTCTGTTTTTCATACATGCGCAGGCTGAGAAACAGGAAAGAAATCAGAGTAAGAGTACACATACACTGAAAAAATGATAACTGAGCTCAAATCCAGCCTTTATCAGTTTCTAGAAATCTGTTAATGGACTTAATCTGATCTTATATATAATCAGACAATAACGCAGAAAATCCGATAATGATCATATTATTGGTGGGCATGTAAGCGCACTCATTGATTTTACCTTAATTTCACCCATTCAGTCCAATGTGATTTGATGATATCGGTACTATTCACATTTATTTTAAGAAATAAAGTGAAAACACAGATGTGACTGGAGGAACATGAACACAGTAGTGAAATATAAGCTATTAAAAAAAGCATTCGTTATCAGGAGGTGCCATTTTACTGATTAGACTGATTAGGTGCTCATTTATAGTCGGTTCATTTTTATTTAAAGAACTCGTGCAACCGAACGCTTTATTATGCAATGAGTAAGGCCTAATGATGCAGTTGAGCAGTTCACTCAAGCAGTGACCGCAGCCAAACTGTCCCTGTGTTGTTGGCACAACTGCACTATTCTGTGTTTGGTTTTAGCACATAGCTCCCATAGCACATTCACAGACCACACACAGAAGCACATTCAGACTGTGCGAGTCATTGTGTGACCTTCTTGTGAACTCTGTAGGTCTTGTTTACGGCAGTTTGCCATGGCTAAGGTTAATGGGTTTTTTAACCTTAACATACCTCGTAGAAGTTCCGAACCTGTGTCTGCTGTGTCTTCGTACAAGCAGGGGTAAAATGGGGATTTCGGAGGTTTGGGTGCCCCGTTTTTCTTTAGGTGTCAAGAATGTGGGAACAATGTTGTTCAGTGTGGGGAAAAGTCTGAATACCTTGAGTCTGAAGTCTGAATAAAATGTTTTGTTGATTTTCTAAGTGCAAATAAGTGAACACATCCTCTACAAGAAACACACTTAAATATGGCATTTTTCTGCTAATTTTAGTGCACAATTACACATAATTAAAAAAAACTAAATTATAAAATGTTTCATAACATTTTGCCACATTTTATATTTTTCCCCAGTATGTTAAATTCAGCAAATAAGCAGTAATTGTGTATTAAAATGTGCAGAAGTGTGTCTCTGTAGATGATGTTTTATCTTATTTTCAATTTGTTGAAGATCAGTAGAACATGTAATTTGACCAGAGTGCCCAAACTTTTGCTTGCATAGAACTATATATATATATATATATATATATATATATATATATAAACAGAAATAGTAAAAAATGCAGATTAATCAATTATAACAATAATGGAATTTGACTAGAGGCGCCCAAACCTCTGCATACGACTGTATGTATCTTGCTCTTACTTAATACTACAGCTAATCCATGGTAACCGGTCTCGAACGGGTCCTTCACAAGATGCAACGTGATATATTCATTATTTACAATTCTAAAATCTTAAATGATGAAATAATTCCATTAAAATAATATATAAAAATAGTAGACAATGAGGCAGTATAACGTAAACATTTAAATGTTTATGTATGTAAATGTCAAACGTTAGTGGGTGGAGTGGCCCTGAGAGAATCAACTCATGTTAACTTCTGTTAAAAATGATTTTGCAGGATTTTTTTGGACCACACTGTACGTCTTTATGTATTAACATCATGCGCACAGGCTCGAAAAGAAGATCCGGCTAGATGTTTAGGTCTTAAATCTCTGCTAATTTCACAATTAATAGGCCAAAAGAAACGGCCCAAAATGACCTGGGAAAAATTCTGGTTCCATTGACTTACATTAAAAGTAAAGTATGTTTTTTGCTTCTCCTGTAAAGTTACCATTTTGGAGATACGAGGTTTTATTCCAACAGCAATGAAATGCAAAATCAGCATTATACTGATGAAGATATGACGACAATAGTAGATAATTCACTCACATGCTTGGAAGACGCATCCTTTACCAAGTTTGCTCTTCTGCACGTTGCATTCAGTTACACTTTTCCACCAGAGAGGTCTCCAAATCCCCGAAGCTTACATGGTTCAACTTTATTTGAAAGTGTTTTTAAGGTTTTTGTTTCTTTTGGCCCATAATATACTCTAAATATCTTAAAAACAATACAAACATTTCTTCATCATATTTTTCCAGTATGAGGGGCAGCTATAAGACATTTAAGGCTTTCATTTGACCCTAGTATTCTTTTTCTGATTATTTATGTGCACACACTCACATAAATACCGGCACTGACAAAAATAATGCTCTGAATTCACTAGATTCAAATACGCAAATCATTTCCACAGGAATAAAAATATATGTATCATAACAGATGTTCATTTAGGCGGTAATTGTGTTGCTGTAATTTATTTATATGAAAATGATGTACACATGTTGAATTATGTACATATAACATTTCTCAGTGTGTTAGCTTACCTCTCTACTGTTTGTCCTCCTACAGGAAGTGGTGCCGTCGTACCTGGCCACCTCCCCCATACTTTCAGATGGAGCGGTGTTGATGAGCTCCTCCGTCCAGAGCCTGGGGCCGTCGCTGTCCGGCACTGAAAGCAGTGCAGTGAAAAAGAGGAGGAAAAGAAGGAGGAAGTCTAAGGTGGACAGCATGAAGAGAGAGCCCAGCGCGGAGTACTCTGAGGATGAAGACGTCTTCACCATCGACATCGGCTCTAATGGAGGGACTGACTACCCTGCTGACCGCAACAGGTATAATATTGTATAATTTTCACAATATACAATAAGTATCCCAATATTTTGAGACACAGACACAATTTCAGTAGTAGTGCCATATTTATAAACTACTGTCAGTAGTTTGTATTCAACTGCAATGCACCAAATCCAGTTAAATCCAATTCATAGACAAAAAGATACGTTAAAGCACCCTTATTATGGAAAACTAAATTATGAATTTTTTCCCCCTTTTTTTAAGTGATCTTGTGCGGAAACACGGTTAGAGTCTTAGAGTTTCAGCAGGTGTCCTGGTCCGTACGGTACACATATGGAACCAAAGCTACAAAAACAGCCCAATTTGAATTCAGTGTTTTTGATGTCATGGTATCATGAAAACCAAAATATTTACTTACACCCATCTATTCAGTATTTTTTCACCGCTCATTATTTAATTCATTTTTAATTTATTTTTAACTTTATTGAGCGTTCCGGCCCAGACGGCTTTTTTAACGAGGCACAGTACATGGGAGCCAATCAGAGCAAGGCTCATTTATATATACCCGTCTTAAAGGCCCAGTAACCGAGCCTGTTGGATTCTAAGGGGTAAAGAAAGGTTGGAAAACAGTCATGTAAAAATGAATTGTGGCTGTTTTTAGTACATAAAACGAAGCAAATGTTATTATTAGACTTCAGGGAAAAAAACAATACACAATACAAGAAAAATGTAGGATATATGGTCTATATGAGTATGTCTGTATTTGCATACAATAGATGAATTAACAGACACTGGACTGAGCAGGAAGAGAGTAATGCAGGAGAGAAGAGGTGAGAGACGTTGTGTGTGTGTGTGTGTGTGTGTGTGTGTGTGTGTGTGTGTGTGTGTGTGTGTGTGTGCTTACAGCAGACAAACGACCAACCATGGACCGTTCGTGCGCTTTAAAGAGAGAGAATGAAACCTCTCTGATTAACCACATCCTCTTCTGTCTTCCTGCCTCTGTCTCTTACATGCTCTCTCTCTCTCTCTCTTTTTCAAGAAAGTGTAACTGTGTATAGTTCACACATATGGTCTTGCTCTTGGATGGTGCTATTAAAAGGCTATTTGCTGGAATGTCCTACTTACTCTCTGACTGACTGTGTCCAATACATACCAGCTGCCATATGTTTACAATTAGTTACTGGTGATATGGCCAAAAGTGTATATCACAGTATAAGTAACATTTCTCACACTTTTCGTATGTAGTGTATGTTATAAAACTGTATGTTTCGTATGTAGTGTATGCTATAAAACAAATAAAACTGTTTTAGAAGCCTAAGTAAGGTTCCTTATGAGGCCTTATGTGCCTTATGAGGCCTTATGTGCCTTATGAGGTATGATATGAATCACTGTTGTAGACGCCGGCCTCTTTCAGCTCCACTTTCCTGACTGTCTGTGTCACATTTGTTTCCAGGGACGTGATCAATGACGACTTCTCCAGCGTCTCTTCTAAGCAGAATGTTTATGCCCGCTCTGATGGAGACTGGACTCCTATGCACAGGTACACACTCACACTCCAGGTCGAATTACATGTTGTGTTGATTTTCTGCGTAAAAATAATAAGTAAACACATCCTCCACAGTGAACACACTTAAAAATGACGTTTTTCTGCAAAGTGCACAGTTATTTCCCAATTTCTGTTTGTTTGCTCAGTGCCGTAACTTTTGCACAGGCTTCATCTCATGTTTTTTTCTCTAATATGTTAAATTCAGCAAACAGTAAATTGTGCATTGAAATATGCAGAAGCGTGTTAGCGGTAGATGATGTTGATGTTGATGAGGGCGCCCAAACATTTGCACACAACTGTATGTATGTAAACAGTAATAGTAAAAAATGCAGATTAATCAGTTATCAATGCTCTCTCTTTCTCTCTTCTCTCTCTCTCTCTCTCTCTCTCTCTCTCTTTCTCTCTCTCTGTGTAGTCCTAATGTCTCTCGCCCCTGTTCACCTAAGAGTGACTCTGAGCTGGTCACTAAAGCCGGTGAAGAGAAGCAGCAGAACCCGGCCATGCTCTGGGCTTGGGGAGAGCTGCCCCAGGTACTGACCTCTCACATTCACATTGGCCCAGAAACACAGGTAGCTCCGTCAGCACTGACCTCAGACCAGAATAGACTATGTCATATATATCTGTTTTATTTGAGCAATATATATATATATATATTGCTCAAATAAGCTCATAATGGACCAAAAACATTACTATTAATGTCATTGTTGTTGTTATTGTTGTTTATTAGTTAGTTAGTTAGTTAGTTTGTAGTACTATAGCATTGTTGAGAGCTGCAGCAGGAATTTCGTTCACTTTTTATCCTGTTTATATCAATTTAACTAAGGTGTAACTGATTCTATGCAGTACACTCTTAAAAAAAAACAGGGTTCTTCAAGGGTTCTTTGGTAAAGAAAATGATTCTATATAGAGCCATGAACACTCAAAGCTCCCATTGCATGATGAAAGGGTTCTTTGCATAGTGAAACTGTTCTTCAGATTGATGGAGAATCTGTTATAGATGGTTCTATGTGGAACCTTTTTGAAAGGGGTTCTATATAGCACCAGTAGCGTTCTTTTATTGTTACGATGTCAAGCTTCACTCTTTAAAAAGATAGTTGTTCAAGAGTACTTTAGTAAAGAGAATGGTTCTATGTTGAATGAACACTCAGAGAAACCATTGCATGATGAAAGGGTTCTTTGCATGGTGAAGTGGTTCTTCAGATTGATGAACAATCTGTTATACGGTTCTATGTAGAACCTTTAATTATGCAAAGGGTTCTTCGAGTGTTCGTGGTTCTATACAGAACCCTTAAAGAACCATCTTTTCTGAGAGTATAGTTCTTGAGTCATATCCAAAGCTACTCATCGAAAATTAGTATAGAACATCAGTCTGAACTGGTTGAAAATGCCTACCTTGCTGCTTATGTAAGCTTGTGTAACCATTCTTATTGATTATTCATAGACACTAATAAATGTTTCGTCCTCAGCCGTCCTTCCTGCCGGCGAAGCCGGATTCCCCGGCTGTGTGTCCCGTCTCCATTCCCGTTTCCCACAACACACACTTCAAAGTCATCCCCGATGCCTCGGCCGCCAACGAACACAGCCGTGGCGACAACACAACGTCCCTACGCCTGTTCATCCCCACGCCGACCACAGCCGAGGGGACAGGCTCGGAACACGGAAAGTCAGAACCAATGAGGATGGACTCGCATCACAGAGGGGGTGGGGCCGAGAACATCAGAGCAGGGACTGAGCCTGTGGGAGTGCAGAACGGGGTTCACGGACAGCATCCAGCGCCACCGAGAACGGACTCAGAGATAACGGCGATGTTAGCGGCACGTTTGGTGTCAGAAGTTGAGGAGGGAGCTGTAGCAGCTGTGGGAGCCCACCAGCAGAGCAAAACTGATTCACCATCCAAAAGAAAAGGTGACTGAAAGGTTCAGCTACATGATTAGCCGTTACTGACATCGATGTTTCAGTGAAAAATCTAATTTATGGATTACACGTAGACTTCCCCCTATGTGACGTTGCGCTGATGCTGCGTCTGTGTCAACACCGATACCATGAAGCAGTTCCTTCTAAGCTTTTCGCCACAAATAATTAAAGATAATGCTGCCTAGGTACAAAACACGCTAAGGTCAGCTCTTTTTGTCAGGGGTCTTTCAGTAATCACTCCTCTCCCACTGGGAAATCAGTCACAGTCTGAGTTACTGTTGGTCCAGGTTGTCATTGAGGGAGTGACTAAAGCCTGAGATTAGCCTTTGCAGGCATTGCAGGCCGCTAATCACTTCTGTGTCCTCTAGTGCAGCCTGAGGTGTACTTCTGTTGGTCAGCTGCATTCTAGAATAATAATTTCTCAAGTTTCATATACACATACATATACACTAATTTATAACACCTCCTTTTTTCTACACTCCTTATCAGCTCCACTTATCCTATAGGAGCACTTTGTAGTCCTACCATAACAGACTGTAGTCCATCTGTTTCTCTGCATACTTTGTTAGCCCCCTTTTACACTCCTACCTTGTCAGTCCAGCTTGTAGATGTAAAGTCAGAGACGATAATTCACTCGTGTCCTAGTCTTCATGTCTGTTCTTTATTGTACAGATAAGAGAAGCCGGCATCTTGGTTCTGATGGAGTTTACCTGGATGACATAACAGAGCTGGATCCAGAAGTAGCTGCTCTGTACTTCCCCAAAAGGTGAATTACTGAAGCTCCTTCTTAATTCTCGTCCTACTCGTTATTTCATCTGTTTGTGTACTTTTTCACGTACTTCTTTACATACTTTCTCCTTCTTTGTTTTGTTTCTTGTTTTTTTCCCCCCTGAAATCCAGTTATTTACATTGATCATTCTACCAACTGCAGTCTCATGGTAAAAAAAAACTACGTCAAAAACAGTTAGGTATTCAGACCTTAGATTATTTGTATAGATTATATCATGATCCTTTTCAACAAGGCATTAAGCGAGATAGTAATTAGCTAAATATGTACAAAACCATCATTTATAGGGTACTTTGTGGTTTTTATCTTTTTGAAATATTTAGATATATCCTTCGTTTAATTTTAAAACAAAAACACTTTAAATAAAAAAATTGCTGTCCTACAATTTCATGCCACAACTGAAACACCGAGTTTTAGTCTGTAGGCGGAGCCCCACTTTAGCCACGCCCCTGTATTTAAGAGCAGGAAGTGAGACTGCACCCTTGTCCCTCATGGCCACACAGTGAGCAGTTAGATCTCTTTGTTTTGAAGTAAATGTGTCACAAAGTCTGAAAATCATTAAGAATTGTCACTACCGAAAATACAGATTTTCTGCAATTAAGTAAACTTTTTTGTGTTTTAATGAAAAATATGATGATTTTATGAGCGTACAGCTGTTCAAAGCTGTGTTTGCTAGTCATGTACTGGCTGTCATTTTTGAGTTCTGCTTAAAATGAGCTAAAATTGTCACTGCCGAAATGGTCACTACTGAAACATTCGGCAAAGTTCGGGTAGGGTTATGATTGTAGTGACAAAGTGGAATGTTCAGTCATTTATTTCAATAAAATAAGCATAATTGAGGTATAGGGCCACTCAAAACAAAAGGATTTTAGTCTAAAGTCCAAGAGCTTTCTCTTGACGTTGTCACTCTTGGCCACACAGTCACACTTTCCCTTTCATGTCTTTAACTGTGAGCGTGTGTTTCCGCAGTGAAAGCAGCGGCGCAGGGCGTGTCTGCTGTGAAAACACTGTGCGCAGTGTGAGCATGTCTCCTCAGTTTGTGGGCAGCTCAGGAGCAGACAGCGGAGTGGACAGTTACTCAGAGCAAACCACTGATCTGCCCTCCATCGCCCTCTCTCTGTGTGGAGGACTCACTGACAGCAGGGAGATCACTAAAGGTGAACACAGGCCCATTTTTACACATGTGTACACATTTCCACACATACATACAGTGAACATACATTTACATACGCTTATACAGACAAATACATTTGCATGCAAAAGTTTGGGCGCTCCTGGTCAAATGACATGTTTTGTTTGTTTTCTAAAGCCTTGGCTACACTACACGAGTTTTTAAATCTTTAAATTATAAATAGATTATAAAAAGACTGGGCATCTCACACTGTACAATATTGTGGATCACACACTAAACGATTAGTGGTCACACACTACTCAACTTTTAAGCTGCTGCTGAACCGGATGGAGCTCACTGAACTCACACAAACTCTTACGTTCTCCCATTACTAGGAGACGCAAATAAACAAACATGGAGCGCTTGCTGCTGCTGCTGTTTTCTCTGACGTTTGCACTGACACAGTAAAGAAGCAGCAAGTAAACATGTTTGGTATACATGTTACAAACTCGATTGTGCCTTAAACTCGGCTCATTAAAAAGCTTCGCTCCACACGTGAGCGACTTTTCGTCATTTTTCTTTGTTTACTTGCTGTATTTTCTTCTTTAGCGCTCTCATTTGTCATTGGCTGTTGCAGGAGTCCATTCAGATTGAGTCGTTGACCAGTTTACACTAGATTTCGCTGTAAATCGGAGTCTGCACTCCTCACATACGACTCGACTCTCTCTCCAACTGTCGACTCCAACATACCCAGAAATCTGCAGACTAGAGCCGACCAGCTCAGACTTAGCCAGACTGAGAATCAAGGATAAAATCGGGATAAAAGTTGTGTAGTGTAACTTCGGCTTTAAGTGAAAATATGTTAAGACACTTCTGTACATTTTAATGCACAGTTACTGTTTATTAGCTGAATTTAACATATTGGAAAAAAGATAAACTAAAAATGTGGCCTGTGCAAAAGTTGTGGAACATTTTATTTTTTGTGTTTTACTTTCTTCCAATCGTTAAACTCAGCATATAAAAGAAAATTGTGCACTAACATTAGCAGACAAGTGCAGTATTTAAGTTTGTTTCCTGCAGAGGATGTGTTGTTTTTTTTCCACTTAGAAAATTAATAAAACATGTCAGTGAACTGGAGGCTTTCATACGACTGTTTATACTCCCAATGTACACAGCCTGTCAATAGTTTGGGGACACCTTGCTTTGTTTTTAATACGTGAGCATGCTTTCTATATCAATTTGCAATAACTTAGCGTGTTAAAGTATAAACAGGTTCATTGAGAGGAATACAGTATTACATGTGTAAATATTTATGACAGTATTTAGGCCTTTTCTTTAGATCAAGAAAGACTTTCTGATGAACATGAGGCTGAAATATCACAGCTAAATACAGCTGAAGAATTAGCAAATACACTGTTTTATGCTGTTTTGAAAGTGTTCCTACACCTGCAGTGTATGCAGTGTATGTATGCAGTGTATGTATGTATGTATTTGATGTATTCTTATGTATTTGATATTTCTAATATTTGTATAAATGACGCTGTTTAATAAGACCCTGTTTTTATTTGCCTGTCTGTCTAAACACTTTTTCTTTTTGTCTGTTTCCTCTCTAGAGCACTTTCAGGAGAAGGCTGTTTCTTACAGTCAGTTTGCTGCGAACCCCGCTCTCATAGACGACCCCAACCTGGTGGTGAAAATCGGCTCCAAGTGAGAAACACAGCACCTCTGCTTCGTACCACTGGACACTTACACATATCAACTGTCACAGAGCAGAAGTGCTGATCTAGGCTAATTTAGGATCAGTTATATATTATATATTATATAGAGATATATTTACTGTGTTCTAATGTAGTGCTTCCTACTGGTTTATAAACCGTAGTTAACTTGTTTATTTATTTCATGCAAAATCATACAAAACACTAGTATTCCTACATGAGCATCACTTAACTTTAAACATGTTGGGTGATGTTATATCAGCACCACATTTATTGTACCTAAATTGATAAGATTGTTCTAGAAACTCCGCTGTTGAGCTGCACTGGTTTAACATGGTCAGTGGGAGGCTTGGAGGCATGACTGTAGGCCATTGCGGCAGGTAGATATCATGCCTGTACAGTGTACGGCATAGATTCTAGGACATCCTCAGACCACAGCGTCAGGTTGAAAATGGTCTACGGCAAAAGGCATCAGGCTACCTCAGTGGCTACATTCACAAGGGCCTTAGAGCCCATTTTGGCTGTAAACAATGTTGTTAGCCTAGCAGTAGAAGAGGTAAACCAGCAATCATAAGGTTGCGGGTTCAAATCCCAGGACTGACTGGGTGTACCTGGTTGTGCCTACTTGTGGCACTGTGCTGACTGGGCAAATTTCCATTCCGTACATAACAAGTAAGAAGATTCTGTTCCCAGCACAGGTCTAGAAAGGGAGTAGATCAGGACCAGGGAACTTGGTCATTTGGGCAGGATTTACCTCATCCTACATCAGCGCTTTCACTGTGAGACACTGATATTGATAAATACTATCTGATTATCACATGCTTGGATTTCTATCATATTCAAATTGTACTATTAGTACTGTCTATAATCCAGTACAGGATCTTTTTACTGACGGCACTCACAGTGTTACACTATATGTTATATATACACCGATCAGGCATAACATCATGACCACCTCCTTGTTTCTACGCTCATTGTCCATTTTATCAGCTCCACTTACTATATAGGTGCACTTTGTAGTTCTACAGTTACAGACTGTAGTCCATCTGTTTCTCTGCATACTTTGTTAGCCCCCTTTTACCCTGTTCTTCAGTGGTCAGGACCCATAATGTTAATAATGTTATGCCTGATTGGTGTATATATAACATATAGTGTAACACTGTGAGTGCTGTCAGTAAAAAGATCCTGTACTGGATTATAGATAGTAGGTTTATATGTATATAAGCATGTATTAAGTGTGTGTGTGTTATACATTTGCATGTACATATACATTTACATATGTGGCCAGATTTGCTAATGCATTTTGCACCATTTGAACCACGAATGAACAGGATAAGTGACCACTTTTGCAGCTACAAGACAACCAATAGCTTTAGAGTATAAAAAGGAAGTGTAGCTAGACATGAAGACATTTCATTCTTTTACATAACTGTTACAAAAGCACAGGGTATTCCAACCAATCATGTTCAAGCATTTGGCACTGGGCTTTATTTGCAACAATTGCAGAACAAGCTGCGTCAACGCTGATGTCAAGAAGGCAATGAAGACTAAAGTATATAAGCAAAATATTTTAGAAAAAAGTCAGTTTTAACCAGGAACTGATGATAAACACCAAATAAATAACATGTTGGATTGACTGTATAATAGTGAGATCACTCCCTCTTTATCATGTCAATAAGCCGCCTCGTTCTGCCTTTTCTGGCACGTTTCTAATGTTTTAAGAGTTTGATATGTGTCTTTGGTTTATTTGTATTTTTCTTTATTTTTTGATGAAGCTAGAGCGGCACTTTGTCTACTTTAACAAATGCAGTACGTTTAGAGTGAGACTTCGAGAGATTTAGAGTTCCAGCAGAGCTCAAAACCAAACTTTCCACTCCAAAACCAGAGATCTGGCAACCCTAAAGCAGAAAAAAAGGGGGGAGGCTATGCAAATGAATAGCCCGAAGCGATTTAACTGACCGAAAAAAGGGTTTTTTTAGCGTCTAAGGCGATAAAAGTGCACTTAAATTGAAATAGACAGATTTGTTATTAAACACAAGCTTCTCTTTTTCTCCTCTCTTTACTTACAAAAAAAGAAATTACCTCCATTTCTGTCCATTTAGCAGTTTTCTTTTATTGCTTCTTTCACTTTGGGATGACAGTTACCGCTTCCCATACGAAATATGCAAAGGGTCTTTTAAACGGGAGGTCGTTGTAAATCAGATTTTGCACTGTTTTTAGTAAATCTGGCCTTTAGTGTGTTGTGTATATGTGAGTAATGAAGAATAATACTCTTGTTAATGTCTTTAGGTATTACAACTGGAGCACTGCTGCACCAATCCTGCTGTCCATGCAAGTCTTTCAGAAGCCACTGCCAAAGGTACCAAACACACACACACACACATACACACACAGAAATGTGTATACAATTCAGTACCAGTCTGACTGTGGCTCTGTACTCCATCTGCTGGTGGTGCAATGTACTGCAGTCAAAAGCACACATCTTAAATTCCAGTTTTTGCCTGTCTTGAAAGCAAAATGTGTGCTTTTTCTTATATCTCAGCCACACGTTTAAAAGCTGTTCTAAACAAGTTAATCTCTCTCTCTCCTCTTGTCTCCTCCATTATGATCCCTCCTTTCCCTGCTTCCTCGTTCCTCCACTCCATCGCTCATTATTTAGTCTCCCTGCCTCAGTTGTGTTGATTTACTGTTGGAGTTTCTTCTCTCTTGTATAACTGGACTGTTTACGTCCTCCTCTGTGCGTCTCCATGCTTACTAATGCAGCTCTTCCCCTCCTGCATGACACTTCGCCCCCGCCTTGAGATTTTTCAGTTGTTGAGATTGTTTTGGCTCTGTGCATGTCCCTTACAGGCCACCATTGAGAGCATCATGAAGGAGAAGATGCCGAGGAAAGGAGGGCGCTGGTGGTTCTCGTGGAGAGGGAGAGGGAGCAGCTCCAAAACGGTACGCAAACACAGAGTTGGAGATATACATTACCACAAGCAAATGCACCTTTTTTAATTTTTTTTTGTTAGATCCTAACTCTTAGGGCTGGCTTGGTGAAAGGGTAACACTTTCATGCAGCTAAATGCATGTTGGGAGTTGCACGCAACCTTCAATTCAAAAACAAAGTTGTACGCAACACATTTGATTATTCCACTAGTCAGCCGAACTAGCAACTCATATTTTTTAATGCATATTATTGTTCTCGCTATATACAAGTTGTCTGTGTACATCTTCTGTTTCGTTTTCTTGTCCACTGATCATTGTTGTCAGAAGAAAACTACATATTTTTTGTTTTGTTTTGTCGCTTTTCAGTTTTTGACATTGTGTAAATTCCATGATGAATGGACCAAAAGAAATGACCCAAAATGACTTTTGGCATAATTTGAAAATGCCTGTTGCTCTTTACATTGTATGTAAATTTCACAATTAATGGGCCAAAAGAAACGGCCCAAAATGACTTGGAAAAAATTCTGGTTCCATTGACTTACATTAAAAGTAAAGTAGGTTTATTCCTTCTCCTGTAAAGTTACCATTTTGGAGATACGAGGTTTTCTTATCATTTATTGCATTGGACTACATTGGACTTTTTTCTGTATTTGTATTTCTGTCTATTGTCTATGTAGAGCTTTTTACTTTGTATTAGATCAGTAAAAATTCAGATTTGGATCCCAAAGAAATCTGCACTCTGTAAAACTACAGGGCATCAAGAAAGACGAAAATAAATCATCTAGCTGCATTGATCAGTATAACAGTAGGCAACAACTGTGGCACAAGCAACAGTTAGTGTTAACTAACTAGTTAAACCAGCTGGTTATAGAAATGTTAGCTTCAAGAACCTGACAAAATGAAAAACTAGCAACCTTTCATGAAGTCGATAATGAGGATCATCTTTTCAAACAGTCAAATAAACCGTCTTCTTTTTCAAATTCTTGTCTACTGATCTGGTGACGTCAAATAATTTCAAATAATCATGTGATGCATCATCAGTGTTTTGATGGGCTATTTCATGAAACGTCCATGACGTTGAGATTCTTACAACTGTTGCGGACAAGTTTCAAGTGAGTTGCAAGACACTTAATGTTGTGCAACTCAAGTGCAGTTTAGTTTTCAAGTTTCAAGCAGCTAAAGTGGCATGAAAGTTTCACCACGTAAAGTTTGCCTGTAGATCAGTTTGAACAGTATGCTACCATTCAGAAGTTTGGAATTAGAGTTTCAGTCAGATAATCAAAAAAAAAAATTTCAGTACAACTGATATTTCAGTTATTAAAAACATGACATTTAATTATTAATATGATGGCTGATTCCAAACTATTCAATGGCTTTTTGTAACTTACTTGCATTACAGTCATACACATGTAATAACAAACTACGCACACATCTCCATGTTCAGTTACAGTCCTTACTGCTGTTGCTGAGATATAGTTTGTGTTTTACAGGATTCTGTCTCTGTGAATGGAGCTGCTGGAGGAGCAGAGCATGCTGGGAAGCATGCTACCATCAGCAGGTAACATGACAGATAACATGGCAGTTTTGGAACTCAAAGTTCCTGTGATCTGTCCTCTGTCTCACCTTCTATCTCACACTGTGCACTTTTTCTTTTCTGATACTGATACCTACTTTGAAGCCTTGAGTATCAGCCGATACATAAATGTAACATGTAATGACGTGTAATCAACAGATTGTGATGCTGGAAAGGCTTCACTTGAAAGAGCTTTAAAACACAACAGGCTAGAAAAATACTGAAATAACACCATTTCACATTGCCGCTGTAAAACATGGGATATTTCGGGGATAAATTAGGAGATCGGTGATGTTGCGACGGCGCCGAGTCATAGAGATGTTGTTCTGGAACACTGTGGAAAGTCAAAGTGATGTGAAAGGTGCTGTGAATTTGTACGTTGTGTGATGTGGAACAGGCCTCAGGGTCCTGCAGTGTTAGACAGGGAGCCAACGTTTATCATTAGGCGACTCATTAGTGCCCTCATGTGGTTGCAGGCGGAAAGACGAATCCTCCTCCAGTGATGAAGATCACCTATCAACCAAACAGACAACCAGCAGCTCCACCCAATCAGAAAGCCTTCTTTCTCAAGGGGGCGTGTCTTACAGGAAGACCCTCCGCCTGACATCTGAACAGCTGGTAGGAAGTGCTGTCACAGCTGTAAAAGGGTTAAAAGTGTTAATTATCACACGTTAGAGGTATACAAAGTCTTAACAAACTGTTTCGGAATCATTACACTATAATAATAATAACAATACTACTAGTACCACTACTAATAATAAGAATAGTAATAAAACTTTATTTATAGAGCACATTTTGTGCTGGTGGCAGCTCAAAGTGCCTTACAGACAGATGATAAACTTTAACAGTGATAGAAGACATTAACATTGATATTGTTACTGTTCAGTAACAGCAAAATATAAATCAATAAATACATGAATAAAGAAATAATAAGCAAATTGATATAAATCAATAGAAGCAGTTATAGATCAAATTAAGATAAATACAAGAAGAGAGCTAGAATTTTAATTAAAACTATTTTTTTATCTTGTTGATTTTCTATTTTATTGGTTCTTTTAATACCATCTTGTGGTCTTATTGTACAGCACCTTTGGGTGTCTTGAAAAGTGCTTTTAAATAAAATGTTATTATTGTTGTTATTATTATTATTATTATTATCCCAAATACATAATAATGTTCAGGTCTGGGCTGATAAGAAAGGAAGCTGTAATAAAGATAAAGAGTGGACACACTAAACACTGAAAAATCTGATATTATTTTAAGTTGTAATATGATATTATATTAAGTTGGTAAATGTTGTCACTGTCCAAAAACTCTGTCTCCATTTTTTATCTACATCATTTGAGCACAGAGGCTGCCCTTTACATTGTTTGAAGACTTCATGATAATTGGAGAAAAAGAAATGCTGAATGGAGTAGAATCTCTTTACATACATTTACATGGAAAGTAAAGAACTTTTTGTCTTCTGCTGTAAAGTTGCTGTTCAGGGGATTTAGGAGTTTTCTTTGGACAGCAATGTTTTCCTGAATTTAATGGCCATTTTGACTATATGAAGGATAGTTTCTGAATTTTGCACTGTTCTATGTATAAATAAACCACACAGACTGTGTTATGTCAATCATATTGTGTGATTGCATTGTAGGCCAGTCTGCAGTTGAAGGAGGGTCCCAATGACGTGGTCTTCAGTGTCACTACTCAGTATCAGGGCACGTGTCGCTGTGAGGGAACCATCTACCTGTGGAACTGGGACGACAAGATCATCATCTCAGACATTGACGGCACAATCACCAGGTCAGCAAGCGTGAGAGCCCACAAACACACATCATAACAAATATTTCTTGTAACGTCTTTCTCTTGCGTGCTTCTTGGTCAAAAAGGAGAAACAGGATTTTCTCTGAATATACAAAAATGATTGTGCATATACGTTTTATGAAATATGAAGCTAAAACATAATATATCTAACTAGATATTTCTCCTGTCCAATAGATCTGACACTTTGGGACACATTCTGCCCACTCTGGGTAAAGACTGGACCCACCAAGGAATCGCCCGCCTGTTCCACAAAGTCAGCCAGTAAGAATCAGTGATCAAGTCGAGTCATATTTATTTATAAAGCAAGTCTAACATCAGCCAGTGCTGGACAAAGTGCTGCCCAGTCAAGAAAAAACAAAACAACATGTTGTGGTTTTTACCCAAAATAATTGCCCAGTACTGTGGAGACTGTATGTCACACTTCCTCAGTTAATATCCAGAATTAAGCATTTCAGTAGTTATACTTTTTTGGAACTTACAAACACATTAACCATAATAATTATCTTGTACTTTGGAGTTTAGATCTCACACTTACCTGATTAATACCTAGAACTTAAATAAGAACTCCACCAATTTTTCCAAAATTCTGCATCATTAAATGGTTAAGATGTACACAAAGTCATTCCATGGTTTGGTGTGAAACGCTCTGTTCTAGAGAAACTTACTGAGTCAGAATTGTTCACAGTGGTGGTGATAGGAACCAGACGTCCACCTCTAAAAGCTTCCTCACAGAAAGTTATTACAAACATATTTTTGCAGATTTTTGACTATTTTACCATCATCAACATTCCATATAAACTCAGAAAACAGGTGTAGGATCACTGGTGGTTTTGGATAGTAAATAAAATGTCTATATTTGTGTTGTAGTCATGGTGACCCCTGATTCCTATCACCACCACTGTAAAGAAATCGGAGTCTGTAGGTTTTAATGAACGTTTCACAACAAACCAGAATGAACGACTCTGTTTACATCTCAAAAACGAAATGTTGAAAAATTGTTGAAGTTCCCCTTTAAGAGGCAGTAAACGAAAGCATTGCCCATGATGGACGACACAGCTGATTTGATCGTATGTGTCCTGTGTGTGTTTGTGTTGCAGGAACGGCTATAAGTTTATGTACTGTTCAGCGCGGGCTATAGGCATGGCTGGTATGACCAGAGGCTACCTGCACTGGGTGAATGAGAGCGGCACCATGCTGCCTCAGGGACCCGTATTACTCAGCCCCAGCAGCCTGTTCTCCGCACTGCACCGGTGAGGGAACATGTACACACACCGTACTGTACTGATGCCTGAGAATTACATTTACATTTATTTACGTGGGTAGAAAACATTAACATTACAATAAAAGTAAATGAGCATTAAAATAGTGACTGTTCTGTGTGAGCATGTTAGTTTAACCATTTACAAAGTTCTCCCTGAGGAAGCCCAGTTTCCCATCCAATACCTGCTTTATTTAATCAATCCTTCATTGAATTTAATCAGCCATGCTGCTGATGGAACTGAGCAAATCCATGCAGTGGATGGAGCAACAGCTCTCAACAACATAGCAGGAACTTTTTTTTCCGAAAACAAGACTATCTGCTTACTTCCTACTGTATTTATGTTTATTTTTATTTATTCTAAAGTTATATAGTGTTATATGAGCAAATACACACTTAGTGCCAAGATAAATAGATTCTGATTGTTTTCTTGGTTGCAAAAAAAAAATCACCTGATGTGGGAGAGTGACTAAAGCTGGCTGTATGTGTTTTAGGGAGGTGATTGAGAAGAAGCCTGAGAAGTTTAAGGTGGAATGTCTGACCGACATTAAGAACCTCTTCTCTCCAAACACACAGCCCTTCTATGCTGCCTTTGGTAACAGAGCCACCGTGAGTATATAAACCAGCGACCCCACATGAAGTTATATCATACCCAGAACTGCTAATAAACTGAGCAAATAGAGTTGTGGACACATACAAAATATGTCCTTAAAATATTTCAATTGTTAACATATTTCACCAAAATTGTCCCCTTCCATTGTAAACTGGGTGGCCCTAATCTTGGCTTACTCTTGTAAGATGTACCTTCACTAATCACAAGGTTGATGTGGTTTGTCTATGGGCCTATGGGCTTTCTGTACTTGGCGACCGAAAATAACAACCAAGTGAAAGCTAACCTTGCAGGCATAACTAGGTAGTTTGTTTTTATTTATTTTTTATTTATTTTACCTTTATTTAACCAGGGTAATCATTTTGAGATTAAAAATCTCTTTTACAAAGGCTGAATTTAATTATAATATAACCAAGACTTGTCTGTTGATATGAATGCAGACAATATGAAGAAAGCTGACCAATAATCGCCTTATAGACAAAAATATCCAGTGAATTTGTCTTTGCACTGAAAGTGAAGGCCAACCAACCATTTCATAAAGTTCACAGTGATGAGTTGAATATCTAGCGCCCGTTATAAATCTCAGAGTCCTGTGAATGTAATGTTGTCTTGGAAGTATACCTATAAAAAATATCACCATAATCTAAAATTGGTAAAAAGGAGCTTTAGCTAGTTTTTTTAGTGCCTGTTGAGTAAAGCAGAAACTGTTCCTAAAATAAAATCACAACTTCAAATTTAACTTCTTTATCAGTTGTTCCACATGAAATTTAAAAGACAGATTATCATCTAATATAAAACCCAAGTATTCGTAAGAGGAAACTAATTCTATTGTTCTGCCCAGAAGTGTGTAAATTTGTGGCAAAGATGATCTCTGTATCAAGTTTTTAGAGAAGCATTAGAGAGCTAAGATTGTGCTGAACAGTCACAAATTCCTTCTGTAAATTTGAAAAAGCCTCTGCTGGTGATGAAGCAGAACAATAGATAATAGTATCATCTGCAAAAAAAAGTGCATATCAGCATTTAAAACATTATTGCAGAGGTCATTAATGTATGTCGTGAACAACAAGTGCCCCAAAATGGAACCCTGTGGCACCCCAGTTCTAATAGTAAGCTTCTCAGACAAAAAACATCAAAAAGTACACACTGACATCAGTTACTTAAATAATTTCTAAACCAGCCTGTGACGTTGTCAGATAACCCAATACTAGCCATTCGGGACACTAAGATGTCATGGTTAACAGTGTCAAAAGCTTTTGATAAATCTACGTATAGTTCGTATATGAATAGTCCATTTGTCCGTCCGACCTTGCCAGCATTCTCTGGTTGCGCACTTAGTAGTAAAGTGAATAAGAACCTTAACTACTTTAAGATGTCGCTGCTTTTATTAGTGAACTGTGAAAACTGCTGGAATAGTCTACAGCATCACCTGCGTATGTAGAGCCCACTCATTTCCCCACATTCACACTGTTGTGTTTAGTTCTGCTCTGTCAGAGCAGCAGAACAGGAGTCATGGACATAGACATGCCAATCAATTGTGCTCATTAGTATATTTGGCCCCTCCCAGACACTTTTTCACTGTGTTTTATAACATTTCTGTTTTGTTTTTTTGTTTTTTTTTTGCTTTTTTCACTCAAACTTAGCTGTATGTTTAATATAACACTCGTTTTTAGTACCATAAAACATTTTTAATATTTTACACAGTGCTCACTGAAGTTCATGCAGAAAAATAAACTGTGGTTTGTGAATATTTAATCTATTCTAAGTGTAATACTGTGTTTGCAGGATGTGTACTCGTATAAGGAGGTTGGCGTTCCTCTGAACCGAATCTTTACTGTCAACCCAAAAGGGGAACTGGTACAAGAGCACGCCAAAACCAACGTGTCCTCGTAAGTAATAATAATAATAAGGAATTTTATTTTTCATAGCGCCTTTTTAAAACAAGATTACAAAGTGCTTTCCAGAAAGATTAAAACAGGTATGTTACAAAATACAAAATGCGAAGGAAAAAAATATTGATATTGTTATGTCACTGACCATAAAGAGCAGAAAGAACGGATAATTTACTGCCCTGTATGTTAATAACATATTGCGCTATGAGAAATGGGTACAGTAGCCTAAACTCGAAAAGGTGCTGTTACTTAATTGAAATAAACACTCAAAAGTTCCAAACAATAGCTTGAGTAAGAGTTCAAAAGTAGCAGCTACAAAAACTGCAAAACTTTATTAAAAGTCAATATAACTGAGTAAGTAGAACCAGTTACTGCCCACCTATGTGTATTGTAAAGGTCAGAGGTCATACCCCAGAGCTTTGTGTGTTGTGGTCCATAATAAAAAGGCTAAAGCGAGTGTATGTGTGCAGGTATGTGCGTCTGGGCGAGGTGGTGGATCACGTGTTCCCCCTTCTGAAGAGAGCCAGCTCCTCAGACTTCCCCTGCAGCGACACCTACAGCCACTTCACCTTCTGGAGAGAGCAGCTCCCTCTAGTGGACAGCCAGGAGTGTGCAGGCAAAACCAGCAGCTGAAGCTGCCGCACTGAGAGTGGCCACTGCAGACACACACACACACACAGGGTATTTCACAAAGCAGGACATCTCAGTTAACCACATAACAAAAGTCTGGTTCCTTTTTTTGTTTTCTTAATGTAAATCTAAAAAAAACTATACTGGGATTCGCTGCGCTATGTTGGAGCCAAGCTAGCGAGAGTGTATATTCACAGAGTGCGCAGGTTTTTTATTGTTATTGAAATAACAGAAAAGTTAACATTTGAACCATAAAATAACCCCTTATAACCTCTTATTTCATTTTAATTTTTATTTTATAATTAGTTATTATTTTTTTAAAACATTAACAGCCAAAATAAGAACAGGCTTCTTTTTTTTCGTTTTTTATTGCTGAAATGAAATTAAAAAATAGTGAATATCGGAAGGTGCAAGGAAAGACAAAGCTAAACTAAATGGAGAAATGCTGTTTAGTGAAATGATCTTCTGAACAAATACATGACAAACCGTTTTAGCTTTTAATTCAAAGTTCCTTGACGTCAGAAACGTCACTTTTTTAACAATACAATCTTCTAACATGTGAGAATAAAAATCTTACATTTATTTTTCTTTTCAAATTTTATGATTTTACTATCAGTGGTAAAATTTTTAATAAGAAACCTATTTTTCAGCATAAATTGCTGAAAATAAATGAAAAAGATGATTCGCTTTAAGCTGTTTTTAACCTACACACATGCAGACACACACAGAGCTGCATGTCTTAAAGCCCCAGCGAACCTAAATCCACGTTTTCCTTCTCAGTAGGTTAATCTTGCTTTTGTGAGCACGCAGTATACATGCACACAAGGTCTCCTGTGAATAACTCTTCAGTGTCCCAATAAACGACCGATGCATTTTGCCAGCATTCTCCTCTATCAGTATAGAATGGGTGGTCCTAATCTTAGGTAGTGTGTACAAAACAGTATCCTCACCAATCACTGGGGCTGATGTGGGTTGCTTAACAAAACGCTGTTTAAGTTACCATAAGGAAGCTGAAAACTAGCCTAGCAGGCACAGCCAAGCAAGCAAGAACTTCTATTCAACCATTTGTCCAGTCAGCTGGCCAAGCCAGCATTCTGTTTTTAGTGAGTGGACACAGTAGAGTCCAACACCACCTATATATGTAGAGACGGTTTCACTCATTTCCCCCACTTCAGCTACACTATTGTGTTTAGTTCTGCTTCAGCAGCATAGCAGGACTGAGGGCTGTCAGTCACGCTCATTAGAATATTAGGCCACGCCCAGTCAGTTCTCAAGCAGGTCTGATCAGCATTTTTTTAAACCGTGTTTTATTATATTTGTCTCAATTTTAGGATCATACCAACATTTTTAATCATTTACAGTGTTCACTGGGACTTTAAGTGATACAGTAATCTGGCGTATACACTGACCAGCCACTTCATACAGACTGTAGTCCATCTGTTTCTCTGCTTACTTTGTTCTCCTTGTTCCTCAATGGTCAGAACGCCCACAGGACCCCCACAGAGCAGGTATTATTTGGCTGGTAGGTCATTCTCAGCGACACTGACGTGGTGGTGGTGTGTTAGTGTGTGTTGCGCTGGTACGAGTGGATCAGACACAGCAGTGCTGCTGGAGTTTTAAACACTGCCCATTCACTGTCCACTCTATTAGACACTCCTACCTTGTTGGTCCACCTTGTGGATGTAAAGTCAGGGACGGTAGCTCATCTGCTGCTGCACAGTTTGTGTTGGTCATCCTCTAGTCCTTCATCAGTGGTCACAGGACGCTGCCCACAGGATGCTGTTGGCTAGTTCTCAGTCAGGTGTTTAAAGACTCCAGCAGCACTGCTGTGTCTGATCCACTCGCACCAGCGCAACACACACTAACACACCACCACCACGTCAGTGTCGCAGAGAATAATCCACCACTCAAAAAATACCTGCTCTGTGGGGGTCCTGACCATTGAAGAACAGGGTGAACAAAGTATGCAGAGAAACAGATGGACTACAGTCTGTAACTGTAGAACTACAAAGTGTAGTGGTCAGTGGAGCTGATAAAATGGACAGTGAGGGTAGAAACAATGAGTGGCCATTCAGTGTATATAGATTTGTACACACACACACACACAGGTTGCACTCGCATTCAGACTCCAGTACAAAATAACACACAACCACAGCCCTCACACACACACACACACACACACACACACATACACACACACACACATACGGGTATGTACATGCAGTGTACCTCCTCACCTAAGCATAGCGGCACTTTCACCTCACTTCTCCATATTCCTGTGTCTGCAGACACTTCAGATTCACATTGTGCTCTGTGTTGTACAACATGCTGCCTTTCAGAGACTCCTCATATACATGAATGTGTGCCAGCTTCAACTGTGCCAAAGCACAAGCTTTAAGTTCAAACATATACATATACTGGTTGGGTAGTTTTAGAAACCAGTAGACTGTTACTGCACGGAGAGTCTGTTCCTGATGCTTTACTGACATTACAATCACAAAAGACTCACTGTAGCACTTTATATACGGTAAAACAGAACTTGTACGTGGGATATAAACAGTAGGATCCGCTTTAATCACTGTAGTTATTGAGAGTCAGTAGCAGAATGTATCTAGATGTTTGTGATGCCAGTGGAGTCGCAATGTGTCCAGAAGTTTGTAGACACCTGTTCATCCAGTGTTTCTGTGAGCTTGTGCTGCAGTAACAGCCTCTACTCTTCTGGGAAGGCTTTCCACTAGATGTTGAACTTTGCTGTGAGGATTTGATTGAGCATTAGTGAGGTCAGGCACTGATGTTGGATGGTCAATTCTGGATCATTCCAACTCATCCCAAAGGTATTGGAGCTCCATCACTCCAGAGAATGCAGATCTACTGCTCCACAGCCCAATGCTGGGGAGCTTTATACCCCTCTAGCCCACGCTTGGCACTGGGCATGACAACCTTGGGCTCGAGTGTGGCTGCTTTAGATCGTCCCATCATTCATTCGAAGAGGTGTCTGGATACTTTTGGACATATAGAGTAGCTTTCTCGAGTGGATCTGATATCGGCCTTATCTGCAGTCGCTCGCTGGCACCACCTTCTGGACAAAATCATGATTTCCACCTTTAATGTTGTGTATTTGCTCATTTGTGGTGACCCATGGTTTAAATTCATCACTGTTATTTGTGTATTTGAAGAGTGCATGATTGTTAAGTTCCGTTATGAAAAAAAAAATCTGTTTATCAAAAGAATTCCTGTTAGGTTGAGAGGATTTTTTTCGCCTGGAAAGTTTTGTATTGATTTTTTCTTGTGAATTCAATGGTTCCATCCAGCTGTACGTAACATTGCACTGAAACGGAGATGTAGCTGTTATGATTTCATCAAAAATATTGAAATTGTGAGGTATTCCGTATAAAATGCTGGAAAATTTGCCAGTTACAATTCAATACGTGTGCATGCGTGAGTGTGTAGTTATGCTGTGTACAATCGTTACTCAGAATATATTCACACAAAGGATAAATGTTGTAAAGCCTGACACCAAACTTTTACTGATTGTTCACATACAGTGGAAAATATCCTCAAATGTCATGTTTTGTGTTATTTATTCAGTCAACCGTATTGATTATGACATTTCTGAGATGTGTTGATTGGCCAGTTGGTTAGAGTTGCAGAATGAAAGAGGCTTGAATTGCGTTCAGACTGAAGCGTGTTACTGATGTATGTTACAGGAAATAGAAACTTTATTTTCTTAGTAGTTTTTTAAATGCCTTTGCAGTCATCGACTAAATCTCTGTGATATTATGGTTTATAGACCATTGGATCATTTAATATTCTTTCTATGAAAGATCAGTAGATCGGTGGCTTATTATTTTTCTCTCATTTCGGCCACTGATATCACTAGTTATGATTCATTCTGGAGCTGTGATATTTGTTGGTCCATGTTACACCAGTGCATTGTCTCTTTGTTTCTGTTCAATAAAAAATAATAAATAAAAATACAACTACTCTGTCTGTGCATTTGTGAATCACAACACAATCACAACAGCCATTAAGTAGGTCATTCATTTTTCAGGATGTATTTCTTGTGGTGAAAATCGAACACCTAAGAACCACCTGGAAGACCTGGTAGACACCAAATCTGCCCCCATCAGATAAACAGCACTTAAAGCTTTCATCTCTGAGAGAGAGGAGAAAATCAAGCTGCTTCAGATCTCAAAACATCCACAGGTGTTTCTGCCTATCCTTCCACTGTGAGAAGACCACTCAGCGCTGTGGGTCTGAAAGGATGTGTAGCTGATCAAGAAGAACCTCACTGAGAAAAGGAGACGGACACATCAAACAAAGAAGCTGAACAATGGACTGACCACCCCAGAGTCCAGACCTCAACATCACTGAATGTGTTTGATTACTTCAGAAAATGATCAACCAGCTTCTAAGACTGAACTTTGGAGGTGTGTCTGCAGATTCTTTGAGGAGCTGAAAGTGAGTCTCCTGAAAAGAATGGAAGCTGGAATAAAGGTGAAGAGAGACACAATAAACACTGAAAAAATATATATCTGGCTTTTTCGTGCTCACCATGTCCTCATTCTTATGAGGCTTTACATTCATCATCTTCCAGCCTCTGTTTATCCCTTGAGCTGTTTTTGTTACTGTGCCTTTAAGGCTGGTATATGTAAATGAGTTCTGCTCTCATTGGCTGCTCTCTATTGCATCTCATTCAAAAAGCAGTCCAGGCTGAAACACTCCTTACAACTTCACCATGAGTGGGCGGGGCTGAACTTCTGTAGACTGACTAGGTTGAAATATGTAAATGTGTTGCTTTTTGTGACATCACAAAAACAATTAGGCTTTTTTGGAACTGAGTGAAAAGTATTAAACCTTTATCAATTTAATACCACTATACACCAATCAGGCATAACATTATGACCACCTCCTTGTTTCTACACTCATTGTCCATTTTATCAGCTCCACTTACTATATAGGTGCACTTTGTAGTTCTACAGTTACAGACTGTAGTCCATCTGTTTCTCTGCATACTTTGTTAGCCCCCTTTTACCCTGTTCTTCAGTGGTCAGGACCCCCATGGACCCTCACAGAGCACGTACACTGAGGTGTTTAAAAACTCCAGCAGCACTGCTGTGTCTGATCCACTCAGACCAGCACAACACACACTAACACACCACCACCATGTCAGTGTTACTGCAGTGCAGAGAATGATCCACCACCCAAATAGTACCTGCTCTGTGAGGGGTCCATGGGGGTCCTGACCACTGAAGAACAGGGTAAAAGGGGGCTAACAAAGTATCAGAGAAACAGATGGACTACAGTCTGTAACTGTAGAACTACAAAGTGCACCTATATAGTAAGTGGAGCTGATAAAATGGACAATGAGCGTCGAAACAAGGAGGTGGTCATAATGTTATGCCTGATCGGTGTATCTACTGTATGCTATATCAATCTCTTACATCAACAAAGCAATGCCGGTTTGTTTTCCATGATAGGGGCCCTTTAAGGGATTAAAGAGATCCCACATTCACTCCCCAAGTGGATTTATACCAGCACAGTAGGTGTCAATGCAAAGTCCTTAAAGGGGAACCCCACCTTTAGAACAATTTTGTTAAATGTCTGCATGATGTGAAGATGTAAACAGAGCGGTTTGGTGTTAAATGCTCCATTCTAGACAGAAAAAAAGAATTGTTCACCGAGGTGGTGATAGGAACCAGACGTCTGAAAGGTTTAGTGCCTGTAAAAACTCTTATCTTAAGCTCTTAATCTAATACTAAAATAATATTATAGGAACAGACTGTGCTCTGAGTGCTGTATAAAGCAGGCCACAAAGTTTATGAAGGGAAACACTTAGACAGCAGGGGCTTTTAAAGGGGAACTCCACCAATTTCACCAAATTTCTGCATAGTTAAATGATTTAGATGTAAACAGAGTCATTCAGAGTGGTTTGGTGTGAAATGCTCTGTGCTAGAAGAAAAGGCAGAACAGTTCACAGTGGTGGTGATAGGAACCAGACGTCTGAAAGGTTTAATGCCTCTAAAAGCTCCTTCCTTAAACTCTAAATCTAATACTAAAATAATGTTATTACTAATAAAATAATGCTAACGTCACAGATATCAGTGTCAGCTCTGTTGCTGCTGTTGTAATGTAATAAATTGGTGAGATGAGATAAGGAACAGACTGTGCTCTGTGTGCTGTGTAAAGCAGGCCGCAAAGTTTCTGAAGGGAAACCCTAATAAAGCAGCGCAGCAGGGGCTTTTAAAGGGGAACTCCACCAATTTTGCCAGATTTCTACGTAATGCAGTGGTTGAGATGTAAACAAAGTCATTCATAGTTTTGGTGTTTCTAGAGAAACTTACCGAGTCAGAATCGTTCACAGTGGTGGTGATAGGAACCAGACGTCCACCTCTAAAAGCTCCCACATAGAAAGTTACTACATGTAATGGTTATGAATTCACTGCCTGATGACTGACATGTTTTTGTTTGGAAATTACATGCAGGAAGTTGTAAAGCAAAAATAGTCCCCAAAGGTTCACTGGCGGTTTTGGATAATAAATAAAATGGCCATATTTGTGTTGTAGTCATGGTGACCCCTGGTTCCTATCACCACCACTGTAAAGAAACCTGACCCTGCTAAAAAAAAATAGTTTCTGGTGGTTTCTGCTGGTTTTGTAATGTGTTTTGGCTTTTGTAATGGGTTGATATTACAATGTAAAGGACCCTAATGGTTTAACAGGTGACTTATGGCTGATTCTAAATGCATTCCATGGTTTCCCAATGAGATCCAAAGGTGTTCTACAGTGGACTCTATTGGAAACCATTAAGCCAATTCCTATTAGAAAGCAAAACCATTAAGCCCTTGTTCAGCAGGTGAGTCTCTAAAATCAACCATTTCACACCAGACCCCTCTGAACGACCTCACATCTCAATGATTGAATTATGCAGAAATTTTGAAAAGTGTGTGGACTTGCCCTTTAATCTCTGTAAGGGTTTCTTCAGTGCCCCTGAATAGGGTACTGGGCGAAAGGAGTCGCGCGACCCATTCTCAGGAGGAGTTTCCATAATGTCGACAGCTGATTGGCTCGGTCTGGTTGGCTCGGAAGCTGATTGGCTCACTCCTGCCTCACTCGCTGCTCTCTGCTGCCACCTAGCGGCGGTGCCCCCCGCCGGGCGAGACAGAGAGGAGGCTGAGTGCACCTGCATCTGCGCTGGACTGCGCTCTGCGCTCTCAGCCATGGAGCCGCTGGTAGGAAAACCGCTTTTCATTCCCATTTACACCTCATTTCCAGAATTTTCCAGGCTTCATCCTGAAGTCCAGCTGCGCGCGCTGCTCTTTCTTTCACTTTCATTTGCAAAGCAGCAGCAGCAACTCGGAAGAAGAGAGAAAGTAGACAAGAAGAGATCAATTAGTGTTGATATTGGAGAATAAGGCCAGATCAGGACTTCAGTAGCGCTAAACTATTAATAATGGCGCTAAACTGCGACTCTCCGAGCTCTGAGAGGCTCCAGAACTTCTTCACTCTTCACTCTTTCAGTTTAAGAGCTCCTCTTTAACCCTGTATGCGCTGCGCTTCTGCTGTTTCCCTCAAAAGAGTCGTTGCATCGAGCGGACTTGTTCAAGGGACATTCCACCTACCTTTTCAAAATTTCCGCATAAATGGTTAAGATGTAAACAGAGTCGTTCAGAGTGGTTTGGTGTGAAACGCTCTGTTCTAGAGAAACTTAGAATCAGAACTGCTCGCAGTGGTGGTGATAGGAACCAGACGTCCACCTCTAAAAGCTCCCTCACAGAAAGTTACTACATGAAATGGACTTTGATTTTTTCCACATTTCTTCATTGTTCAATCCTTGAGATGTAAACAGAGTCATCCAGAGTGGTTTGGTGTGAAATGGTTCAGATGTCTTTACAGTGGTGGTGATAGGAACCAGGGGTCGCCATGACTTTTACTATTTACTATCCAAAACCACCAGTGAACCTACACGAGTCTTCTGAGTTTATATGGAATGTTGATGATGGGAAAATATTCATAAATCTGAAATAATAAGTTTTCTCTGAGGACTATTTTGCCTTACACTGCCTTGCATGTACCCCTCCGCCATGGATGAATTCAAATAAATTGATTAAAAAACATTTTAAGCCAAAACTGTATCATAAAACAATGTGTCAGACATCAGGCAGCGTATATTTAACCAGTTTATGTAGTAACTTTCTGTGAGGGAGCTTTTAGAGGTGGACGTCTGGTTCCTATCACCACCACTGTAAACGATTCTGACTCGGCAAGTTTCACTAGAACGGAGCGTTTCGCACCAAACCACTCTGAAAGACTCTGTTTACATCTTAACTGCTGAACGATGTAGAAATTAGGGGAAGTTGGTGGAGTTTGAAAGTTTCCCTTCAGAAACTTTATGGCCTGCTTCATACAGTAAGGCAGCGAGAGAGCACAGTCTGTTCCTTATCTTATCTCACCAAATCATTACACTAACCAACAGCAGCAACAGAGCAGACACTGATGTCTGTGATGTTAGTATTGTTGAATTAGTATTAATTATTTTAATATTAGCTTAAAGGGCCAGTATCTTATATTTGTGTTGTATTTTATCTTTTCCCCTGAGGTCCACTTATAACATACTGTCAAATGTGTTGAGAAAACCGATTGGCTTAAGCCTTTCCTTCAACTGAGTATGAGCAAAACATATGTTTATCGTTGTTTATCGCTACAAAACCTTTTTCAGTTTTTGACATATTTTGAAAATGCCTGTTCGCGTTTAGATTCTGTGTAAATTTCATGATGAATGGACCAACAGAAACAGCCCAAAACGACGAAAGAAAAGAAAGTCTGGTTCCATTGACTTACATTAAAAGTAAGCTATATTTTTTCCTTCTCCTATAAAGTTACCATTTTGGAGATACGATTGATTAAATCCCCATTCATTTAGTTGATCTTAAAATGATTGCGTGTTTTAGAATTAAACATAATACAAAATAGGTTATAATATAGCCAATCAAATATTGCAGATACTTGATAATAATAGACATTGATAGCAATGTTGAAACCAGTTGAACTTAATTCTTCTACTGTCATCTGTTATGGGTGTGCATGTATAATTAGAAGAGGGGGAAACAATCCAGCCACACTAAATCTTGAACAGCCTATACAAATAACCCATATTGGCCTGTTTATATTTGCTGAAACTTAAATAAAAATAGTATATATAATAAAATGTGAGTAAAGCTACCTTAACTTAAAATATGCTAAAAAAAGATCTTACTCAAAACGAGTTATTATTTCAACTTTTTTTTCTGAGTTTTTATTTTTCCGATTAAGTTGCTCCAACTTTCTGTAGTATTTAAGTTGTGTTAACTTAATTCTTTAATTATGACGTGCAGCATGTTTTACAGTGCAGTTTAATATACCAGAAACAGTCTGCATGTTTAGCCAGTGGTGAAATGATGTTCAGGTATTTTATCTTATTTGGTACTTTTGGTACTTTTTTGGCTTGGAGGAATTCTGCTTTTGCAGCATTTTGATTGGACAGACACATGTTTTGGTTTTGATTGGACAGACACATGTTTTGGTTTTGATTGGACAGACACATGTTTTGGTTTTGATTGGACAGACACATGTTTTGGTTTTGATTGGATTGACACATATTTTGGTTTTGATCGGACAGACACATGTTTTGGTTTTGATTGGACAGACACATGTTTTGTTTTGATTGGACAGACACATATTTTGGTTTTGATCAGATAGACACATGTTTTGGTTTTGATTGGACAGACACATGTTTTGGTTTTGATTGGACAGACACATGTTTTGGTTTTGATTGGACAGACACATGTTTTGTTTTGATTGGACAGACACATGTTTTGTTTTGATTGGACAGACACATATTTTGGTTTTGATTGGACAGACACATGTTTTGGTTTTGATTGGACAGACATTTGGTTTTGATTGGACAGACACATTTTGGTTTTGATTGGACAGACCCACGTTTTGGTTTTGATTGGACAGACACATATTTTGGTTTTGATTGGACAGACACATTTTGGTTTTGATTGGACAGACACATGTTTTGGTTTTGATTGGACAGACACATATTTTGGTTTTGATTGGACAGACATATGTTTTGGTTTTGATTGGACAGACACATGTTTTGTTTTGATTGGACAGACACATGTTTTGGTTTTGATTGGACAGGCACATGTTTTGTTTTGATTGGACAGACACATTTTGGTTTTGATTGGACAGATACATGTTTTGTTTTGATTGGACAGGCGCATGTTTTGTTTTGATTGGACAGACACATGTTTTGTTTTGATTGGACAGGCACATGTTTTGTTTTGATTGGACAGGCACTATGCATGGTTTTTCTGTTGCAGGGCAAACACCTGTTGAGGGCGGAGCCTGAAAGCTTCTTTGATATTCTGGAGGAGAGGAGGCGGGGCAGTGACATAAGCCACGCCTTCAGGATGTTCAGCCCTCAGCCGTATCACGGGGCCACGCCCCCTTCTGTTAAAGCCCTCAATAAGATGGTGTTGGAATCGCAGTTCCTGCACTACGTTATCGCAGAGGTGAGCAGTGATGAGAGAGATTGATACAATTCAACATCCTGATCCTTTCCAAATACATGTGTGCACAAATGTGTGCAAAACTCTGCGCACCCCCGATCGAGGCACATGTGAAACAAGTGAAAATAATGTCTTCTAACACACTTAACTCAGGCTTATTACATATTAAGGCTTATTACTCAGTAACTACAGAGGCTTCAATGCAAACTGGCTGAACTATTCTTTGGTTATAGAAGTGTGTAATAAAACCTTTGGCCCACAAGTGGGCGCTGGCCATTTAAGATGTTAAATATGTCATTCTGCAAATTTTATTTCACATTTTCTATTCATTTGCTAAGTTTAACATATTGGAAAAAATAAAACATAACGTACATAACGTGCCATAACTTTTACACAGGCCACATTTTATGTTCTGCTTTGCTCCAATACGTTACATTCAGCAAATAAACAGTTATTGTGCATTAAAATTGAACATATTAGAGGAAAGGCAAACATAAAATGTGGCCTGTGCAAACAGTGTGGTGCATTTTACATTTTAAATTTCAAATGTATTATTTACATAAATAGAAATGACCAAAAAATCCATATTTGAATGTGTTTTCTGTAGAGAATGTGTAACTTATGTTCACTCAGGTCAAAGAAACATGTCATTTCACCAGGGGTGTTCAGACTTTTGCATACGACTGTACATAGGCATCAACTTCAATATTCATACTTCAGACATTAACAATACAGCATAGGCCTTCAGAAGCCTTTAGTGTCCAGACGCTATGGGTGAAATGGAGAACACAATAGTAATAATGTATTAAAGTGATAGTTTGGCATGAAAATCAAATTTACAGCCCAAACTGCATAAATTACATCTATCAGACAAGACATGTTTGGTTTCTGAAGTTAGTTTTAGCACTGGAGCTATGAGGCTAATGCAGCTAACAAGTAATAGAAATGTATAGCCCACCAATTACCATCCCACACTGGCCTCAAAGCATGTGGAGTTGTTCATTAATCTGAAATAGACTTGATTATGTGGTTTATGATGCTGTATGACTCACTATTATCTATAAACATGGACTAAACTACATCATATAAAGAGAAAATGTAGCAGAAATCCTGGATTTGGCTCGTTTTGATTGGTTGGGCTGTGCGCAGGTCGCTGCGGAGTCTGGAGAGCCGCGTGAGGGAGTGAAGGAAGAGGCCGCGGGGATTCTGGACGAAATGGCTCAGAACCTGCAGCTGAGCTTCATCCGTCTGCTGGGTTTCTCGCTCAGTAAAATCTTCAAAAGGCTCTTCCGTTCCATCCGGGTCAACGAGGACGGACTCGCACGGGTCAGATCTGCGGTCACCATGACTGTGCTGTTATTATCTGTCTCTGCTTATCTAGGAGGGATTGCGCAAAGAAGGATTCCTTAGTTTGCCTGGATAAGTTAACCTTACAGGGTTTTCCGTTCATCCCAAACACAGGAGGTCAGCCACGACACATTTGTTGTCCAGTTCTGTTTAGTTTAGAACTGCTAGAGCTGCTAGGCTAACAATGCTAACAATGGAAGTCAGTAGGCACCCAAATGCATGCCAAAATCTACATATTTTTACTTCAAGTTATGTAGGCATAAGACATTAGACATTAAATATACAGAGTTATTTAGTAAAAATTACATGTTCAGACCTTGTTTTCACTTTTAAGCTAAAACTGGAATGGAACTACAACCCCATATCCAGAAAAGTTGGGACACTGTGCAAAATGCACATAACAACAGAATGCAGCATTGTGTAAATCACTTAAACTCTATATTTATTGGAAAATAATACAAAGACAAAGTATCAAATGCTTAAACTGAGAAATGTTATTGTTTATTGACAAATATATGCCCATTTTGAATTTGATGTCAGCAACCCGTTCCAAAAAAGTTGGGACGGGGGCCTGTTTACCACTGTGTTTCATCACCTCTCCTTTTAACAACACTCTGTAAGTGTTTGGGAACTGAGGAGACACTGCTGTAGTTTTGGAAGTGAATTGTTTTCCCATTCTTGCTTGATACAGGATTTCAGCTGCTCGTCAGTTCAGAGTCTCCTTTGTCATATTTCTCACTTCATAATGCACTAGATGTTTTCAGTGGTGACTGGTCTGGACTGCAGGCAGGTCAGTTTAGCACCTTGACTCTTACCACAGAGCCATGCTGCTGTAATACATGTAGAATGTAGTCTTGCTGAAATAAGGCCTCCCCTGAAAAAGACGTCATCTGGATGGCAGCATATATTGCTCCAAAACTTTTATATATCATTCAGCATTAATGATGCCTTCACAGATGTGAAAGTCACCCATGCCATGAGCAGTAATGCACCCCTATACCATCATGAATACTGGTTTTTGAACTGTGACTGATAACAAGCCAGACGGTTCCTCTCCTCTTTAGCCCAGAGGATGCACCATCCATGATTTCCAAAAAGAATTTAAAGTTTTGATTCTTTACACCACAGGACACTTTTCCACTTCGCCTCAGTCCATCTTGAATGAGCTTGAGCCCAGAGAAGGCGGAGGCGTTTCTAGATCCTGTTTATATGTGTTTGTTTCTTTGTATGGTAGAGTTTTAACTTGCATTTGTGGATGCAGCAGTGAACTCTCTTCACAGACAGTGGTTTTCAGAAGTGTTTCTGAGCCCATGCAGTGATTTCCACTACAGAATCATGTCTGTTTTTAATGCAGTGCCGCCTGAGGGCCCAAAGATCATGGTCAGACAATAATGTTTTTCAGCCTTGTCCCTTACATGCAGAGATTTCTCTGGATTTTCTGCATCTTTTAATAATATTGTGCACCATAGATGATGAGTTATTTGCATTTTATGTTGAGAAACGTTGTTCTTGAATTGTTGCACTATTTGATCGTGCAGTCTTTCACAGAGTGGTGAACTCCTCCTCATCTTTACTTCTGAAAGACTCAGCCTCTCTGGGAGGCTTCACCAGTCTTTTGTTGCCCTGTCCCAACATCTTTGGAACGTGTTGCTGGCATCAAATTCAAAATGGGCATATATTTTTCAAAAAACAATAAAATTTCTCAGTTTCACCATTTGTACTATTGTCAATTAAATATAGTGTTTAAATGATTTGCCTGTCATTTATTCTGTTTTATTTACATTTATTTACATTTTGCACAGTAACCCTAACACGTCTTTCAAATGTCATATATCTGTAAACACTAGGGACACAAAAATGGACGTTTCTGTAGAATGACCCACGTACTTATATACATGATGAAGTGAGAGCCCAAATATGGACCCTCAGAGTTTTAGAAGTTTTTCTTTTCTAAAGGCTTAAGAAATCCTCCTTTGTGAAATACCCCCCACCCCCACCCCCATCTTACTCTACTACACTCTTAAAAAAGATGCTTCTTCAAGGGGGCTTTAGTAAAGAAAATGGTTCTGTATAGAACCAGGAACACTCAGAGAACCCTTTGCATGATCCTGAAAGAGTTCTTCAGGTTGACAGAGAACGTGCTATGGATGATTCTATATAGCACCGTAATTCCAACATCCCATTATTATATACAGTACTGCGCTAAAAGTCAGAGACCACCCTTCATTTAACTTAGATTCAAAGTTCCTTTCAGTTCCTCAAAGAATCTGCAGACACGCCTCCAAAGTTCAGTCTTAGAAGCTGGTTGATGATTTTCTGAAGTAATCAAACACATTCAGTGGTGTTGAGGTCTGGACTCTGGGGTGGTCAGTCCATTGTTCAGCTTCTTTGTTTGATGTGTCCGTCTCCTTTTCTCAGTGAGGCTCTTCTTGATCAGCTGCACATCCTTTCAGACCCACAGCGCTGAGTCGTCTTCTCACAGTGGAAGGATGGACAGAAACACCTGTGGATGTTTTCAGATCTGAAGCAGCTTGATTTTCTCCTCTCTCTCAGAGATGAAAGCTTTAAGTGCTGTTTATCTGATGGGGGCAGTTTTGGTGTCAACCAGCTCTTCCAGGTGGTTGTTAGGAGCCCCATTTTCTCTGTAGCTTTTAATCTCTTTTGAACTCCAGTTCGGGACACTTCTTTGACTTTCTGCTTCCTTATGGAAGTGGACTATCTTATATCTAATCTCCGCGGTGGTCACTGACTTTTGGCCAGTATTGTAGTTATTTAATCAATTAAATCCGTTTTTGTATTTTCAATGTCAAAAATGACAAAAACAAGTATAAAGGATGTGTTTTGTTGGGGTTAAACGATCAGAATGATGCATTTCTCACACTGTTTTATGCTGTGTCCTGTTTTTCACTCAGTCATTGTGTTGGATTCTGGAATTCGTGCTTACACTGCAAAAAATGGCATCTTGTCAAGCGAAATGATCTTAAATCTAGTCGATATATCCAGCATTTCTCATTTTGAGCTTGTTGTAGACTTATTATTAGATTATTTATCTTATTTCCAGATTTTTTTTACTTGTTTTAGGTCATTTAATCAAGTGAAATTATCTCCCTATACTGGCAGATAATGTTCCAGCACATTTCTTACAACAAGCACACTTACCTGCCCATATAGTGAGATCATTTTCCTTGATAAAATTACTTAAAACGAGTAAAAAAGTCTGGAAATAAGTAATAAAAAATCTTAAATTAAGATTACAACAATCTCAACAGGATAAATATTAGATTTAGTGAATATATTTAAGATCATTTTACTTGACAAGATACCGTTTTTTGCAGTGTACCTGATATTTTCCCATCCTGTCATCGTTCGGTCCTCAGCTCCAGCAGGCCATTCAGGAGCATCCTGTTATTCTGATGCCCAATCACAGGAGCTACATCGACTTCTTGGTTCTGTCCTACATCATGTTCACCTACGACCTTTCCATTCCCGTCATCGCTGCTGGAATTCGCAAGTATCTATTACAGACAAAAGAAGAGAATGAAGGCTGTAAAACATCAGGATTTCTGTTTAATACAGTTTGGATTGAAGAACAGATGCTCTTAAAATATCACACATTTGGTCCAGTCCAGCTCCCAGCATCCCTAGAACTCAGATTACTTGGCTTATTCTGTTGGTTCTCCAGCATGTTTTCTTCTAGTGATGCACAACGATAGTGAATTCATATCGGTATCAGCAGATACTTGTTAAATAAGAGCTGAATGTTTAGGCTACTGTGCTAAAATCTCTGCTTTTTATTCATTTTACCACGTTTGTAACCAAACACAAATAATTTTATCTGTTCTCTGTACACATCTCTGCTAATTCAGCAGTGGAGGACGAAGTACACAAACCATGTACTTGAGTTAAAGTAGAGACACCCAAGGTAAAATATTACTGCAGTAAAAGTAGAAGTTCCTCCCTTTAGACCTCCACTTGAGTAAAAGTACAAAAGTATTTGCCTTCAAATGTACTTAAGTATCAAAAGTAAAAGTACTAAAAGATTAATTATGGCTCTGATGTCCTGTTATCATTTTAATAACAAGACTCGCTTCATTAACTCAGTTTAGGTGAAATACTCCAGTGTCTCTCTTGATAAACCAGTCTTTTAATAGAGTCATTAATTAGTGACGCTGATGTCTATTAAAATTATCATAAACACAAAACACTGAAGGCAAACAGTTTCCATCAGGTAGAACTGAGTGGCTCTGAAATAACCTTTTTTTGAAGTTTCAGTTTAAGATTTATTTTCAAGTTTAAGTTTAATAAAATCTTTAAACTCAGATTCACAAATGAGTTTCCTTTACTAAACTGCATCTGTAGGTCTCGGTTCATAAACATAAACTAGCCAAAACTAATTTACTATAAAATGAAATGTGTTTGTATAAATTCAGAATAAAGACCCGTCAGTCACAACTGCATATGTGTACATATTTCTATATTGTGGTCTATTTACACAAGGTTAGTTCATCATTTATGTTTTACATTTTGTCATGTTACGTTTTTATACACACATAAACCAAAAGGAACGACAGATTTATCATAATGTAGCGGAGTAAAAAGTGAGAGATTTGACCTTGAAATGTAGTGGAGTGAAAGTAAAAAGTCACCCAAAATGGAAAACTTCAGTAAAGTACAGATACACGAAAAAACTACTTAAGTACAGCAACAAATTACATTTACTTCGTTACTGTCCACCACTGTAATCCAGGTGGATTTAGTTGCATTATCTTCATTTTATGAATGTGTAACAGCATCGACAGTTATGTTCATGGAAAAGATTTTGATATCAGCCCAGCATCACTATTTTTTTTTTCCGTAGTAAGCTATGCATAACGTCTTAAAAGGGAATTCCACCGATTTTCCTAACTTTCTGCATTATTCAGTCCTTGAGATGTAAACAGAGTCATTCAGACTGGTTTGGTGTGAAATGGTTGATTGTAGAGATCTTCTTTTAGAAGATTTCTTTACAGTGGTGCTGATAGGAACCAGGGGTCACCACGACGGCAACACAAATATAGCCATTTTATTTACAAGCCAGAACCACCAGTGAACCTACACGAGTCTTCTGAGTGTTTATATGAATGTTGGTGATGGTGAAACTAGTGCTGAAATTCTAAAATGTACGTTTTCTTTGGCGTCCTATGTATCCCTCCACCATGAATTTTAAAAATGTATTTTTAGGCCAAAATCTTTCCAAACTATCATTATACAGACATCAGGCAGTGAATTCATAACCATTCCTTGTAATATCTTTCTGTGAGGGAGCTTTTAGAGGTGGATGTCTGGCTCCTATCACCACCACTGTGAACAATTTTGAAAAATGGGTGGAATTTCCCTTTAACAGCAAGCATTGTGTATTTTTGATGTATTTCACCCAACAAGTGAATTGAGACACGTTAACGTGGCTGAAGTCAGAAGAACTAGCCGTCTCCTATCAATAACAGGCGTTCATTTGTGATTATGTTAACATTGATTGATTGATTGATTGATTGATTTGTATAAGTAAGACATCATCTGTTCTGAAACACACTTCATTGACTGCTCTTTCCTCCTCCAGCTCTGATGGGGATGTCTCTAATTGGTGAGATATTCCGACGGTCGGGAGCGTTCTTTATCCGGCGTGCGATTGGCTCGGATAAGCTCTACTGGGCGGTGCTCTCCGAGTACGTCAGGACTATAGTGCGGGTGAGAGTTTCGAGTTTTTTGTCAGTGAAACGTCTTTATAGGCGCCGCACAGTCATTTGCAGCGAACTGTGCTTTATAGTCTCAGATGATTCAGCTGTGGACGCTAAAGCATTTCTGTGATTTAATGAAGATGCAGTGGTATTTTTGATTATGTTCGTAAGTGTTGCTGTAGAGGTTTGCGCAGGACTGTTGTTTCAGTCCCGCTCCCGCCCACTCCTGCAAGATATCATCCCGCTCCTAGAGAAAATCGGAATCATTTGTCCCGCTCCTGCCCGCAGCCGAAACGTTTTGTCCCACCCACACAGTTCTGTCAAGGCGAACTAACATTCAATATCTGACACAGTCTTTTCACAAATACATTATTCTCTACTGAAATAACATGGCGGTCACGGTCATCAGGCTCACTATGAGTAACTTCACCAAACGCCGTTTATTCACAATTTAAACACAAAGCAGGAATTAAACCACAGAGCAGTTATTTTTGGTGTTTTGCTGGGCAGCTGTGGCCGTCAGACTGAAGGCTCCACCGTCTCTTTAAGTTATGAGAATTTGTATATTATTCACGTCATCGGTTGCTTCGCAGCTCTTTAGAATGAGTTCATTCATTTTAATAATAATAGTAATAACAATAATAATAATTTTTATTTTTATAGCACCTTCCATACATTAAAAATGCAGCTCAAAGTGCTTCATGATACAAAGTAAAAACAACAGAAGAAGAAGAGAAACAAGATAATCAGAGATAAATTATACTAATAAATAGCAGAAAAGGGGATATATTAATAATAATTACAAGTAAAAAGCTAAAGAAAAAAGTATAAATGAAAATACAATAAAAATACAACCAACAAGAAAGTAAAAGTAATAGTAGTAGTAAAAAAATATTTACACGCTAAAGCAAAGAAATATGTTTTTAACCGTTTTTAAATTGTTTTTTAATTGTTTTACTTATCATTTTATGCTATTTATGGATTTAGGATTTTACGTTGTTTAGGATTTAGAGATCATTCTACTTTATTTGGGCTATTCATTAATTTGCAGGATTTCCTCTCCTTCATCCCGCTCCCGCCTGCAGTGGGCTGGTTTCCCACCCGCTCCCGTTCGCAACTCTGAAAATTAGTCCTGCGCCGCAAGATATTGTGGGAATCTGCGGGAGCGCAGACCTCTACCTTGCTGAAAGGTGTTCAGTGTTTCATTAAGAAGCTGACGGCCATGTTTTTGATGGGTGTTTTGCAGACGGGTTTTGCTCCTGTGGAGTTTTACGTGGAAGGACTGCGCAGCAGGACACTGAAGTCTCTGACGCCAAAGCTGGGTAAGATGACTGTACTCTTTGTCAGAGTTGAGCAAAATACCCTGAAGAAGTACTGATGGCTGAATACTGAATACACTGTACTAAATGTATCCGGTATTCCATTACAGTACATAAAAATCTAATGTATTCAGAGTCATTTAAAATACACACTGATAAAGCACACAGGAAAAACTGCTGTTGTAATCTTTATTTAATTCTTTGCTTTTACTGTTCGTCGGTTTTCTTTATTTAATTCTTCAATTAATATGTTTACATATTAAACTTATTTACATGAAGTTACAAAATTCTGGACATTATTTTGACTCTTAATGCCTGCTTCAGTCCACGGCTGCTCCCACAATCCCACTGATAGTTATTAAAATAGTTAAGAAACAAGCAGTGATGGTGTCGAAGGTGGAATGAATTGCTTTTAAATGTAGTGGGTAAATATTCTAAAATTATTCTCCTTAAAAAGTAAACGTAACTGTATTCTGAACACTGCCTAAGCAAAATATTACTAGGAGTGAATACGGATACTTCTGCGCTCTGAATGTGTATCCCAGTACTTGTATTCTGAAGCCAAATTCACTCATGGAAAAGCTAAGTAAGCTGACTTTCCTCATGGCAGCCCTGCTGAAAAGACTCATAGAAACCATTACAAGTGTCTGCTGGTGGTGTCCATCAGTCACTAATGGTATTCTGTATATTCTGTGAATTCTCATTTGTGCTCGTAGGTATGATGCAGATGGTCTTGGAGCCGTTTTTTAAAGGAGAGGTGTATGACGTCCTTCTGGTTCCGGTCAGCATCAGCTACGACCGCGTTCTAGAAGAAACTCTGCTTGCACACGAACTGCTGGGTGTCCCCAAACCTAAAGAGTCCACAACGGTGCGGTCCATCTGTTCTGTCCTTGGACTTATTACCTTCTCTGGTGGAAATCTAAGACCAAGAGTTCTAATCTATGACTGCTAATTCCAGGCTGGTTTGCAGTGACAGTAGCTGGTGTGTCTGTTTGTTCGCAGGGTTTGCTGAAGGCTCGGAAGGTTCTGGAGGACGACTACGGCTGCATGCATGTGTGCTTTGGAAAGGCTGTCTCTGCAAGAGCTCTGGCCCAGGGAAGGGTCGACCGCGGGCAGTTCAACCTGGTGCCCAGGTAAAAACTTTGCCTGGTCCTGAAGTATAAATGAATGAGCTGTGAAGGTTTTTAAAGACCCAAGAAGGTTACAAAAGCATGGTGTAATCCTGTATGGATTATCTCTAACTCGTAGCTCATTGAAAAAAAAGTGGATAAATTGTGTGGAAAGTGCAGATTCCAAACTTTCAATCCATACCACAGTTGTCTTTGAAAGTAGAGAGAGTTTTTTTTTGGATTTTTTCCCAATTTAGTCGTATCCAGTTCCACCCACTAGTTACGACTCCTCCAATCACACAATACCACCAGCGCTAGGAGGGCAAAGACTGGCACAGGCTTCCTCTGAGACCTGTGAAGCTCCACCACATCTTCTTAAAACTGCCGCTCACGCAACGTCACTGGACAGCCGAACGCGCTCGGAGGAAAGCGCCAACCGCCAGATCTGTTACGTCAGCTAACAGACGCCTGCGCTGACTAGCATCGCGCTGAGTGATGGGGGACACGGGGGGGCCATCCTACCCACCCAGAGAGAGCGAGGCCAGTTGTACTCTCTTGGACTCCCAGCCACGGACGGCTGTAGCATCACCAGGGATTGAACCCGTGATCTCCTAATGATGGGGCCAACGCTTAGACGGTTGTACTCCCAACAGTTTTTAAACAAAAGTCATAAATGGAGATTTGAACCTTAATTATGTAATTACATTAAACATTATAGCAAAAAACAATAACTCTAGACTTTTTACTATTAATAAAATAAAACATTACATTGCTATTCATCCAATAATGCTGTCTTCATGTCCTGGTTCCTGTTTATGACTTCGGAGGTTATAAGTACAGCTTGATTTGTGTTCGAGTGGTTTTGGTTGGAAGTAAGATAAATACACTGGAAATAATTTAATTACTTTTAATAATTTAATTACTTTTGTTTTTCTGTCGGGCGGCACGGTGGTGCAGTGGGTAGCGCTGTCGCCTCACAACAAGAATGGCTGGGTTCGATTCCCAGCCGGGTGACCAGGGTCCTTTCTGTGTGGAGTTTGCATGTTCTCCCCATGTCTGCGTGGGTTTCCTCCAGGTACTCCGGTTTCCTCCCACGGTCCAAAGACATGCAGTCAGGCTGATTGGACATGCTGAATTGCCCCTAGGTGTGACTGTGTCTGTCTGCCCTGTGATGGACGGGCGACCTGTCCAGGGTGTATCCTGCCTTCCGCCCAATGACAGGCTCCAGCGACCCAGAAGGATAAGCGGTTTAGATGTTTTTCTGTCGTTAAAAAGAGTTTATATTTTTCATAACTGCAACAAAGTGAGGAGCAGAGGATTCTTATGATAGGAGGAATGTTTTGTGCAGTTAGATGTGTCACATGATGTGCTTATAGCTGTATTCTTATGTGTGGATGGTTTTAGTCTGCGGTATTAAGGTTGTGGCTGATGAATAACTGAAATACAGTCAGTTTATCAGCAGCTGTCATTACTACGCCCCAACTCGGACACTCAGGGCTGAGTTACCCATCTTGTAAATCCGATATTTCTGACAGGGCTTGAAGGCAGCATATCTGTGTATGATAATAAAGGATGAGTTGCAATGTTAAACATTAAAGATTTAAACTTAAACATTTTCATGTAATTTAAAAATAGACTGAAAAATTACCCAGAAGCCTCCACAACTACATATAATATAATTATTCAGTGTTCATTGAGTCACTCTTCACCTTAATTACAGCTTCCATTCTTTTCAGGAGACTCACTTTCAGTTCCTCAAAGAATCTGCAGACACACCTCCAAAGATCAGTCTTAGAAGCTGGTTGATCATTTTCTGAAGTAATCAAACACATTCAGTGGTGTTGAGGTCTGGACTCTGGGGTGGTCAGTCCATCGTTCAGCTTCTTTGTTTGGTGTGTCCGTCTCCTTTTCTCAGTGAGGTTCTTCTTGAACAGCTACACATCCTTTCAGACCCACAGTGCTGAGTCGTCTTCTCACAGTGGAAGGATGGACAGAAACACCTGTGGATGTTTTCAGATCTGAAGCAGCTTGATTTTCTCCTCTCTCTCAGAGATGAAAGCTTTAAGTGCTGTTTATCTGATGGGGGGCAGTTTTTGTGTCTACCGGGTCTTCCAGGTGGTTGTTAGGGGTCCCATTTTCTCTGTAGCTTTTTGGAAACTCCTGGTTTGTTTTCTTAGTTTATTTTGTCTCTCTTTTTCCTTACGCAAGTGGATTATATCTCCTCAGAAATATCTCCTGAAAAATTAATAATTTGTTCTTAATGGCCGTTTTGACTGGGTATCAAATAAATGAAGGGTGGCCTCTGACTTTTTTCTCCCTCTTCTTTCCTCTTTCTGTGTCAGAGGTTTGCCGTTGAATGCGAGTTCTGAGCTGCAGGAGTTTGTGAGCGGCGTTGCTCACCTGCTGGTGCGGCTGCAGGAGAAGAACATGGTCCTCAGCCCCTGGAGCCTCATGACCTTTACTCTCCTGCAGAGCCCTCAGGGCGTGGACTGGGAGCAGCTTACCCATAAAACCCTCTGGCTGCGGACCCTCGCCCTGCGGTTTGGAGCCCACCTCAACTGGCCTGGTAAGAAAACTCATCCTGTTTGTTATTGGCTGTTTACAGTGCCAGTCAGAAGTTTGGACACGCTTTGTTGAATGTTTTTCATCATCTTAAAGACATTTTCATCTGAAAGCTTTGCTTAAACGCTTGAAAATTGTTTCTATGGCAAATAAAAATAAGTAAATGAAAAACATATTTGAAATTACCCCCCTCAAAAAAGTTTTCACATAGAGCTTTAGTGAAATTAAGAAAACTGTTCTTGGAAATTTGGACATTTTATTTGTTATTTGGATGTTTAATTTTTCTTAATATATGAATCTGAAATAGATTATTAGTATCTAAACTAAAAGTAAACACTGCAGTAAGAACATATTGAAGATGAATAGATAATATTTACTTTGCTTTCCTGTAAATCCAGAGACACTTGGATTGGATTTTTCATGCTTTTTTTTAGTTTGTTTTTGACAGAGGGTCATTTTTAGGTCATTTGGTCAGTGCCATGGTATGGATATATAAATGTGGGTCTGACATATTCAGAGAAAAAATGACATAAATGACCGGTCAACAGCAATATTCATTTAGTAATATTTTTAATTCAACACATTAATTTTAATTTAGTTTAGACAGTGCTGTTACAATTAAAAAGATGTGTTACTGTAATTGAGTGCCTCCTTTTTGTGCATTAGAAGATAGAATTAACAGGTGTGGGACAATAAAGCTGGTATTTTAATCCAAAATATGCTTCATAAATTAGATTTACTCAGTACATTTAGCAAACAGATGAGTGATGACATGTGAAAGTGTTGTGATACTGTTCTCTTACATAAACACTCACATCATATCCAAACAATTCAAAAGAGCCTGCAGTTGCAGAAATGACCCATTTTCAAAAAACACAGTTAAATGAGAATCCATTTTTGACAGAGAGGAAAAACACGAGACACTGCTCTTCATTTTCTGTACACCGTTCTAATAAAGGTTCTGTGAAGGTTCATTTTTGTTCATCAAGGCAAAAACAGTGTAAATGTCCCCTCAAAGCTACTAACAGTGGTTTTAAGGTCTGATTGTGAACCTTAAATAAGTTTTTCCAGGTGAAAAATTCGTATTTGTACCTTTTCATAACCGAATGATTTTAAAACAGAACAGTAAAATAAAAGCCTGGAGACGAGACGGGGTGTGTGGAGTCAGTACAGCTTAGAACATATCATTTCATTGATTTATGGTTCAGTTATGTTCCCTGACTAAAGGTACTGAGATGTACCCCTTGAAGGTCCCACCACAGTGACAAGAGGGGACACTGACCCAGTGACAGTTTAGTACCTTTCTTTCTGAGAGTGCACATTCTGGTTTGGACGCAGCCCACTAGCGTAGCCGCTCACGTTATGTGCAAGTATGTTGTACACACCTACGCGAAAGTAGGTGGAAGTGTGAAGGGAGTGTGATTCTGAATAGTGCTGTTCAGTATCGCAGGGTTCTGTATGTTTTGCTCAAAGTGCTTCTCTTGGATTATGAAAATCAGCCCGTCGCCAGCATGTGAGCAGGATTTACACACAGTAAAAATGTGGGTTACAACAAAAGATCCATTCAGATGGTCTCCACTGTAGTTCGGCTGAGCATTAGACAGAGGGCTTATGTTCACTCAGTGCACTGCAGATGTGTGTTTTTTACTTCTTTACGTTTTGAAAAGGTAGGTGTCCCCAAAAAGGCAGTATAATGTTAATGTAGCTAATTCACTGAGCGTTAATAATACGCTGCCTAAAAAAACACTGTGTTTTGGTACGTAAAACCACGCAAATATCATAAGTAGATGATAAAAGGCTATGATATGGGCCCTTTAATTTACTGTTTATATATAAAATAACATATTGTTGTTGTCAGAAAAAAACCTCGTATCTCCAAAATGGTAACTTTACAGGAGAAGGAAAAAACCTACTTTACTTTTAATGTAAGTCAATGGAACCAGAATCTTTCCAAGTCATTTTAGGCTGTTTCTTCTGGTCCATTCATCATGAAATTTACACACAATATAAAGGGCAACAGGCACTTTCAAATTATGATACAAGGTTTTCTTCGGACAATAGCGATATATATATATATACAGACTCAGTAATACTTATTATTATCTGCACCAAAAATCTAAAATCACAATGATAAAGATTCCGTAACCTTGACAACCCACAAGCTGCAATTTTCCCCAAATTCACACCAAAGCAAAATATTTACAGCATCACTTTTTATAGTCAGTGGCTTCCTAAAAACAGACAAAAAACTGAAAATAAAAGTTATGATTTGTTTTGTAGCTCAGCTTGCGGATTCAGAGGTGATCTCTGACAGCCTGGCCCTGCATCGCTCCATAGCCTGCCGCGAGAAGGGGCGTGTCCAGTTGGTTGAAGAGGCGGGGCCAGGACCTGTCACTCAAGAGGAGGCCGCGTTCCGGAAAGCATCTGCAGTGCTCATGTGCGCCTCCTACAGGAACCAAGCGCTGCACGTTTTCACGCGGCCTGCGCTGGTGGCTCTCGCCATGACAACGGCTGCGAGTCCCGGGAAAGGTGAGCAATGAACACAGGTGCGCAGACAGCAGTGACTTATTTGATAAAGCTAAGGCAACAGCAGTGTTTGTGCTGGATGTGACGTCGTTGCGTAAAGCATTTTTTCAGCTGTAACTCAATGTGATGGAAATGAGTCGCCGAAAGCAAAAAACCTTTTCATATTATCGTTTGCCAAATACGTATGAAGTCAAGCTGCCATCCCCCTAAACTGTCCAGATTAAAGTTAATTTACAGAGTTTTTCACTTAGTCAGGACATAGTCAAACGGTCAGAACATATTTGGTGTCCAAATTTTGCTTCTTTAGTTTGGCGCTGGAGCTGTGAGGCTAATGTAGTAAACAAACACTAAAGTCAATAGTCACCCAAACCTTTTCTGCAAATACATCAACAAAACTTCTCTTAATCTGCTCAAACCACATCCAGCTCTTCATTAAGGTCACACAGACTTACTGTGAGCTATACGAGTGAACAAAACACCAAGTAGCTGTCATGTTAGACGACGGGTGCTGTGCTGAATTCTGACTCTGACTCTCCGTCATGCGCATGATGGACACCACAGATTACCTTCATGGTTTCTTTTGGCTCTATTTATAAATAACTGTTAACCTCTGATTAGGCACCTAAGCACATTATTTAAGGACATCTGTCTTGGCATTCAGTAGTTTTCCTGTAAAATCCACATATGTCGTTTGAGTAGAATCAAACAAAAGTAATTACAGTCAAATCAAACGTAAAAAAAGTAGTTATTATCAAAGTTTGTTCCAAATTTCTCCTCAGTAGCTACGTTTACCTGCAGCCTGATAAACCGTTAATAATCCGACTAATAGCTCAATCAGAATAGAATACGTAAGTGTAAAACTGCACTGTTGGAAATAAAGGTTCTGTTCAGGTACATTTTTGTTCATCAAGGTACAAACAGTGTAAATGTTCCCTCAAAAGGTACAACAGTGGTTTTAAGGTCTGATTGTGAACCTTAAATAAGTTTTTCCAGGTGAAAAGTTCGTATTTGTACCTTTTCATAACCAAATGTTTTAAACAGAACAGTAAAATAAAGTCCTGGAGGCGAGACGGGGTGTGTGGAGTCAGTACAGCTTAGAACATATCATTTCAGTGGATTATGGTTCAGTTATGTTCCCTGAGTAAAGGTACTGAGATGGACCCTTGAGGAGACCACCCCAGTGACGAGAGGGGCACTGCCCCAGTGTCAGTTTAGTACCTTTATTTCTGAGGGTGTGTTTGAAGTAGATTTGCGCTGAACTGTCACTTGCTGTTGATAATTGATAACCATGTTTCTGATCTTAGTCAGTCTGATGGAAACAAAGCAAAAATATTCATAAACATTTTGTTTACAAAATGCATTTAAAGCCGATGGAGGTCGAGCTACTGTTGGTCACACATGTCATTTCCTCTCCAGAGGACGTCTTCAGACGCTTCTGCTTCCTGCAGGAACTGTTCGCTAATGAGTTCGTCTTCATCCCTGGACACGCAGTGCAGGTGAGACTGAGACTGACCGCTCAGCGTTAGTGAGAGAGAGACTTACCCTCTACATTCAGTCCATCCTTCAGTGAACAACCTGACTTTCTAATCTTCCTGTCCCCCTCTCTCTCTCTCTCTCTCTCTCTCTCTCTCTCTCTCCCTCTCTCTCTCTCTCTCTCTCTCTCTCTCTCTCTCTCTCTCTTACTCTGTCTCTCTCACTTACTCTCTCTTACTCTTTCTCTCTCTCTCTCTCTCTCCCTCTCTCTCTCTCTCTCTCTCTCTCTCTCTCTCTCTCTCTTACTCTGTCTCTCTCACTTACTCTCTCTTACTCTTTCTCTCTCTCTCTCTTTCTCTCTCACTCTGTCTCTCCCTCACTCTCTCTGCCTCTCTTACTCTCTCTCTCTTTCTCACTCTCTTACTCTTTCTCTCTCTCTCTCTCTCCCTCTCTCTCTCTTACTCTGTCTCTCTCACTCTTTCTCTCTCTCCCTCTCACTCTCTTACTCTCTCTCTCTCTCTTTCTCTCTCACTCTGTCTCTCCCTCACTCTCTCTGCCTCTCTCTTACTCTCTCTCTCTCTTTCTCACTCTCTTACTCTTTCTCTCTCTCTCTCTCTCCCTCTCTCTCTCTTACTCTGTCTCTCTCACTCTTTCTCTCTCTCCCTCTCACTCTCTTACTCTCTCTCTCTCTCTCTCTCTCTCTCTCTCTCATACTCGATCACTCTCCCTATCACTCTATCACTCTCCTTTCTCTCTCTCTTTCTCTCTTATACTCTATCACTATCACTACAATAATGTTAAAATAACTTAAATTACAGGAGAAGGTAAAAACTGACTTTACCTGTAATGTAAGTCAGTGGAACCAGACATTTTTCCAAGTCATTTTGGGTCGTTTCTTTTGGTCCATACTTCATGAAGTTAACACACAATGTGAAGGACAATAAGTTTTTTCAAATTATGCCAAAAAATAAAAAAAAAACAAAAATGGAGATACGAAGTTTTCTTCCGTCAGCAGCGATACATAACTTAAGGTTTGGGGGGGTCAGTGAGGTCAGGATGTGGAGTGCGTTACTTACTGTCCCTCAGGCAGTGACATGTTGCCACATATTTTGCAACAAGAGATGCTGTTTGTCCTTCTCCTTCCAATCTGTTAGAATTCCAAAATTTGGGACAATGTTTTTTAATTTTGTCATTAAATTTTTATCTTTCCAATCTCTCTCTCTCTCTCTCTCTCTCTCTCTCTCTCTCTCAGGACTTTGAGGAGGGCTGTGTTGCTCTGCAGCAGTGTGGAGCACTGACCATCACTGACCAGGCGCTGAGAGTAACTGAGGAAGAGCAGGACACCATCGTCTTCCTCACTGCCGTTCTGCAGCCTTTTATTGAGACATATGAGGTGACAGGACACAGTCATGCATTCATAACTTGTTCATAACAACGAACAAAATATTATATAGCAGTTTATCATCAGCTAAAATTTCAGAATCGTGACAGGACGTTTCGCTGCGATTCAGTATGTTTAATAATTATGGCTTATTTCACCATAAATGGTGCGGTTTCAGTCCTAGGATGGGTTTTGTTGGTGTTCTTCTGCTCTGTGTTTCAGGTGGTCTGCAGAATCTTGTGTGAGGAGAGATTTCAGACGTTCTCAGAGAAGAGCTTCATATCGTCCGTTCGTGATGTCATCATCAAACTCCTGATCTCAGGTGAGCAGGAGATGCAGATGAACGTTTAGTAGAGGTGTATTCTCCTTAGTAGCCTATTGGTCACACAGATGGAACAGCGCTAACAAGCCTGTGTGGTGACATCACCAGAAAGGTCCCGCCTCTTGCAATTGCGGTGCGAAACTCGTGAGGGAAAATGGAGCTCGTTGCATTGTGTTTGTTGCTTTTTCATTTCTTCACGGAATTAGAGGAGACGTTCTTATGTAGTACGATAAACTACATACATACAAATACTTCTAAATAAAATATGATAGATGGACGATGCTTTAATTCATAATTTTACACTTTATGAAGGAATGAAGACGAATTCAAGGACGTGAACAACTTAGGCCCAATCCCATTTCTTATTTTTACCCCTACTCCCTTGTTTTCGAGTGTCACCCTATCCCCTTGGAACTGAGTTACAGGGTAGTGGTTGAACTCTTCCCTCTGAAATGGGACCCTCAAATAAAAAGAGCATTACTTCACTAACAGCTACCAGCGCTGCTCTGTAGGCGACCCTGCCAGTCTGCAGTGACAGCAGAGGAGGGTAAAGTTCAGCTCCTCACTGCTGGGCTTTAGTTACATTTAGGGCACTATATGCCTTCAAAGAGGGGGGCAATTATTTATTATCACTCACCACTAATTCTTCAGTGATGTGAAGCTGAAGTCAGATATTCCTCAGTTTCTTGTTTGAATTTTCCCGTTCCACCTTAAATGGAGCAGCAGTTACATTCTGGCGCTTCAGGCGTCAGAACTGCTGGACTATTTAAGGTGGAACGGGAAAGTTAGCAAGCTAGCTACCGAGGCATTAGCAAACTATTAGTGATTTTTTATGCTTGTTATGAAGAAAAGGACCAAAATACACTGAAACAGCATTAAACTAAGATAAAACAGTGGTTATCATAATTTTTTAACAGAGAAAATCCTCACATTTGTGGGTTTCTTTGGTCTCTTGTTCTCCATCTTGCCTGTTTTTCTTTTTCCTCATAACTCTCTGTTTGGAGTCTCTGAAAAACCTCTGTTTGGAGGGTCATGTAGCTCTAACACTTCATCCCCACCCCTCTATCTCAGCAAGAATAGGGACACCCTACCCCTAGACATGAACACGCAAAACAGAGGGCTAAGTGGTAGGGGCGAGGGGTGAAATGGGATTGGGCCTTACATTCTAAAACAAGCTCTGCTCCAATGGCTTCATTTCCGTGGTGCTGTTTTGTTTTTCCGTGTGCAGAGAATTGTGGGTACCCAAAGGCCTGGAAGGATACCTCAGTTGCGTCCTCAAAAGCACTCAGAGCACAGGCTGCATTTCTATGAGAAATTAGACACCCTGCAGCCTTGCGGTCCTCGCATACATGCGCAGTGGTGGACCGCAGAACTGTGACTGTGCCATTTGCTTCAGTTTCTCTTCTCATTGTTCGTCTCTCTGTTCTTTCCTCTAATCCTCCCTCGCTGTCTGAAAGTTCGTCTCTGTCTCCCCCTGCAGGTGAGGTGCGGTCGTACGAGTGTTTGTCCTCAGACACTCAGAAGAACGTGCTGTCAGCTCTGCTCAGGATGGGGGCTGCGTCTAAATCCAGAGTGTAAGTTGGCTGACAAGGTTGGCTAATACATTTTGTCCTAATGGATTGAAAGATATTGGTGGAAATATCACTCATAATTAATTGTCAGTTAATTTCTTTGTTGGTCATGCCAGGATTTGATCTCACGGCCTACCGGCAGTGGGTGAAAGCTAGAAGGCACCCCCTTTTTAACCCTTTTAAAGGACCAGTATCCTGCATTTTTCTTGCATGTGAAAGTTTGTGTGGTTTTATGTACCATAATTCGTTTTTACATGGCATTTTCCAACGTCTCTCTATCCCTTAGAACTGAAGAGGCTATTTTGGTTACTGTGCCTTTAAGACTGACTTATGTAAATGATCTCTGCTCTGATTGGCTGTCCTGTATTGTGCCTCAATTAGAAAGCAGTGAAGCAATGTTTAAACATCAGTGTGAATGGGTGGGGCTAAACTGCTGTAGGCTGAATGGGAGATAAATGTAAATGTGCTGGATTTTGTGATGTCACAAAAACACTGAATTTAAAATGGGCTGTTGTTGCAGCTTATTTCCCATATATATGGATTTTGGAGTGAATGGTATATGTTGACACTTGAACAATGTTTACATACTACATCAAATTCTACTTTTTTCCCAGAAAAATGTGGCTTTCTATGATATGGGCCCATTAAGGTGACATATTCAGAACATGTTTAAACTTAAATGACATTGCAATGCTCTTATCTATGGATCTTCTAAAACTATTTGTTTTAAAATGTGGGTATTTGATTTGCAAAAGTGGCTAAAAAGCCCATCTTTAGTTTGAAAGGCTTTAAAAAGTCCCTGGTGAGTTTTGTTCACATCAGCAGTGAAACTCAGCTCTGATTCCTTATGTCAGGGGTCACAACCCAAACGTTAAACGTAAATGTTTTGTCCTTTCAACAAGAATTAAACCACCTTGGGAGCCACAACATTTTATGTCTATTTTACCTTCTTGGCTGTAAATATGTGCTGATGTACTAGTGTAGGCTAAAAAATATAAACAAAACGCAGACTTTCTTTGCTCTGCTTTAAGCTTTAGCTCAGCTATAGCTTTTCTCACATCTCCAGCAGGAAACTTTTCCTCAAAAGTAGAACTGTTTCTTGTAAAATGTCTCTCAACTTCCTACTTTTTACCAGGCTGAAGTCGCTTCTCGTTCACCAGCTTCTTATTTGAATTTCCTCATTCCACCTTAAATGGTGCTTGCGATGCCAGAATGTAACTGCTGCACCATTTAAGGTGGAACGGGACAATTCGAACAAGAAGCTGGTGAATGAGAAACTTCAGCCTCGCGACGTTTCTCGTTGCAGATTAAACGTATCAGGAAACCAGCTGGAGTGATTATAAACACAAATAAGTCCATTCATCTCCAAATTATCGATGTTTGTCTTAAATCTCTCTCTTTACCTTTTTCGTTAGCTACAATCTAGGCGAGACTGTTGCCTGCGTTGCTATGGTGTCTGTCTGTGCGCCACCCTTCAGGGTTAAAGGGTGAATCAGCAGTTCTACATTAACTCCAGAGTTTAAGACCATTTATTGTTAAACTGTGTTGAATGATCAGCAGAGCTTTATTTTACTGTAAAGGAGGATTATTTTATTATTACCTACAAATCTGATTCAGCTGTGGAGCCACAACAGGGCAGTAAACAGAGCTGCATGCAGCTCCGCTGACCCACTGCCTTATGCAGTGTTGATTCTTTATCCTGACTAATGCTGATGTTGAAACACTGCTGATCTACTGACCTCTCTGACTGGGGTATATACTGTATTACATGTCTGTAATTTAAACTCTCTCTGTCTGTTTGTCTTCATCAGAGCGGAGCAGAATGAGTACAGGGTGAGCAAAGCTGCAGTGAGGAGAATATGGGAAACACTGGGTAAGAACAGAGGCCTGTTTTCAGTGCTTACAAAAAAACATATGGATGCTACTTCGATTGCCTTCGTTCACTGTTGTCTGATGCCTCATTAGGACTCGCGGAGCAAATTCTCAGCAGATAAAGCCGCAGTCATGCTAGACTTTCGCAGTTCACATCGGCTTGTGAAATGGTGGCTAACTCGCCAATGATAAACACTTACAACACTAATCTTAATAAGAATAATAATATTTTTATTAATATAGCACTTTTCATGCCGGTGGCAGCTCAAAGTGCTTTACAGACAGGTGATAAAGCTTAACAGTAATACAAGAAATTATTAATTTAGAATCATATAAGAAAATGACATAGATCAGATTAAAAGATAAATACCACAAGTTCTAATTAAATGCTGAGTTCAAGAGAGATGTTTTTAGATGTATTCAGGGGGTCCTGTGATGGCTGGCAGCTCCAGTGTTTACTGGCTGCTAACTCATTCGCCATAGCAGTGTCGATATTAGCTTCAATGGCAACCAAATTCTTTTGGAAAAGCTCTTTTCTAGGTTGGTAATGCGCTCGTCCACACATCAGTCGAGATCTTCTTTTGTCATGGTTCGAGAAACGAGTAAAAATTCACTTTTTCCTCCAGTCTCTTGGGAAATTGGGCGAATTTTCAGAAAATATGCTACAGCATATCATAAAGTTTTCAGAGGTATCTCAGTTACAGTTGCTAGGCTACGTGTTTATTTATTCATGCGTGTATTTATAGCCAGTGGGGAAGGTTTATGCTTAAAATAAAAGAAAACAAGTTTATGCTTTTGGATTTTCAGTGCCATGAAGCCCTGTGGACAGCGCAGCCCAAACAGTAGCACTATTGTTAGAGACACTAATTAGCAAAGTTCACCAAAGTTGAATTTCAAATGTGAAATTTTGCATATAAAATATATTCATCCTGGCAGTCTGCAACACAAAATCGCTCATCGCATCTAATTCCTTTAAAATGAATGTAATTTTGCCATTAGAATCAGGAGCTACAGATTTAAACTCATCTTTGTAGAACTTCTGGTGCTGCCATAGTCAACTACTGTCACCGGAGTGGCTCCCTGAATAAGCAACTTTAACAAAGCATATTCTTTTCTTATACTCACTCATGCTATTATCATAAATAGGTGATAAATCGGCCTCATCAAAAAGCTCACAGAGACCTAAAACATGATCCTTACTGCAAAGAAATGACTGAAATAAACCATTTGTAGTTCTTTAGTGACACTGCTAAAATTTGCATTTGCTCTGTTTTGGATATTCAATGCTGTAATACCCAACACAGCCACCACAATAGCACTACTGGTAGAGGACGCTAATGATCAAAGTTCACCAAATTTGAATTTCATGTGCAAAATTTTGCACACAACACAAAATCACTCAGTGATCAAATTCCTTTGAAATGAATATAATTTTGCAGCAAAAATCAGACTGGTCTGATCTTAAGGCTGAGAGTTGCCTAATAGCATTTCAGACAGACTGCTTTACGATACAGTATTATTCATCAAGATCAAACAAAATGCAAAAATATGTTGTATATTAAATAAATGGACCATTAGGAAATGCATGTAATAGCAGTAAGAAATGATATGGAAAAAATACATGACGATAAGGTTTGTGCCGATATCGCCCAGCCCTCAGTGTTGCTATAGTAATTCTGTCTCCTTGGCTACAGGCGGCAGGGTGAACCCTCAGGTGGCGTCGTACTCCAGGCTGTGACTCTGTGATCTGAGGAGCTGGACTGGAGCGGTGTTCTTCATCCCTCCATTCCTTACCTTCTTTCATCCAACCCACAGCAGCGTCTCAGTCCAGAGGACTCGGGTGCTGGACAGAGTTTTCCCTGCTCTGACGTTCCTGATGAAAAACCTGCATTATTTTGATGCTCCACTGTAGCTGCTTTGTAGATGCTCACATAAACTCAACACCCACTCTAACCCTGACTTTAACCTCAATCTAGAACCTAAACTTAAGCCTCACTCAAACCGAACCTCAACCCGGTGGATAATCAGTTGAGTTTCACCATATAGTTTATTAGCAATTTGAGCATTTGTAGATAGTCTATACAGGACCATCCAGACAAAGTGTGACTGAACTTGTTAACCATCTTAAATCAGGTGTTTTAGAACAACTTCTTAAGCCCTCCTCATAGATAAGGGTGCATCAATAACTACATTTACGTGCACACCATAGTCTGACTAAGCCTTAGTTGGTTTCTTTTTCTTTAATTCAGTTTGTTTTGATGGGTGTGAACACTCCCCCCATACTCAATCGAACAGCTGAACCGCGGTCCGCCAAAAATTGCTGGTTTCAGTCCAGTTCAAAGTGAACCGTGGGTCAGTTTGCTGCTGGTGGGAGCACATTTTAACAGCAGAGCGTGCTTTCCTCTCCTTCTAGCGGCACGTCAGCGCTAAACTGTCTGCGTAACCTGCCTGTTTAATGTCCGACTCTTGAGAGACACTCATTTTGTTCCTGCAGCACAAGCTATTGATAATAACTGCAGACGAGCAATGAAAGTATAGAAAAGCAACGCATTCGATTTAGTCACAGGGATGGCGGGACACATTTTCAGCCAAGCATCAGCAACCAGGAACAAACTCTTCAATCATGAAGAAATAGATATCAAGTAAGGTTTATTTTCATTGCTTGACTGTGATTGTATGTCAAGCATCTCAGTGTTTTGGCTAGTAACAGAGCGCGTGTGTCCCAGCCAAATTTCTGACCAATCAAAGAACGCCCATGTTTGTATTTTGGTGCATTTTAGCCGTTGCAGTGTGAAACCAAGGCTACATTCTTAGGTAAAAGTGGCCCAAATTTGATTTCCTCACCAAATACAATTTTTTTGTTTTGCTGTTCAGAATATCTTTTAACTGTAACATCAGTCTGAACAGATCAGCTCCTAAACTGACCCGCATACAAAAGAACAGAGCGTCACACTGCTTTAGTGGCTCATCCAGAGGAAAACAATCACGACCGCCAACGAACACCAGTCGCTCCCGGAGGACCAGCTTCATCTTCACCAGCATCACAGGAGCCATCATGAAGCTTCACTGACTGACAGCTGGGCTCATCACCCAGAATGCGTCCGAGCCGTAAAAAGGGCGCGGTCACTTCTTTGGTTCGCGTCCTCGGATTCTTTAAACTCTGCTTTCAGACTTTTAGCTGTTCTTTGACGCTGCAGCCTCGTTCTCCTGCGGCCGCGTTCAGACATTTCTTTCCAAATCCCTTTTGATGAGTCTCTTCTAATTTTGGTACAGAAACATCACCAACATGTTTATGAGTCTCAGCAGCGCAAAATGATGATGAATGACGGGTTGGATTGACATAAAAGTGGCATGAATTCCGATCTGGCTGTTCAGACTGAGTCGCGTTGCCGCAGATCGGATACGTATCGGATTTCTGTACCACATACAAAAGCGTCTCAAATCAGAATTGAAAATGTCAGATTCAGTGTGTTTATCTATTCACACTGACACACACATCTGTGTCACATATGAAGAAAAAGATCAGATTTGGGCCACTTTTACCTGCTGTGTGGACAAAGCCCAAGATACAGTGTTAGAGAAAGGAGTGTAAAAGGAGCCTCAGAAACCAGACCGAGCCAAGACTAAGTACTTCTAATAGTCCAGTCAGTGTGATTTACTCGCGCTACTCTTAGTTGGCGAAGACAATCGAACCCTTCTGTTTATGCGATCATAGTTAATCCCGTCAGACCACTGTTGATCCATTGGTGTGCATGTAAACATAGTTACTGAATACTGTCACCTTCAGAGTCAACAGCTACGGTTTTAAACTGAGTCACATTCATCTTTATAGAACTTCTGGTGCTGCCATAATCAGCTACGGTCACTGGAGTGGCCACCTAAATAAGCATCTTTATCAAGGCGTCTTCTTTTCTTACGCTCACTCATGCTGTTTTCGTAAGTAGGTGATAAATAGGCCTCGTCAAAGAACTAAAGCATGTTCCTTAACGCAATGGAATCACAGAAATAAACAATCTGTAGTCCTTTAGTGACCGTAGGTACATTTAATACTGCTGTACTTTAATGCGCAGGTGTAAACATTTTGATTGTAGATAGTAATTTATAACAGGAAGGGCATTAGGCCTCCGTAAGGCCATTGTGGTCAGTCAAACCACTGTGAATGAATGTGCCTTGACTGTACTTTTTGCATGATAGGACAGCAATAAAATTTTGCTTCTAACTATCAACTCCAGAGTGAACTGTCTGACGAATCAACGTGTAAAATCAAGCGGTAAAATGAAACAGCATACAGCTGATTTCTGTACGATCCTCATAATGTCTTTATAGATGAGAGGCGTGTGGCTTTGTGTGACGTCACTTAGTGATTCTGATGTAGGAATATATACTACAAAGGTCAAGTTACGTTTTGTTGATCTTCCAAGTGAAAATAAGGTCATTGTTTATTTGCTGAATTGAACGTAGATGGTGCACATCGTAGGAGAATACATAGTAAATCGATAGTTTGGCAGAAAATCTAATTTAGAGAAGTTTCCCATAACTCTAAATGTAGTCAGTCAGTGGAGACGTGGCTGTTATCTGCGGTTTGCATCTGTGGTTTGGCGCTGGTGCTCCTACTCCTGTTTTTAGGTGTGCATAAATGTGCATAAACATAAATGTGGCCTGTGCAAGAGTTATGGAGCATTTTTCCCAATATGTTAAAGTTCACTTTGCAGAAAAATGCCATATGTAAGCATGTAAGGCCAGAGGCAGTTTGCATGATGCTAATCGGTGGAGCTAAATCTTCCATTACTCTTTAGCTAGATTAGCCTCACAGCTTCAGTGCAGAACTAAAGACGTAAACCTGGGTACTCTTTAGGGAACGTTACACTCGTTTGATTCTATATAGTGGGTTCACAATTCAGTATTCTTAGAATATTCACAACAAAATTTGAGCGAAGAAAAATGACTGTCCCCAGATAGCAAGAGGACAGAACCCGCTGTCTTTACTAAGGAACCCTTGGAGAACCAGCTTTAAGAGTGTAAATGCAGTCAGTTAAGACATGCCTGGCATGTGGTTCTGCTACTACAGTTTTTAGGTATTTTTTGTGTCCGTTATTGATGCGTTACTATGTTAGCCTCGTAGCTCCATGATGCTAATCGGTGGAGCTAAATCTTCCATTACTCGTTAGCTAGATTAGCCTCATAGCTTTAGTGCAAAACTAAAGATGTAAACCTGTGTTCTCGTTGGTGAACGTTACACTCGTTCAGTTCTCTTTAATTCAGTATTCTTAGGATATTTCCAACAAAATTTGAGTGAAGAAAAATGACCCCAGATAGCGAGAGGACAGAACCCGCTGTCTTTACTAAGGAACCCTTGAAGAACTCTTGTTTGTCCTCCTTGTAGATGTCAGAGACGATAGCTCATCTGCTGCTGCACAGTTTGTGTTGGCCATCCTCTAGTCCTTCATCAGTGGTCACTGGATGTTTTTGGTTCTCAGTCCAGCAGCGACACTGCTGTGTCTGATCCACTCGTACCAGCACGACACACACTAACACACCACCACCACCTCAGTGTCACTGCAGTGCTGAGAATGACCCACCAACCAAATACCTGCTCTGTGGGTGTCCAGACCACTGAAGAACAGGGTAAGAAAGTATGCGGAGAAACAGACGGACTACAGTCTGTAACTGTAGAACTACAGAGTGCACCTATACGGTCAGTGGAGCTGATAAAATGGACAGTGAGGTGGATTTAATGTCATGGCTTTTGTTTTTTGTTTGTATTTTGCTCTTTGTTTATGGAAGAGAGGCGTGTGGTGTGATGTCATCTTAAGAGCGTAACAGCGCAGAAGTAAACAGTTTAAGGATCACATGAAAAAAAGCCAAGACAAGGGTTTTTTTTTAGCTTTTTTTTTTGCACAAAAACAGTACATTTAATTCAAGTGTTCCCCAGCACAAATACATAAGAAAGGAGTCATTCTATTCCCCTCTATCTCTCCCCCTCTCTCCCTCTCTCTCTCTCTCTCTCTCTTTCTCTTCACACTCTGTCTGCATGTGTCCAGAGAGGTGGTAAGGGACGAAATTCTCTCTCCGAGAACTACGTCACCCGGTAACACATCAGAGGTGCAGCCACAGAGGGGGGGAGAAAGAGAAAAGGGAGAGGGAGAGAGAGCGAGACGGAGGAGGGAGAAAAAGAGAGCAGACTGTTTTGACTGACCAAATGAATGACAGAAGGTAGGACATGGCTGCGGTCAATAAATATTGAGGCGACAACAATCATATATTTATGTCTATATATGTGTGTATATAAAACCCATAACATTACAGTCGGATCAAACTAAAGCCAGAGTACATGGAGGGAGTCGGGAAGCAAGGAATGTTGGGTAATGTAGTTTTTGCTGCCAAAGATAAAGCAAGTTACGTATCAGTGCACAGAACCCCTCAGAATGAACGTGTGTCCAGTATAACAGAATGACTTTCTCCTCGAGACGCTCATACTACAGTAATGTCTAGGCTAAAACACATGAATTTCTCCATTTTATTCTTTTTTTTTTTCTACTTTTACATCTTCATCAAGTACAAAGTTAAAATGCATTTGTTAATATATTCATAAAAGAGTAAAATAATAGTGCTTTTTTTTTTTTTTCCATAACTACGACAACATAAAAACAGTCATTGTCAAGACCGGTCGATTCTTAATTCCCAACAATATATTTCATGTAATTATTATTTTATTTAATTTTTTTTTTTTTTCTCATTTAAGAATAAATTGTATAGCACCTTTTTGAAACGCCTTCACTCACACATCTCTTTAAAGATTTAATTTCCTAAAATAACCTTATATAAAGGAACTCCTCCTTTAAAGCTGTCAACTGGTTATTGGTTGGCTCTCAAATTCATCACCTGTCAATCACCCTCTCATCTGAGACAAATTCATAAATACATAATTAAAGAAAGAGAGAGAAAACAAAAACAAAAAAATCTCCGGGCGTGGCATTTCGTCGACACGCCCTTCCTCCCACGCCTCCTTACAGCTTATCAGAATTAAGCTCCGCCTTCGCCCAGTCTCCTAATCAAAACAAGCTATGCTAACACTATCGTACGTCGGCCTACGATCACACCGAATTACCCTAAACAAATTTTTAAAAACACACCCGGCGCACAAAACATAACTGAATGCTAAAAAAGGCAAACGTATCTATGTACAGTTCATTTACCGCTGAACTCGTAGCGCGACTGAGTTGCGTTCGTGTTGTAGGACTTGAGCGGTCTTGGCCAAACTAAGGCTGGAGTTTCCGTTAGATCAGACGAGCCGAGCTCGCGCAGACGTTCAGGGCACGTGAAGACTCGACGCAGCGGCTAACGTGGCCATCCACACCCGTAGGCACATCTTCTCGAAGCTTAGCTTGGTTTAGCGTAGCTTAACTCCTGGACTTAGGCTGATTCGCCGCGTTTACGGACACAGCCGTGGACTACGTAGAGCTTTCGTTACGCAATCACCTCAGACAGTACGACGACAGCACACTTAGTATAATTATTCCAAAGGTCGGGGCTGGATAACAGCCCAGGAACCTCTTTATAGTCTGGGTTGGAAGCAGGCATTAGCCTAGCCTAGCCTAGCCTAGCCTAGCCTGTCAGTTGTGGGAGTCTACAGTTCACGAAGATGCTTTTCAAAAAATGCTTTGGGAAAGGAAAAAAATAATGAATAAAACAATTTCAGCTTTTAAGAACGTTTCTGTAAGCACCAGAATGTCCCCTCGTCCGTCCTCTGATCTGAAAGAGGATCTCCGACGGGACGATACAGTAATCTAGATTGTAATCTGGAAGGTGTGTGCACACTTTGTCAGCACCTACACACCATGAGAGGCCACGGCCACCGAAGTCTGAAGGAATTCTGGGAGCACCATGTGACCAGTTTATATGACATCACACAGAGAGGCCACTATCCCAGAATCCCCGGAGCACAGAATACACCAAGCTCTCTCTGAGCTGGATTAGCACGCCCAGAATTGCAGATCAGTTAATAAACTAAATGATATTCGTAAAGCCAGTGGGCCTGTGGGTCGGCGTACAGGCTAACGCTAGCCCGGTCCTCACTCACAGTTCGAAGAAAACAATATAAGTAAAATGTAAAAATGTGCAATAAGAGATGATAGAAAGAAAGATAAAGGGGGGAGAGAAAGCACCCTGGAGAGATTTTTCCATAGTTTTTTTCGTAGACAGAGTAAAGCAAAAACGTAGCAGGATTTCTCCACACACTCACACGCAGCTCTTCAGTACAGTAAAAATGGTGGCGTTTGACAAGACCTTGTAGTTTTACAGTTTACAGTAGAAATGAATTCAGCTGGTGGTTGCTAATATCACCACAGTGATTTGTGGAAGGATTTTCGATTTTTTTTTCTTTTGCGCTGCTGCCCCCTGTAGGTGTGGAGGGGAACCCGCAGTAAAAATTGCTCTGAGACCGGAGCTCTCTGAGTTTGTAAAACGGAGCCTTCTCTTGTCCGAATCTTTTGCACTCTTAGCGGTATTGCATCACAGCCTGGAACACAGAAAACTCTGCTGTGGACAGAATGAATCGTTTTCTAAGCACGGTTCTCCTCAGCTCTGTTCACCTTTCCAGTTTTCCCTGTGCAGGGTGTGCGTGTGTGTATATGTGTAGTAGCCCAAAGCGTTCTTGCAAGTTGTGTGATATTACTCTCCTGTAACTCTCTATCTTTTTTTTTTTTGGTTTGTGTGTTTTACTACCCTCTCTGTGTGGTACGCCGCTCGTCAAAAGTTTGGGGACACCTGGCTTTGTCCATTTTTAATACAGATGCCATGTTTTCTTTGTTGGTTTGCTATATTTTTTTAATATTTAAGGAATGAAAAATGTAGACATTTTCTGTAAACAGGCCTACTTGCAATAGTACGTGCATTGATGCATGCTGGGTATTGTAGTGAGGGAACAATGAAGGACAAAAATGATATAAAAGTGGTCTATCCCTGCATTCACAACGGCAGCGGCGTGACGCGGCGGCTGGAGGTCGTTCATTTTCAATGAAAGCTGGCGATTTCTGCCGACAGGAGGCGGCACGAACATTGGTGACGCGGCAAAGTTGAGCAGAGTTTAACTGTTTTCCTCACAAACTGACTGCCCAGACTTGGGGATTAAATAAAAATAAGCACACCAGGATTTTTACTTGTAGTGGGAATGCATCTGATTTGTGCTTGGCGTCAGTGAAACCATGGCAACCAATGGTCTGCTGGAGTTTAGAAACGCCCACAGGCGATAAGCAATCAGTGATTTGGGCGACAAAAGGCAAATAGTCGCTGCCGGTGTGAACGCAGGCTGAAGGCCGCAATGCTGCATTATACTGCATAACTCGGTTAATATCATTTTAAATGCTAGTTTTAGGCCAGAATGCCACTTTAGAGGCTAACCAAGTTATTTTATGAACAAAACAACCTCATAAATTCTTGACAGTGCTGGCTTAAGAATAAAACCAAAGACAACCCGTTTTATCCCCTTGTTGTGATGACGTTTATTCTCAAGCTAGCCACTAATTCTGTCACGAATTAGCATTTATGATGTTGTTTTGTTTTCAATTAACTTGTTTTGCCTCAGCACCTAAACGCTTCACATGTTTAAACCACTTTTGGGCCAAAAGAGTTTAAAACTGTCAAATAGTTCTTTAAAAACAGCTTGACTTCATCCCAAGGAAGACATGTTGCCAAACAAGAAGCCAAGTGATGAGGCTAAATCTACCCGACGCTTTAGCACAGATATTTTCTCGTGCTTAATTGAAAAGTAACAGTGAGAAAACTCTAATTTGCGGGTCCCCAGACCTTTGACGGGCAGCGTCAGTCTACGTGTTATCACTCTCTCTGTGTAAGTGCCCCCATAGATTCCCAGCGGTAAGGCCTCTTAAGTGTGGCTGTGCGTTGGTATTGCTGAGAGGGAGGAGAGATAGAAGAAGACAGAGAAGGATGGAGATAGAGAAAAGGGGCAGAAATAGATAGAGAGCATAGAGACAGAGAGAAAGAGAAAGAGCGAGAGCACCGTAGTTGTATCAGTTGAACAGCAGGTGAGTTGTATAGTAGAGTAGTATAGTACCGCAGTTAAAACTGTAAACAGTGTATCAGTTGATTTGTGTGTGTGTGTGTGTGTGTTCTAGCACAAGGCTTCCCTCTCACAGCTCTGTGTGTGTGTGTGTGTGTGTGTGTGTGTGTGTGTGTGTGTGTATGTGTGTGTGCGTTGTATTCCATGATTGCACATCTTGGTTATGGGGGTAAGTATGGACGTCCACTCCTGTCAGATACAGCAGGAAAGAAATCACCTTCGATTTTTTTTCTTTGTTTCCAGCAGCAGTTTGTCTAAAAATGGACTTTTTAAGGACTTATTTTCTTAAAAATGTTGAGACTGTGTCTCATAATAATTACTTATTTTCTTAAAATATCGACTATGTGAAAAAAGTGACTGTCAAAATATGGCAAAATAAAGACTAATAATTATTTGTTAGCGCAAAGTATTTATTTACTTGAATATCATAATAGTATTTCGAAATCTTGAGAATAAGTTTTTATTTGCAATATTAAGTCAATATAAGCTATTAATAAGATAAACTTTGGCATTCTGCTCCCAGAAATTGAGAACAAATCGTAGTCAATAGTTGATATTTTGAGATATTAAGTCAATATTTTGAAAAAAAAATAGCAATCGTTCAAGATGTTATGTCAAAATTTTGAGATAAAATTTCATTATTTTGAGATATTAAGTCGATATTTTGAAAAAAAAATTGTTCAAGATATTACATGACAATTCCGAGATAGGAATTCAATGAGATATTAAGTCAATATTTTGAGATACAGATTTAATAATTTGGAGATATTAAGTCAATATTTTGAAAAAAAAAAAAACTTGGTAATTGTTTAAGGCATTATGGTATTATGTGAAAATTTTGAGATAAAACCATTATTTTGAGATATTAAGTCAATATTTTGGAAAAAGAAATGGAGCAATTGTTTAAGATGTTTTGTGAAAATTTTGGGATAAGAATTCATTATTTTGAGATATTAAGTCAATATTTTGAGATAAAAATGCATTATTTTGAGATATTAAGTCAATATTCTGAGTAAAGAACTTTTTTGGAGGATATTACACAAATTTGTCAAGAAAATAAGCCATTATTTTAACAAGGTTTCAAAACAAAACAACACCTTTTTTGTGATGTGTGCATTTGCTGAACAGAACTCCTGGTCACTGCATTGTTTGTTCCGAGACCTCCGCCTAACTGTGATTGGTCCACATCGTGTCACATGTTTGCCTGCTCTACTGCATGGAGCCTCTAGCAATGCTAAGACATGCACAGAGTTGTGTTTGGTGGTGGTTCCATGTTGTTTAGTCCTATTTGATATTTACTGCAGGCTTCAGTCAATATATGACATGAAAATAAGGCATTATTTCAAGGTAGCAAGCCAATATTTTGACATTCTGCTGCCAGAAACAGAGAAGAAAAGGAGAACAGGGAAGGTGTTTTCCACCTCTTCCTGTTGGGAATGGGCTACCATAGGTAAAGGAAGCAGGATGCATGGGTTAACTTTTAAAAAAGAAGGCGTGACCCTCCCTACCAGCTTTGTGCTCAAAGAGACTGTCCTCTTGCTCTCTCTCTCTCACACACACACTCACTCATGCACACAGTCTCTTTTTTTGTCACTCCTGCCCGAGAGAAGCCTTGCTATCACAGATGAAAGGTGTCGATCGTCCCGACATCATAGTAAATGCTTAAAAAAGGAAAAAAAAAAATAATAATGTAGCCACAAGCGGCAATCATCGGGGTCCAAGCACCATGTTTGCAACTAGTTCCCAATTTGCAATTACTATTTTAGCCCCGCCCCAGCAATTGAATATTACTGTTGATGTGGTAAACATCAGTTTAAAATCAAGCTTCCTAATGATCTATTTTAATCAGAGCAAGAGATACTGAAAATCTATATCTACAGAAATGCTATAGCTGTAACAAGGCAGCTGGCTTATCCCGCATGGGGATCAAACCTGTGGTCCCTGTGTTTGGAGACCAGGATGCTATGGTGTAAGCTACCGACCAAGTTCTGTAGGGTGAACAAAGCACTCGAGACAATAGCTGGAGGAAGGGAGGGAAAACTAAGATGACTCAAAGTCAGAGGGGGTTCAACCCTCCGACCTCTGAGCTGAAAGGCCAGCATGCTAGCAGGAGCACCACTGAAGAGACAAACTTGGTGACAGAAACCAAGGGTGACCTCAGAACCTCTCAGAAACGTAAAACAATAACTCCCTTCTTTGTTTCTTTCTCTCATGTGCCTTTCTTTTTTTCCCCTCGGCGAACAGGAGAACATTAGGAAGCACCAGACCTTGAGAGAGAGCTTTTACCAAGTTGCCAGCTTTGGCAAGAATGCTTGCATGTGGCAGCATGAACTGAGCAGAGAGCTACATGGTGGTGACAAATAGCTGACAACAGTAAGCCCTAATCAGCCTGGGTCAGTTCTCTTTCTCCCTCTGGTGGCCAGGGTTAGCCTAACAGGAGACCGGGACATTACATTAACAGGCACTAGATAGCATTGTTGCACCCCCCTGGAGACTGATTTAAAGAAAATTTAGCATGCCTCTCAGTTTGCCAGATTTGCAAATATGGTCAGGAGCGCCAAGCCTGCAAACGGTCTCCTGAAATCTGATTGGCTAGTGGTGGCCGTTTTTGTCCAATTATGAAATCATCTTCAACGTTCCATTAAAAAGTAGCTCAAAGATGCAGCAGAGCTTAATTGGGTACACGGTGACTGAGAAACAGTTTTTTTGCATGTTATAGCACCTCCTACACTTACAGTATGATCCTCATTACATTCTACGTAAGAATACTGAGAAGAAAAATCTGAGCAGGTGCAGGAACAGTTGCAGCACCCTTGGTGATTGGACCCCTAATAACAGTTAATATGGCAATAAAACCAATAAACAGTACTAAAATACTGAGCAAAAGTATTAGGCCAGCTGAAATGTATAAAACTATTTATCCGTGTTTTGTTTGTAACAAACACTATATACCAGATAAAAAATACAAATAATCTTTAATACAGTAAATAGTTACAAAGACTTGTTTTCGAAAAAGTCAACTCCACCACCAGCACACCTGAATTAATTTAATGAAGGTACTGGATGGTGACTATAAACTGGGATACCTCCAGGAAAGGCTCGGAAATGACTCAGCTAACCAATTACAACGGTTCTAATGTTATTTGTATTTATACTAATGTTAGCGTTTTTCTTAGCAAATACATGCTTACTGCCCAGATCAATAGCTTTAAATCTCCCAGGAGGCCTAAAACTTTTGCAAAGTACTGCATGTCTTATTATGTCTTCAATAAATAGCTGACATGTGAAAGTGAGACTATGTAGTTGGATGAAACATCGTATTTTTTTTGATGAATAGCACCAGTAGGTCGTCAGGCAACTACCGAAAACAAAAGAAAGGGGTGGAGCTTGGTCGGTATGCGGATGAGGGAGTGAAGCGAGTCGTTGTGATGTCATAACAGGTGTGCGAGGGTTAAAGACAGGCGAAGTATTCCTTCAGTGGGGCGAAAAGGTGCCTAATGACGGGGACGCTCCACGACCTTCCCAGAAGCCTTTGCCTGGCCAGACGACTCATGTTGGACACGTCTGTGTAATGGACAGGAAAACCAAACACCCTGAAACAGAGAAAGAGAAAATACGTTATACTCACGAATGCATGCTGCTAACACACAAACACATTGAACACCTCCCTTTCCTTTCATCCCTCACTTCCATTCCTCCATCCCTCAGATCCCTCCACCATTGTGACTGTTTCTCTCCAACCCTCAACCCAGTCAAGTTCATAAATGTCAGATCTGCTGTGTAATACTTGAACTAAAGTGTAGGTGGTTTATTGTTTTATCTTCTTCATGGATTTGATTGAAAATATGTAATTAACACAATTATTGTAAACACAAAGTTATTAAGAGTTGCATATGAATGCCCCTTTAGACTGGCTTTACATGGTGAAACTTTCATCCAGCTAGTTGCATGTTGTGAGTTTCATGCAACATGGCTCAGGAAAATGGCAAAAAGAAACAACAGCATTGCATAAAATTAATCAGATCAGCAGGATTTTGTCTTCAGTCCCCAAATAAAACATCTATTTTTTGTCTTTCACTTGTTTCATGGAGATGGGACAGTTGTAGCTGTTGTGGTTGAGTTTCAAATTAGATGCTGGAAGCTTTATGTCATGCAACTCAAGTAAAATGTAGTTTCATGTAAGTTTCAAGCAACTTAAAATGAATGTTTCACTGTGTAAAGCCAGCGTGAGGATCATCTGATGAGAACATGAAGGCAGCGTCCATCCATCCATCCATCCATCCCTCTACCCACCTGTCCATCCACACATCCATTCATCCTTATCCTTCCATACATATCCATCCCTCCACCCATCTGTCCATCCAGGCATCCTTTTATCTATCCATCCCTACACCAATCTAGCCATTCAAACATCCCCCCAACCATTTGTCCATCCATCCCTCCACCCATCTGTCCATCCACAGATCCGTTATTGTATCCATCCCTACACCAATCTACCCATTCATCCATCCAACCATTTATCCATTCATCTATCCATCTTTCCATTCATCTATTCACCCATTTATCCCTTCATCTGTCCCCATCTGTCCATCCAGGCATCCATTTATCCACCCATCCCTACACCAATCTACCCATTCACCCATCCCTCCAACCATTTATCCATCCATTCATCTATCTCATCCATCCATTTATTCATCCATCCATGCCTCCACCCATCTGTCATCCAAGCATCCGTTCATCTATCCATCCCTACACCAATCTAGCCATTCATACATCCCTCCAACCATTTATTCATCCATTCCTCCACCCATCTGTCCATTAACACATCTGTTTATCTATCCATCGCTACACAAATCTACCCATTCATCCATCGGTCTGTTCATCCATCCCTCCAACCATTTACTCATCTATCATCCATCCATCTCTCCATACACCCATCCATCCATTCACTCATCTTTTACCTCTCCATCTCGGTGCACCAGAGAATGTCCTCCTTGTTGTTCATGTAGACGGGGAAGTGCTGGTCTTTGCCCTGCTTGATGGAGTTGGAGCGAGTGGTGATGGTTCTCAACTTATCAAACTGAAAAAACACAGACCCAGCCTCTAATTGAGCCACGCCCCCCTCAGCCACCCCACACCTAATCATAAAGCTCACAGACACATTAGTGTGCACCCCCTGAACCCTGGAGCATCACAGCAGCACACAGGTTAGGGTTTTCTCTGCTCTAACACACCATATTCATTCATAAAGAGCTACAACACAGTTAACTGATCAACTGGAACAGGTGTGTTACAGTACAGAAGGCCCTGAAGTGTGTAGTGCTTATTTAATCTAGGACTGAACTTAAACTGCACTTAATCTGTGGAACCATTTCTAATTGAATGTTATCTGCCAGAGTCACTGCTGACTGACCATGAAGGAATAGATCAGTGATAAATGTTCCCCACAGTGTCCCTTTACCCCAAATTCAGCCAATCAGACAAGACCTCTATACATTTGTGCAGCTTCAAAAAAGCTGTTTCAGCTGTATCCATATTAATACACTGACCAGCCATAACATTAAGACCACCTCCTTGTTTCTACACTTATTGTCCATTTTATCAGCTCCACTTACTATATAGGTGCACTTTGTAGTTCTACAGTTACAGACTGTAGTCCATCTGTTTCTCTGATACTTTGTTAGCCCCCTCTTACCCTGTTCTTCAGTGGTCAGGACCCCCATGGACCCTCACAGAGCAGGTACTATTTGGGTGGTGGATCATTCTCAGCACTGCAGTAACACTGACGTGGTGGTGGTGTGTTAGTGTGTGTTGATATCCAGCCAACAGCATCCTGTGGGCAGCGTCCTGTGACCACTGATGAAGGACTAGAGGATGACCAACACAAACTGTGCGGCAGCAGATGAGCTATCGTCTCTGACTTTACATCTACAAGGTGGACCAACAAGGTAGGAGTGTCTAATAGAGTGGACAGTGAGTGGACACAGTGTTTAAAAACTCCAGCAACACTGCTGTGTCTGATCCACTCGCACCAGCACAGCACACACTAACACACCACCACCATGTCAGTGTTACTGCAGTGCTGAGAATGACCCACCACCCAAATAGTACCTGCTCTGTGAGGGTCCATGGGGGTCCTGACCACTGAAGAACAGGGTAAAAGGGGGCTAACAAAGTATCAGAGAAACAGATGGACTACAGTCTGTAACTGTAGAACTACAAAGTGCACCTATATAGTAAGTGGAGCTGATAAAATGGACAATGAGCGTAGAAACAAGGAGGTGGTCATAATGTTATGCCTGACCGGTGTATACAGCATGTTGTACAGCAGGGGTGTCAAACTCAACCACTAAAAGGGCCATATTAACAAATCCGTGGGCCAGCTGTGCTTCTATTTTACTTATACGATTCAAAAATACATTTAAATAAATACAAATTCTATTATATAAAACAACAGACCACATTAGCGGCAGATACTGTTAAAGTCCCCAGTATACAGTAGTTTTTTTAAACTGGCCATTCGCCTGAACTAGACAGCTGGCATCTTTTTTTTTGTGTTGCTATCCCATGGATCATTGTTGGGGAGGGGGTGGGAAAACACATTATGTTGCAGTGCATGCTGGGAACTGTAGTGCAACTCATGGTGAAATGGGCTAATATTAATAGAAAATAAAAATAATTTTGCGGGCTGAATAGGATTGAGCCACGGGCCTGACTTGGCCTGCAGGCCTTGTGTTTGACACATGGGTTGTACAGTGTAAGAAAGAGTCTAAGATCATTTATAGCCCAGTTCTGTATTATATTACATTATTATAGCCCAATAACAAAGACAAAAACTTCAGACAAAAAACATGTCTTGGCAGAATAACTACATTTGGGGTGAGGGGGGTGGTGATTCGCCTACGTTCACAAGATTTTTAACTGCTGTCAGAACAAAAGCGTGTATCTCTGTAACTGTAACTTTACAAGTCAATGGAATGAAATCGTTATCCAAATTCTGGACCATGTCTGTTGGTCAAATCTTCACGCAGTTAAAAGAGCAGCTATCAAAAAATAAAGAATGAGAAAAAAAGATACAAGGTTTTGTTCTGAAAGTGACACATCCCTTACATTTTTTCTGATTGATGACATACTGTATGTAAAATCTCTTGAACAATATTGATGACAACTGAACTGACTCCAAGAACATAAACAAACACTGGCAGTGAAACAGGGCACAAACAGAACTGTGCAGAATGTTTAGGCACCTGGGAAAATTATGATCAAGAAGCTATAAGCATTTATTTACTCAGAAAAAACACTAATATCCTAATAAATACAAATATTATTAATATAATAGTGATCATTTTGTGTATGTCAGTGTGTTCATTTAACCATTTCCTTGTGAAAGGCCAGTATTATTTGTAGTTATGAACTAATATCCGGTTTTGGTTAATCAATACGTTTAGATACTACAACTACAGGGAGATTCACTGGAAAGAGGCCCTGAACGTTCTGTAATAACTCTCTCTAGGACGAAGCAGTCAGAACGAAACAACGTGCAATGAGCTCCTCAGTATATGGAGCTTCGAACAAGCCGGGATGCCCCTGCGTCGGAGCGATGAGGTAGGCGCCGGACAGCCGTTGCAATGTTTAACCTCCATTTGCAGCTTCCAGGTGCAGACCCCCGTACCCCTTCGTATGTCAGAGATCACTTCCAGCATCGCGCGTAATGCAATTGATTACACACACGTAAAGATATGTAGTGTATTTATTTGGTTCAGATTGCTTCATCCTAACGGGAGTTACAGCTGAATATTCGGGGCCTCTTTCCAGTGAATCTCCCTGTACTATATGACTACAGTTAAATCAAGTGTGCTGGTGATGGCATTTAACAATCCATGTGATGGCCAGAGGCGTCCAGGAGAAATCTAGTAACTCTAACTTTTTTATGATGGCATTTTAGGGCCACTGTTAAAAAAAAAAATAATAATAGACCTCAAGAATAAGTAAGTTGTATTTTTTAGAATAAATCATAATGTTTTGAGAATAAAGTCTTAATATATCGAGAATAAAGTCATAATATTTCAATAATAAAGCTGTAAATTTACAAGAATAAACAGTATTTTGAGGATAAAGTTGGCTAACTGTAGGGGGGCTGCCATGAAGCGACGCCATGGTTGCTGTACTGGCGACGATGAAGAGTTCCGCTCCTTTGGGATCGATCATTCTGATCATCATTCTCACTGTCTGTGAAACTTCATGCCCTCTCCTTCAACAACACAGACAGACAGTTTCCTCCGAGTCCGTCTGGCTCTTTATTCTAGATAAACTCAGTTTCCTGCTCAGCCGTTTCTTAGACTAATAACAGGCTGGTGCTGATGTGCAGGACAGACAGGGAGACTGAGTGTTTCTTTATGGGTGAAACAGATATGAAAGTCCACCAACTTCTCACCGCCCCTCATTTAACACCAGTAAGTTGCTACCTTCCTTTTGCAAACACATTGGCCACAATACTGAGACCTTTCCTGGTATTAATGCCACTTAAATGTTATAATTCTCAACTTTTTTCTCGAAATATTACAACTTTGTTCTCAAAATATCACAACTTTATTCTCAAAGTCTACTATTTTTCATTTTGTTAACAGTGGCCCCAAAAGGCTGTTGTACTTTTTACTGTAATAATCTTTATTTGCATTTATTCTAATGATATCCAGCCATACCGGCAAAGAAAAACTTGCTGCCAACATAAATGGTTTTAAATAATGAGCTGAGGTGTCTAAGACTTTTGCACAGTGCTGTACATGCTTCTGAACTCCAAACCACATCTACACAGTCGTCTGCACCCAACATTAGCAGTATTTTTATGAAACTACACACACACACACACACCTTGGCTGTGCGGCCATGTTCTAGACAGTCTTGCAGGTCAAGCCTATCATTCACCATGGCAGTCAATGGCCTGAAGAAGAGAGAAACAGAGAGGAAAAAACCCAAATGTGTTTCATTTTCATCACACGGACGGAGAAAACCACTTCTGATCTGGTGTGCAAGCAGTAATGGAAAGTGACAACAGCTTCTGAGAAGATGAGTCTAACTTCCGCAAAGGCAGAGGAGGAGAATGCGTCATTATTGGATTCAAATACATGTACATAAGCTACAGCATATTCAGCAACAACATAAGCTATGGGCCTCTGCCAGATACTGACAGTGACAGATGAAGAAGCCACCAACCCAGCCAGGCTGAGCAATTCCTGGCTCAATTCCAAATACTTCAGGCTCAGAAAAAAACATTATGAGCCTGTCAAGAGCCACTTTTACCCAAAGATCATATTCAAGCTTTTTGAATCTGTTAGAAATCCAAATTTGGTTTAGTTTTTTTGAAATTTAATGGGAAACAGCTCATTGCAGAGAAAGGATTTCCTTACAGTGGCGGTGATAGAAACCAGGGGTCACTACGACTACAATGCAAAATGATCACTTTATATACTATCCAATGCATGTAAATATGAAAAAATAGGGTTTCTTTGCGTACTGTTTTATAATACTACTACTACTAATAATTATAATCATTTTTATTTAAATAGCACTTTTCATGCTGGTGGAAGCTCAAAGTGCTTTATAGACAAAGTGCTTTAAAGCTTAACGGTAATACAAGAAATGATAGGTATCAATTCAGAATCATAAGAAAATGACAGATCAGATTAAAAGATAAGCATCACGGGATGTAGAGTTTTAATTAAATGGTGAGTTAAAGAGAGACGTTATTAGATGTTTATTAAAAGTGAGCACTGAGCTCGACTGTCTGATAAAAGGTGAACTGAGCTCCACAGTTTAGAAGCAGAATAACAGAAAAAGTCTCTCCATGTTTTCTGTATTTTACAGAAGGTGTTTATAGAAGGTCAGATCTAAGATTACGTGCTGGAACATAAACAGACAGACTCTCTGTGATGTAAGCGGTGCTTTAAGGTCATTTAGAGCCTATCCTGAACGATACAGGCAGCCAGTACAGCTCTTTTAAAACGGGACTGATATGATCAAACGTTTTAGCTTAGAGCAGGGTGTTCAGAACCATTTCATGTAATAATTATATGTGATCAAGCTTTTAGAGGTGGACGTCTGATTCCTATCACCACCACTGTGAACAATTTTGACTCTAAGAGTTTCACTAGAACGGAGCGTTTCACACCAAACCACTCTGAATGACTCTGTTTACATCTTAACCATTTGATTATGCCCAAATTTTGGAAAATCAGTGGCATTCCCCTTTAACAATTAGGCAAAAAATGACACTTTTACCTGCAGACTCACCTGACTGTGATAATATAATCTTACACTTTAGCTGGAGGTGCTAAGCTATGAATCTGTGGGCTGCACAAAGCTGCTCTCACCTGTTCATACCGGGCAGGTTGCCCCAGAAGTAGCGGGCGCGGTGGGCAGCCGAAACCTCCTTGGCGTCGATCATCACTGGATTGCACTGTGGCGAGAGACACACTTAGGTTTCAAGCAATATAGGGTCACTCTCACAGTGACACAGTGCTCAGTTTCTGAGCTTTTGTGGTCATAAAAATAATGTAATATGTAAATATACACCAATCAGGCATAACATTATGACCACCTCCTTGTTTCTACACTCATTGTCCATTTTATCAGCTCCACTTACTATATAGGTGCACTTTGTAGTTCTACAGTTACAGACTGTAGTCCATCTGTTTCTCTGATACTTTGTTAGCCCCCTTTTACCCTGTTTTTCAGTGGTCAGGACCCCCATGGACCCTCACAGAGCAGGTACTATTTGGGTGGTGGATCATTCTCAGCACTGCAGTAACACTGACGTGGTGGTGGTGTGTTAGTGTGTGTTGCGCTGGTCTGAGTGGATCAGACACAGCAGTGCTGCTGGAGTTTTTAAACACCTCAGTGTCACTGCTGGACTGAGAATAGTCCACCAACCAAAAATATCCAGCCAACAGTGTCCTGTGGGCAGCGTCCTGTGACCACTGATGAAGGACTAGAGGATGACCAACACAAACTGTGCAGCAGCAGATGAGCTATCGTCTCTGACTTTACATCTACAAGGTGGACCAACAAGGTAGGAGTGTCCAATAGAGTGGACAGTGAGTGGACACAGGGTTTAAAAACTCAGACCAGCGCAACACACACTAACACACCACCACCACGTCCGTGTTACTGCAGTGCTGAGAATAATCCACCACCCAAATAGTACCCAAGAGGACTGTGAGGGTCCATGAAGGGTCCTGACCACTGAAGAACAGGGTAAAAGGGGGCTAACAAAGTATCAGAGAAACAGATGGACTACAGTCTGTAACTGTAGAACTACAAAGTGCTCCTATATAGTAAGTGGAGCTGATAAAATGGACAATGAGCACAGAAACAAGGAGGTGGTCATAATGTTATGCCTGATCGGTGTATAAATTACATTTAATAATATGTAATATGTTAATATGTAAATAACATTCAATAAAATAAAATATCTGAGCTAAAATAAATGTAAGGATATAATATGAAATACATATTTTAGCTTATATTTATGGAATTTGGCAGACATGCTTATCCAGAATGACTTACAGTCTAGTCATGTTACAGGAGTAAAGTCATGGAGCATTAGGAGTTTTGCCCAAGGACTCTTGGTTCTTTCCCAGGTGGGGAAAGTCTGCTGGGAGGAGGCCAAAGGTTTCATCTTTGGGGGGAATGCAATGTTTGTGGTGGGCCGAAGCAGGTAGTTTGGTTTCTAAATGTGTCTTTAACAATGACGTTTAATAAAAACAATGATATTTAATAACATCACACTATATTTTGTTACTAAAACACTTCAAAAATACAATACTGATATGAAAAATAGAACTGAACTATTATCTGTTATTGTGAAAATACTGTAAGAGAGGTTTTGCTTTATTCCACATCATCACTGAGAAGTACTGCAATGTGTGCATCACACTTCATGTTTTTCTACTGTAGTCACTGCATTTTAATTTGGCACAAATTCCTCTGCATTCGAGTGTTCCTTACTCTGATACGCTCTTCATCAAACTGGTTCTCCATATAACCACCAGGGGACAGTGCTGAGTCTTGTCCCTTATACATACAGTACTTTAAGGAATGTAAGAATGCTGCCAAAACAAAAAATGATGTACTTTTGTGTTTAACCCTTTAAGGCCATTACAAAAAAATAGCAATTTCTGCCTTTTAACACTTAGAACCCTGGGATTCTGGGGGGAATTATTTGGTATTTTAGGTCAATTATAATTGCAATTTTAAAGTATTTACATGAGACAGTCACACATGCCATATGTTGTTATCTTCAGGAGACCCTGGGCTACTCAGATATGGCATTATTTGACATGAAATTTGGTAGATTTATGAATTTGGTTCATTTATGATCAAAAATGTACCAAGCACCCGCTAAATTTTGTACTTTCTTGCTTATAGAGATCTTGAAAACAATTGGCACCTCAGATTAACCCTTTCTTTATATTATGAAGGCTAAAAGCAGAGATATTACAGAAGCGAGTGGGTTGTGGGTGATTCTGGAGCTGGACTGCTGGCCGATGGATGGTCACAGGTGGATGAAATCACTCTGGATGGTGAGGCAGAGTCTGATGAGTGATCTGATGATCATGTCGCTGTTTTAACCCTTTGTTGGAGTATAAAGGCCAAACAGCAGAGTAATAATCTCAGGATTTGGGTTGATATTCCCGAGCCGAATTACTCACTGATGCTGATGCCACAGCTCGATGCTAGCTAGTTTGGGTTGGGCCTGCTGAGTGTTCTGATATGTAGATCATGTCTGTAGCTTAAACCGTTCTGAACTTATGAAGGCTAGAAGCCAACCAAGCTTTGGGTTCAAGGGGTTAATCTACTCTTCTCTGTTAATGAGGTGATTTCTCAATGCTGCTGTTTTTATTTTGATATGTAAAGAATGTGATCTAACAGAGCTGAAAATTCATAGATATTTTTATGTAACTTCTCACAAACCACACAAAATACAGTGACTGAAAACACAGCAGTGCGTGGAAAGCTCCAGTTCCACATGCTGATCCATTTTACTGACTAAAGTGGACATTCACATGCAGTAACACCTCAGATTTCGGGGTTAAATATCTATGAGGGTGACTGTGAGTGTATATCTGTGTGTGTGTGTGTGTGTGTGTGTGTGTGTATGTGTATGTACCTCGAGGAAGCGTGAGATGTCTCTCTTATCACTGACTCCCATGGCGACAACGTTCTCGAAGAGCCAGAAGAACGGCCTGTCGTCTCCCTCTTTCGGACGAGCCTCATGCAGTAGCCGATAAAACTCAAAAAACAAGCGGCCCGTGCCCTCTGCAAAACACACACACACACACACACACACACACACACACACACACACACACACACACATACAAACAGTTTAATGCCCACTTACACATAAAAGGCACATATTGAACCCCTTAAAATCACAGGATTAATACATCATAAAGCTTGTTATTCAGTAACTACATGGACAAACTGGGTGACTTATTGTCTGAGATTTTTGCCAATCCGATTGAATACGTTCAGATTACAGATGAAGACTGAGGTGTTTATTTTCTCACTCTGCTTAACAATCTGATGAAAATCTCCGTTTACATGCTCACTACAAGTAATCCGATCCACAGTTACTTTAATGTGTAGAGAACCACTTAGTGTAGACGTTACCATGACAACCAGCATCACGTGAGTCCAGTCAGAGTGAGATGAGCAGCAGTGAGCAGTGCTTGTGTTTTTAATTGCTTTAAAATGATGTCAGACTCAGGAAAACGTCCTTCACAGGTCCTTATTTAAAGATCAGAGCATAAACTTCGTCTCCTCTGCAGACCAGTTTCTGCTCCGCCATGTTGAACGGTATAAACTTTCACTGTGACGCGACGAACATGATCAGAACGGACTTAAACTTTCCGATAGGGAATGTAATCAGATACAGGCGTTTACACGGATATTATTCTTCTATTTAACAGATTATTTACAGGATTACCCACCTCGATCAATCAGATAGAAACTGTATTCTGAATGGCCTCAATCAGACTAGACTATTCCGATTGAGGTGTTTACTTGGACATATTCTATTCCGATTGAGCTATTAGTCGGATTATTAACGTATTATTAGGCTGCATGTAAACATGGCTAGTTATCGGTTGCAGAAGTGTTTAACAGATGTTTGGTGTGTGCTGGTCATTTATGGGCTTAACTGACCTCTGAAGCTGGGTCAGAGAAACAGATAAACAAAGGATATTTACAACAGCAGTAAATATCAGCAGTATGCTCTTAAAAAAGATGGTTCTTCAAGGGTTCCTTCGTAAAGACAACAGGTCTATGTAGAACCATGAACACTCAAAGAACCATCTGCATGCTTTAAAGGTTCTCTGCATGGTAAATCTGGTTCTTTAAGATTTGATGGAGAATGTTTTGTAGATGGTCCTATATAGCACCAAAAAACGTTTTCTATTGTTATAAGCTTGACATTGTAACAATAACAGAACTCTTTGAGGTGCTGTATAGAACCCTTTTCAAAAAGGCTCTATATAGAACCATATACAACACGTTCTCAGTCAATCTGAAGGACGATTTCACCATGCAAAAAAAACATTTAAGCATGCAAATGTGTGTTTGAGTGTTCATGGCTCTATAAAGAACCACTGTCTTTACTAAAGAACCCTTGAAGAACCATCTTTTTTAAGAATGTAGTTCAGTTTTGTTTAGTTCCTTCATTGTTTGACGTATCCTGCTGGCTTAAAGGCCCTGATGTAGATCCACACTTCAATTCAGTAGATTAATAAGTCTTAATAAGTCTTAAGACTTTCCCAGCATCCACTAAATAGCCGATGTATTTTGCCAAAATGCTCCGCTTTCTAATCTTGAGTCTTGTAAGCAGTCCTGTAAGGATGAAATGGCTCCCCCACCAGCACAGCTTTAACAAAACTGTGCTTCCTCACAGCTTCTCTGTGTTCCAGTCTGAGAAACCTACCAAAGATCCAAGCTAACAACCAAGCGACAGCTGACCTATCAAGCCTAACTGAACCAGCATGTTGTCAGTTCTTCCGTTTGTTCGTTCGGCCACCCCAGCATTCCCTGTCTGCACATCCAGCAGTGACGTGAAAAAGAACTTTACCTTTAAAGACAAACCGTTATAACAGCTGGATAATGTTTTTAGTGAGTGGGCACAGTTGGGGTCTACAACCCAGCCTGTACAGGTAGAGCCTGTTTCACTCATTTCTCCACATTGCGCTTGTTTTAGCCTGATTGGGAGTGACAGCTGTCCATCACACACATTGGTCAGAACACTGGGACCAGTTCTAAGTGATGTAATAAGTATGTTTTAAGCTGTTTTATTATATTACGTTCTTGCTTTTTTCATTTAAATTTTTCAGAATGATTAATATAATACAAATTAACATGACAGAAACATATTTTACACTTTGACCTCATTAATGCTCAATCAAATCCTCACAGCAATGTTCCAGCATCTAGTGTAAAGCCTTGTCAGGAGAGTAGAGGCTGTTACAGCAGCAAAGGGGGACAAACTCCTTATTAACACCCTTCATTTTAGGAGAAACACTGGATGCGCAGGTGTCTACAGACTTTTGGACACACAGTGTACATCACACTCAGCACCCCCACAATGCCGCTCACACACATGCTCCATACCATAGAGTCCCTTCCTGGCTGGGTTGACGATGGATAGATCGTTGCAGGGGCTCCCACCAATCACAAGATCAAACGGACCCCATTCCTGAATCTGCACACAGAAGAAGAGAAGAGAAGAAGAATGGCAGTGAGCTCAGAGTGAGTGGCGGCGCTGGTGAGAGAGCAGGTGCAGCTCTTCAGACGCAGTGAGTGAGAACGTATTACAGAGTTATCATCTCCAAGACCTTCACTACAACTACTGCACACAGCGTTATCTCTTCATCTGACGCACACACACACACACACACACACACACACACACACACACACACACTGCCTCAGCACTGTCAGGCCCTGAGGGGACAGAAACAGAAACTCTGCACATCAAAGCACACTGTGAAATATGAGCTCCACTAACAGTGAGGCTGAAATATATCTATTACAGAGAGAGAGAGAGAAAGAGAGAGAGAGAGACACACAGAGAGAGAGAGAGAGAGACAGAGAGAGAGAGAGAGACACAGAGAGAGAGAGAGAGAGACAGAGAGAGAGAGAGAGACACAGATAGAGAGAGAGAGACAGAGAGAGAGAGAGACACAGATAGAGAGAGAGAGACAGAGAGAGAGAGAGACAGAGAGAGAGAGAGACAGAGAGAGAGAGAGAGACACAGATAGAGAGAGAGAGACAGAGAGAGAGAGAGACAGAGAGAGAGAGAGACAGAGAGAGAGAGACAGAGAGAGGAGTAAGAGAAAAACTGCTACTGAGTGCTGATTGGTTAGCATTACTGCTACTGAGCGCTGATCGGTTAGCATTACTGCTACTGAGCGCTGATCGGTTAGCGTTACTGCTACTGAGCGCTGATCGGTCAGCGTTACTGCTACTGAGCTCTGATCGGTCAGCGTTACTGCTACTGAGCGCTGATCGGTCAGCGTTACTGCTACTGAGGGCTGATCGGTTAGCGTTACTGCTACTGAGCGCTGATCGGTTAGCATTACTGCTACTGAGCGCTGATCGGTCAGCATTACTGCCACTGAGTGCTGATTGGTTAATGAGCTGATCAGCAATTTGCACTCACTGATGTTATGAATGTACATAATGCACTGTTATAAGGTCCTAAACTGGCCTCCAAAGGTGCTTGAAAATATGACAACAGTGTTGAAATATATTATACTGGTCAGTGTTGAGGAAACAAGCGCATTTTTCTGTATAAATATGATTCAGCATTTACGAACCCAGAGGACGTCACAGAGGATGCTCACGTTGCGTGCAGATGTGCTGGCAGAGTGAACTGGCTCTCAGCGCGATGTGCGCGCGTAACTCACGTGTTTGCGTGTGATGTTGCGGACATCCCCCACGTACATGATGCGTCCGTGGTGCCGCACCATTCCCACGGTGATGGAATCCTCACACACCTCCGACGCCACGTAACGCTCCACCTGGATCCCCAGGTCCTTTAGCACCAGTAAACCTGAGCAGAGGGTCAAAGGTCAAACCAGGACAAACATAAGCACACATTTATACGTCTACATGTACAAACATCAAAGCCCCTGCAGAGTCATGCAAGCTGAAGCGTTTACTTACGAAAGGCATGGATGCCTCATAAACAAACTATGTACAGTTGTACAGTCATAAACAGTCGCATGCAAAAGTTTGGGCGCCCCAGTCAAACCCCTTTTTTTACCTTGATTTTCTAAGTTTAAATAAATGAACACATCCTCTACAGAGAACACACTTCTGCACAGTTTAATGCAATTACTGTTAATTTTTTGAATTTAATATATTTGAAAAAAAAGAAAAAAACAATGTACGTATGCATAGCAAAGGTTGTGGCACATATCATATGTTTTATTTTTTTACTAGTATTCAGTAAATAAATAGAAACTGCACTGTAAAATTTGCAAAAAATGTCAAAAAATTCACTGTAAATGGGTTTGTTGACCTATTTTGCACGCATAAAAAACATAAAAACATGTCATTTGATCCAAACTTTCGCATATGACTGTTCATATAAAGCAGCGCGTGGCTATTGAAGTACACTGTCGGCTGGTGTCCTGGACAGAGAATAAGCTTAGCCCTGGACTATACAGGGTTATGAAAGGAAATTTTCCATTTAAAGGAAAATACAGTCCATTAGTAGGTCTAATCCTTGTCCAGGAAACTGTCCCTGTATGTCCAAAAGTCTGCATAATCCAGTGCTTTTTCTGAAATGAAGGGCATTAATAGTGAGTTTGTGCTGCAGTAACAACCTCTACTCTTCTAGGAAGGCTTTACACTAGATGTTGAACATTGCTGTGAGGATTTGATTGAGCATTAGTGAGGTCAGGCACTGATGTTGGATGGTCAGTTCTGAATCACTCCAACTCGTCCCAATAGTACTGGATGGAGCTCCATCACTCCAGAGAACGGAGTTCCACTGCTCCACAGCCCAATGCTGGGGGGGCTTTACACCCCTCTGGCCTACACTTGACATTGAGCATGATGACCTTGGCTCATGTGTAGTTGCTCCAGAACATCCCATTCTACTGGTCAGTGCTTTCAGATCATACAAGCTGCATTTGTGCAGTTGAACGTATGTGTCAGCAATGAGTGCAATGAGTGGATACTTTTGGACATACAGTGTAATTTTTCTTTTTTAGTGTAAAAACAAGACCACCTTGCATAAACGACACCCAGTCAAAAGTTTGAACACACACTGAAATGAGTTCCTAAGTGAAAATAAGTGAAGGGATCCTCTACAGAGAACCTAAATATGACTTTTTGTTCTGCTAATTTTATTGCACAGTGTTTATTTGCTGAGTTTAACACTGGGAAAAAAATAAAACATAACATCTAAAATGTACCAGAACTTTTGCACAGGATAGATTTTATATTTTTATATGTTTTTTTTTCCCAATATGATAAAGTCAGCCAATAAACAGTAACTGTGCACTAAAACATGCAGACAGGTGTTCTCTGTAGAGCATATTTTCACTTCTGTAACTTCAAATATGTAATTTGACCAGGTTTGCACAAACTTTGCTTTCAACCGCATACGAATGCGATCGGTGAGCTGACCTGTAGCGATGCCGTCAAACAGAGAGAGCACTCTGATTGGCTGCCTCTTCTCTGCCGCTACAGGAGTGTAGAGTTTAGGAGGTTCCTGGAAGAGGGATGTTAATAAGACATTACAGTTAGATATTAAATGACAAATATTACACTGTAATTATCTGTATACATTCTTTCTATCAAATTATAAGCCATTTTTTCATTTTATCCCATCTTTTGAGACATTAGGCATTCTAGATATCAATTGTTACACAAATTATTATTATAATAATCATTATTATACTTCATTATTTATGTTACATACACAGATCGAGCGATAAAATGTTTTGAATAGTAGTGTATAAATTTATTAACACTACACAGGGATACAGAAAGGGGAGTGAATGTTGGAGGTTTAGCGATTGTAGGCAGCATATATGTGATGTCATGAATGATATGCCAGTTTTAGATGATTTTGTACGTTCGGCTCACTGTTGTGAAAATGCAGTATTAAAGGGGATTTCTGCTTTTTCAACATTTCTGCATACTTAAACACTTATATGTACACATGTGGTGGTGATAGGAACCAGATGTCCACCTCTAAAAGCTCCCTCACAGAAAGTTCCTACATGAAATGGTTATGAATTCACTGCCTGATGACTGAGACACTGTTTTACGATTGTATTAAAATGGTTTTGGGTTAAAATTTATGTTTTAAAGATATGTTTAAAGATGAAATAGTCCCCGAAGAAAACCTTTTTTTTTCAGATTTTCCACTATTGTCCATCATCATCATTCCATATAAACTCAGAAGACTCGTGTAGGTTCACTGGTGGTTCTGGATAGTAAATAAAATGTCTGCATTTGTGTTGTAGTCATGGCGACCCCTGGTTCCTATCACCACCACTGTAAAGAAATCTGAACCACTTCAGACCAAACCACTCTGAATCTGTCTGTTTACACCTCAACTACTGAATGCAGAAATTCTGAAAATCAGTGAAATTCCCCTTTTAATACTACAGATTTCGAAAATATGAGGAAAACATAAAATAAATATACAAACTCCACTCTAAACCAAGCCCAAGCTGGTCTTTACCACACTCAAATGATTTAAGCTCTGTTTTTTAATATATTTTTAGCAGTTGCAGTCCGACAGTCCTGAAATGACCCCTACTTCCTGCCATTGCATAATACGGTTCTCTCTCACATACACACATGAACAGTCCCTGAAGTGTGTTAGGTGCGAGTGACTCACAAACTCCTGGTCATGGTTGTTGGCGAAGAACAGCTGAAGGCGCGATGTCCAGTCATCTCTGCGCCGCAGCAGCCCAAACACATTCCTGCTGACGCACATGAAGCAGTTCCACGGGTCCTCTCGTATAGCAGCCTGCGCAGAGCCAGTGCCCACCAGCAGATCCACACACTCCACACAGAAGCACCTGCGCACACACACACACACACACACACACACACACACACACACACACACACACACACACACCGAAAAGAGGCTTTTTCTATTTTGTATACAACAATTTACACCGATCAGCCATAACATTAACACCACCTCCTTGTATCTTCACTCACTGTCCATTTTATCAGCTCCACTGACCACATAGGTGCACTTTGTAGTTCTACAGTTACAGACTGTAGTCCATCTGTTTCTCTGATACTTTGTTACCCTGTTCTTCAGTGGTCAGGACCCCCATGGACCCTCACAGAGCAGGTACTATTTGGGTGGTGGATCATTCTCAGCACTGCAGTGACACTGACGTGGTGGTGGTGTGTTAGTGTGTGTTGCGCTGGTCTGAGTGGATCAGACACAGCAGTGCTGCTGGGGTTTTTTTTTATTTTTGAAGTTTTATTTCATTGATTTTATATGAGTAGAGTGATTATAGCAGCTACTTGGATGCTGGATGGCATTTTAGGCTATAAAAAACCCCTAAGATTTTGCAATGTCACCCCTTCACTTTAAAAAAACTGAGGCAAAACAAGTCAAAAATATTAAAATAGCAAACAATGAAACAAAGAGAAGCAGCCAAAAACATTCATTTTGTTTGGGCGTAGTTTCGACTGTTGGACAACGTTCAGGCCTCAGACATTTTTTTGGGTACACACTTACAAAATCGGGTTCTTCAAGGGCTCTCTAGTAAAAGTTCTGTATAGGACCTATTCATGCTTAAATGAAATGGTTCTTCAGATTGATGGAAAATATAGAACCTTTTTGAAAAGAGTTCTATATAGCACCAAAAAGGCTTCTGCTATTGTTGCAAGCTTGACATCATAACAATAGAAGAACCATTTTCTATAAAAGATTCCATATAGAGCCATTTACAATACACTCTCCATCAATCTGGAGAACCGTTTCACCATGCAAAGAACCATTTATGCATGAAAAGGTTGTTTGAATGCTGTTTAGCTTGTTGCTGTGAGTAAAATGCATGTCTTTTTCATATGTCGCTGTTGTCAGAACAAAACCTTGTATCTCCAAAATGGTAAATTTACAGGAGAAGGAAAAAACCTACATTACCTTTTATGTAAGTCAATGGAACCAGAATTTTTTACAAGTTTTTTACTTTTGGTCCATTCATCATGAAATTTACAAACAATGTAAAAGCCAACAGGTATTTTCAAATTAGGTCAAAAACTGAAAAACGACAAAAATGGAGATACGAGGTTTTGTTCCGACAGCAGTGATATGCTGATACCCTTCAGCATGCAGGGCCTCTGGTTGATCACCCGAGTCACCCTGACGGTAGATCCGGTGAGAGTGATTACTGGGGTACTTATTTGGAAACACTAACGAGTATTGGAAGTCTATAGAACGCTTCCTGGGCCAGCCCCAAATGTGTCTTCATCTTATTACAGCTTCCTAGTAATTATATGAACCTAATAAGCTGTAAAATCTTAACATCATGAATCATCTGACATGTTTATCCACAAAAAAATTGGTTTATATTACTGAAAAGAGTAAATATTTGAACGCTGACTCCAAACTTTTGAACAGTACTGCAGATGTAAACGCACATACGTGCTGAGACTCAGCAGCAGGAACACACCAACACACACGTACCTGCAGCAGTTGTTGTTCCCACACATCAGCACCTCTCTTCCCCCACAGCAGATGGTGCAGTAGGACTGATATCCATCGTCGTCGTACTGATACGCACACTCAAGGAAGCAGTTCTGCACACAGTACAAGCACTTCCTGAGTCACTCAGGGTATAAACAGAGGCAGTTCGGGAGGAGACTGACCACTTTCATTACACTACACAGAAACGGGCACTGTAGGACAGTGTGGGTACTGTGTCAGTCTCACTCAGCTGAAAGAGGAAGTGTGGAGCCAAAAATGTACATAAGAGAAAGTAAGAAAGCTACTGAGCCCTGCTGGTGACTTCCTGTATAAATACAAATAATGTGTGGCCAAGACTAGTAAGGCGTGGGAACAAGATCCTAATCCACGGCCATGACTTAGTAAGGCATGATCTTGTTCCCATGCTTTAGTAAATCACGGCCATGACTTAATTATGTCATCCCCATGCTTTACTAAGGCCCAGTCCCATTTCACCCCTCGCCCCTACCACTCAGCCCTTAGCCCTCTGTTTTGCGCGTTCACGTCTAGGGGTAGGGTGTCCCAATTATTGTTGAGATAGAGGGGCAGGGCGAAGTGTCGGGGCTACATGACCCTCCAAACGGAGGTTTTTCAGAGTCTCCAAACAGAGAGTTATGAGAAAAAAGAAAAACCAGCAAGATGGAGAACAAGAGACCAAAGAAACACACAAATGTGAGAATTTTCTCTGTTAAATAATCATGATAATCACTGTATTATCTTAGTTTAATGCTGTTTCAGTGTATTTTGGTCCTTTTCTTCATAACAAGCATAAAAAATCAATAAAGTATGTTAATGTCTCAGTAGCTAGCTGGCTAACTTTCCCGTTCCACCTTAAATAGTCCAGCAGTTCTGACCCCTGAAGCGCCAGAATGTAACTGCTGCTCCATTTAAGGTGGAACGGGAAAATTCAAACAAGAAACTGAGGAATATCTGACTTCAGCTCCATATCACTGAAGAATTAGGGGTGGGTGATAATAAATAATTGCCCCCCTCTTTGAAGGCATATAGTGCCCTAAATGTAACTAAAGCCCAGCAGTGAGGAGCTGAACTTTACCCTCCTCTGCTGTCACTGCAGACTGGCAGGGTCGCCTACAGAGCAGCGCTGGTAGCTGTTAATGAAGTGATGGTCTTTTTATTTGAGGGTCCCATTTCAGAGGGAAGATTTCAACCACTACCCCTTGTAACAGAGTTACGGTGACACTTGAAAACAAGGGGTAGGGGTAAAAAGAAGAAATGGGATTGGGCCTAAATCATGGCCACACATTATGATCTCATTCCCATGCATTAATAAGACGTAGCTACGCGTTATTTTTATTTATATGTGACGTCACCAGCAGGGCTCCATAGAAACCATCAGTACTTCAACACAACTATAGAGTATGGAAATCCGGAGAGGCCACAAGGTCATTATAATTTTCTGGATTGTTATCTTGAGATCTTAAGATAACAAAGTTGTTAACAAACGCTACTCAACAAACGCTACTCAACCATTTAGCTTGCGTGGCCGTAACTAACTGTTGTATAATTATAGATGACTTTATTTATAAACACACTTTCAGGTTCAAAGGTTTGGTCGACTACATGTATAGTATGAGGACAAATGTGTACATTTGCCAACCGTTCTTTAACCCCTCAAAATCCCAGGTGTGTAATAAAACTCTGGGCCCCCTGGTGGTCCTGGACCATTTAAGGGGTTACCCATTATAACAGCTCCATATCCAAACCCACCTTGCAGCTCTGGCACATGGCTCCAATGAAGAGAGGATGTTCGAGTGACACGTTCAGACTTCCACAGGATATGCACATGTCTGCACACAGCAACAACAACAACATCAGCTTACAGAGATCGGTGCATAAAGAAGGCCTCAGAAACAGTGGCACAGACTCCCACACTGTGCTGTGATCCTCCAGGAGCTGGTGTAAAGTGCATGAACTCCCAGTGAACAGCAGTTTTACCCATATGGAAAAAATATATGGACATATATTTTTATATATTTGAAATACATTTCAAATACATTGCAGTTCAGCCCGAAATACAGCCCAAACACTAAAGCATATGTCAGAATAAACTGCCATATTAACCAAATATATTTTAAAATACATTTGTTTTAAATGTATGGGGAAATACTATACATAGAAATGTACCATAAAAAATAAATATATGTAAACGTATTTATCAAATACATTTGAAAATGTATGAAAACAGCCAAAATCCTGTCTAATGCGCTTTACTGCTCGATACTTTTCGAAATGAATATTAGCAAATGAACCTTCAACATGACAAAAGCGAGTGTTGTAGGTATTGATACTCTGTATTGTATACATACATAATTAATGTATTAATGATTAAGTACAATGAAAAACACAGAACTCAGTACAGTTCATTCAGCTCATGTATATTTAGTCATATCTGTATCCTTTGTTAAAATATAAATATAAATAAGTGCATTTGAAAATATATATTTAATAAAAACATTTTGGCCATTTTCATACATTGCAAAAATATATTTGATAAATATATTTGGGAAATACATTTAAAATGCATTTTTTTCCCATATGCGAACTGAATGTACAAGCTCAGAAGCAGCAACAGTGACCGTTAACTATCTAACTGGGGCCAGAGGTCAAGGAAAGGACAGTTTAAAGACGACAGCTGTCTCACCTTCAATATTCCGGCACTTCTGACGCACCTCATACACGAGTCTCTCTGGAAAACACACAGAAAAAAAACCCTTAGCTGAGTCCGCACGCTTGCAAGTATTAAATAAAATTAGTGAAACGAAAATTCCTGGCTGACAACGAACTTTGGCTTCGGCTGTTGTTTGTGAAATTTTTCATCATTTCATAAACTGAGTGTACAGATGGCATCACTGCGCAGGGACTTTATTTATGTTTGTTTCCTGTGTGTCAAATGGGATTTTGTGTTTTCTAGTGAAATCAAACCTCTAGTGGGGAAGTGTCTCAAGCATTGAACCCTCTTCTGACACCAGGGAGGAACACAGATTATAAATCTAATTGAATGTTCCTCATAGAAACACATCTGTGCTGCCCAGGGGTGTAAGGAAATATCGATACACTTGAGTATTGCAATATTATGTTTTGTGATACTCTATCGATTCTCAAAAACACTCGATTTGTCATTAATGGTTTACATGCAAAGATTTGTGGCAGACAGTTCATTTTATGTTGTATTTAAACCTCCGACCACTAGATGGCAGTGTTATGATATCTTTATTAAACTTTTTCTTTTATTCTGATTTTATGCATATGATAAGTTTTTCTAAAATTGGACTGAACAAAAACACAATGTCACCTTGCTTACAGTATCGCAATATATCGAACTGTAATCCCTGTATCATGATACGTATCGTATCGGCAGGTTTTTAACAATACTTAGGCCTAGAGACTGGCACAGGGAATACTCAGGCCTAGAGACTGGCACAGGGAATACTCAGGCCTAGAGACTGGCACAGGGAATACTTAGGCCTGGAGACTGGCACAGGGAATACTCAGGCCTAGAGACTGGCACAGGGAATACTTAGGCCTGGAGACTGGCACAGGGAATACTCAGGCCTGGAGACTGGCACAGGGAATACTTAGGCCTGGAGACTGGCACAGGGAATACTTAGGCCTGGAGACTGGCACAGGGAATACTTAGGCCTGGAGACTGGCACAGAGAATACTTAGGCCTGGAGACTGGCACAGGGAATACTTAGGCCTAGAGACTGGCACAGGGACTACTTAGGCCTGGAGACTGGCACAGAGAATACTTAGGCCTGGAGACTGGCACAGGGAATACTTAGGCCTGGAGACTGGCACAGGGAATACTTAGGCCTAGAGACTGGCACAGGGAATACTTAGGCCTGGCACAGGGAATACTTAGGCCTGGAGACTGGCACAGGGAATACTTAGGCCTGGAGACTGGCACAGGGAATACTTAGGCCTAGAGACTGGCACAGGGAATACTTAGGCCTAGAGACTGGCACAGGGAGCAAACAGTGTTTTTAGCCACTGTTTTGAGTTTTCCTAATGATTCAAATGATTTGTTAAGTGTCCAACTGAATTCTTTAGGGGTTTTATTTTGGCCACAATTTTCAAATTTTTTTTCTTTCACTTGAAAACCGAAAGTGCCACTTTTGACCATTTTTAGCTGAAAGTTTGGTGCATCCTTTCCTGAAATGTTTGTGTATAGTTCACTTGAGGCTGCGTGAGAAACTTTGCGTGTGTATTTGTGGGTCAGTAACAGATGTCTGGCGTTTCTAAAAGCTGACGTGCATGCGGCCAAGAGTGTGTATGCGTATGTAATACCTCTGGTCCCTTCATCTATAATCTCTTTGATTTTGGGTTTCTCCAAACTGCTTTTCCTGGGTTTCTTAGGGGCCGGGCAAGCTGCAGCTTCTGGCTCCACCCACATCTCTGGATACACCTCAGTGTACGGACTCTGCTCCGCTGAAACACACACACACACACACAACACTGTAAAAGACACCTCCTGCTTTATCTTCTGCTGTTTAAACATAAATACAAGCATGTCCAAAATAGTGATTTTACAGGAGAGGGAAAAACATTCTCTACATTTAATGTAAGTAAGTTAATGTAAAGAGGCTTTATTCCAAGTGATTCCGGGGCTTTTCTATTGGTCCGTTCATCACATCACTTCAACTCAGGGTAAAGGACAGCTGGCGTGTTCGAAAAGGGAAAGATTGTTTTTTTTGGACAGTGTCAATATGTCCCTCACCTGATAACTGCCCTAGAAACAAATCAAACGTTTAAACAGATCATCCAATCAGGTGTGTCCAAACAAGTGTTACAGTATAGTTGTATCCTCAATGGCAGTATAGTAATGTACCGGGCAATCAAATGATAAAGCTAATTATCAAAATCACATTTTTTTAATAGTTTGATAAAGCATACTTGATGTATTTTCAATACAATGACTACACCATCCTGTCCCCCATCTATTAGCAGCAAAGACTTTGAACCTTTGAAGACTTCGAGGGGCCTTTATCATGGAAAACTCAACTTTTCTAAATGAAAGAGTGTGTAAACATTTAAGTTTTATAACAAAATGGTAATTCCTCTGTCCACACTAAACAACAAAAACAGCCTGTTTCGAATTCAATATTTTTGTGATGCCATGCAGTCACATTTACATATCGCTGCTGTCGGAACAAAACCTCGTATCTCCAAAATGGTAACTTTACAGGAGAAGGAAAAAACATACTTTACTTTTAATGTAAGTCAATGGAACCAGAATTTTTTCCAGGTAATTTTATGTCATTTCTTTTCGTCCATGCTTCATGAAATATACACAGAATTTAAAGGCCAACAGGCATTTTCAAATTATGTCAAAAACCGGAAATTGCCTACAGCAGTTTAGCCCCACCCACTCAGGCTGAAGTTATAAGGAGTGTTTCGACCTGGACTCCCTTTTGAATGAGCCACAATACAGAACAGCCAATCAGAACAGAGCTCGATTAGCCAGTTTAATTCCAAAGGACATAGAGAGGTTGGAAAATAATTATGTAAAAATGAATTATGACTATTTTTGGTATATTAAACAACATAAATGTTAAAAATGGACTTCAGGGGAAAATAACACATAAGAGTAATGCAGGACAAAAGCCCTTAAACAGCTGCTACTTCGGTACACTTCAGGTGGTGATGTGTACCTTCAAGTCGCGACAGTTTATTCTTACGTTGAATGTTGGAAGAAAAGGCTCAGTGTTTTTGTCCTCATCTGAACAAGATATATCCTTGTTTATGGATATGTTGAACACAGCATCAGTACAGAGTGCAGTGTATTGGATGTGTAACCTGGTGGGGGCTCCAGGCCCTTGGCTCCGGTCGGAAGGAATCCTGCACTGGCCCACTCGATCATCGCTCTGGTCTGCAGCTCAACATTCTTCGCTGAGTCGGATTCGTCGGTGGACACGCACACCGGGAACAGCTTTCCTGCCCGCATACTGGCTGTCTGCACACACACGTATGGGAATTAGAGATTGAAATGTCCATCCGAACCCGAATCATGTTCGTATTTTACATATGACAGATTTATCCCGCTTCACCACTTCAACTAGTTTTTCCCCTTATGTGTTCCTCCTCCCTATT